CTTCTATGTCATTGAGTGTCTGATGGAGAGATGTCTCATTGGCAAACATACCACATCTTGTTTTTTATATTTAAACAATTTATAGCGCAAAATGTGTTTTACTTCCTATTTCCAAAAGTATACAAGGAAAATATAATTTTACGCACTATCATATACTAGTATATTTAATTTCTGTCGACGGAAAATGGAGCTCTTTATAAAGACAAAACCGGGTCCTTAAACATCATTGACAAAACCGGTTCACTCCATTTTTACATGACCCTCGTATTCCTTTCGTTCCATGCAAAGACATACAACTATTGAGGTGCTCTTAGTGGCTTATTCTGCAATCTCCATATATATTTCTGTCTTTCCGGTCGTTTATTTCCGTACAATGTGCACAATTAAATGATAAATTAAACAAATTCGAAATAAGGTTCACTCTAGTCATTATTTTTCATGCGTATTTTTTATTATTTCTTTTTTTTATCTTGAACGGTTGTAGAACATATTACATCTCCCAATCGAAAATAGTAACATTTCTAATTATATTCTGCATGTTCATACAAGTAACAAATAAATAAAAGGGAATCCCACATTTCTCTGTGTGTAGGTGGTCCGTCACCATATCGGATATTAGATACTTTTAAGACGAAACGTTTTTTGCTGGAGAATAGATACAGTGATACTAGTTCCCTTTTAAATCATATGAGATAATAATCAAATAACGTAAAAACTTATGATTTGAATATTCAAAATAGATGACTTTAAATAACAAATAATTCTTTCAAAGATAATATTTCAACAACTGATATATTTTATCTGTATAAACTTTTATACACAATTAAACAACTTAACACTTTTTCGTATTCTTTTCAATGTGATGTCACCTCAACAAAATACATATACGTGTAATTTCAGTAGTACAAATTTGTCTGAATGATAACCACGGTAATCAAAATGCAAAAATATAAATATCATAAATAAATCAGAATATATTTATTAAATGTAAACGAGCAAAATGCGTAATATTGAACAATTTCCCTTTTCCATTTTAAGTGTCAAACGTGAATTTCTTATTTGGCTGTTCCTGAAAATTTCATTTTTATCCACCTGTATGAAGATTCAACTAGCTACTCTGGTGAATTCGCTTTAAAACAAGCAAACATAATATTTTATCTTTTTTGGAGGGGGCAACGTTATGTGAACCGACACAAAAAGCATCGCATGCTTTTCTGTGTCACTCTTCGTGCATTCACTGCATTTAGTGTATATCGGCAATCATAACTGCACTATTTCACTAACTATTACACTTACCTTAAACAATCTAAGCTAATAACCATCTCAACTATACCCAAAAAATGATAAATAAAATGTATCGGCAGTGCATGACTTCCAAGAAGAGGTGTTTTTTCTCGTAATTCCATTCCTTCTGTTTAAACAAACCGTGTTTAATGATGTCAAGTACAACAGAAACCGTATTTTTAATGTCTGCAATAACCATGTAGGTCAACTTCATGTTTTCAGTAACACAAATTCGTTTAAAATGCCGCATTATATTTCATTTTGCCTACATTCGACGATCATTTCATTCATGAAAAGGCTTACATTACAAGTAACAATAAATCTGAAATAGGTAAACTGATACTTACATCAATGTTTCGGCGTTATTTTGGAAACTTGTGTTTCTATTCACAAAGGCGTATGGCCAAATTTCCATTAACTAATTTCACAATAGCTCTATTTTAAAATCCTATTTTAGTCTATAATAAGATTAATAATAAAAAAAATCATATGGGATTTTTAAAGTTTTAATGCCATTGTAACCAGGGAGGGATCAAGGATTTTTTAAAGTGGGGGCGAAATTGTATAAAAGTAAACATATGGCATGTAAACCGCCGGGCGGAGCGAAGCGAAAAATATTTTTGAAGATTTTATGAATAAACTGATAATTGTTTCTTAATATCTGGAATATCATATTTATTTTGTGATTTTCTTTCATGAATAATTTCCACATATCGTTATCCTTTTGACTCTTCCAAAAATATGGTCATGTTTATAAAAGTCTGATTTGTTTCATTCGCAGTGTAAACATCAGAAGTTGTAAAATCTTGCTGGAATTTGAATATCAAGGACTATGTAAAATATATTTAAAGTAATTTACAACAATCATGTATATATCCATTACATTCAAGTTATTCATGGAAGTGCAATCTTTTGAAGACAATTTCATACTATATAACAAGTTTTACATGTGTTGTCCAATTTTGTACAAACATGTCGTATCGGTTCACCATTTCTTTTTTCGGTAGTATTCTTAATCTCAGGTGACAAAACATCAATATTTCTGAGATTGAATTAAAGGACATTGCCAGATGTTTTTTTCTTTTTGTCTTACAGAAGGTTTTGTATGAGTTTTGCGTCAAATGACTGAAAAGAAAACAAGTTGGCCAGTAGGGGTGCACAATAAGTACTAATTGGAATATTGAATGTCGGTTTAAAAATAAATCAACTAAACTCAACAAATATGATATTATCCTTTGCGTATTTATTATTGGTATTTGTGTGGATCTTCACAAAGTAAGATTTTTCATGACATAAAAACAAATTTAGCATGGCGATAAGATGGGTAAAACATAGAAAAATCTTTTTTATAAATATTACGTCAAAATTGTAAAGATTTTAGTTGAAGATTTTGCATTAGATTTTGAAAACCTTTTAGAATCCCCATGGTTGACATCGCTGGTTTAATATACATCACATTATTTCTAAAGGTCGTCCTTTACTGTAGAAAGAATGATAGTAAGAACTTTAGAAAGATATTTAGAAGAGATGAAGTTAACAATAATGTTGTTATGAAAGACAGACATGAAGCTGTGGAATTGTAGACTTTTGTAAAGATTGGAACACTTTTTTGTTAAATTGATGAGCAAGCTGTCTTTTGTAAGTATGTAAAATAGTGATGTTAAACCTTTAATGGCACAATTTTTCGGAATTTTCGGTTTTCATACTCTGGTTTTCCAACTGTTTTGATTCTAGCGGCAATAATAAATCTTGTGTTGATGAAACGCGTGTCTGACGTACTATAATATGAGCATGGTATCTTTGATGAGTGTTTTCTTAAATGCGTTTCATTCAACATCCGATACCGGCGTCGATGGCAATAATTGATCGGCGTTACCCATCAATTTGCAACCACTTATCTCAAAAAACGAATGTAGGCAGTAGAAAATTGTCAAATGAAAATTATATTTGAAATTAAACAACTTAACTCTTTCCAGATACCCCCTTATTAATTCAGTTCAAGATTTCGGCGATGCAATTTTTCAGCAAAGATCAGTAGAACCCCCAAAAAGGATCCTGGCTGACAGACAAATATTCTATACACTATATTTAGTTAACCTATAACTGATTTAATAGTTTGTTCTCTTGTTGTGCTGTTACACAACTGCGAAGGTTTTGGGTAGGGTTGGCGCGCCAGCAAACATGTTTAAAATCGCCACATTCTGTATGTGCCTGTCCAAATGCAGAAACCTGTGGTTGTTGTTTGTTGTGGTTTGTCATATTTGTTTTTCGATTATCTTTTTTTTAAATAAATCAGGCCGTTCTTTTTTAGATGGCCATACAGTGACGTAAATGAGGTAAAAACCTATATCATTTGGTCTCTGGTGGGATGTTGCCAATCATACTGCATCTTCTTATCTTAATATTCTATAGCTTATAGTATCTCAGGAATATACCCAATCATTAAAACTCATGAGATAAAGACCAGATGAACCGTGCCAGATAAACACGAACACCTTACAAAAATTCAGACCTGAGACCAATTATAGTTGACCTGTTGACTAAATACTTGTATTATTTCTGTATTAATTATAGAATGTCGAGCAAGTTATGCTTGTGGCCAAATTTTATCAAAGAATTGTTGATATTTATAAACATCTCCAAGCAATTCGGGGATTTTTAAAAATTGCATTGGTGTGTGATCTTTTGTTCTGGTATAAAGTCCTCACTGTAACTTTGCAATGAAGAAAAGTTCTTTTGCTTTGGTTAACTTAAACTTACTAATTTATTTATTTTTAAAGTTTAAATGCATCATTAAGAGTTAATCCCTTTGTGCATTTTGTCAAATGCTCACTCATATATAGTTTTGAACAATTGTCTGTTAATATCTCATAAGAACTCTTTAAAGGATAAAATTCATAGACCCTATGCTTTGTATGTTAAATTCTGAAATTTCAAACATTAATGGTTACTTTGTCTTACGTTCAAATCAACTGGCAGCCATTTCTTGTCAAAACTGTACCTTATCCTGACGTGTGCTGACTAATTCAAAAAACTTTTAATTGCATATTAGAGCGCACTAGTTCCCGGAACATTAATAGTACAAAAACAGGTACTTCAGATCTGAACAGCAGGGCAAATGTGCCGTCCTATTATAATTTCATATATTTTTTTTATAATAATAAAGAAACATTCAACCAGGATTCTACAGTGATCCCAAGTCCTTACGTTTTTATTTGATACCAAAACTACCCAAATATTTACCTATTGACAAAATAACATCTATACGTAGGAACTATTTTGTTGAAAGTATATACTAATTTCTTATAAGTTCTTTCTGACTGGGACCGAATTAGGGATTCTATGCCGTAATACCTACATTATTATTGTTTTGACAAATTCCTTCATTCTTTCTACAAGTATTGAGTTAAGACATAAAAAATACTCCAAAAAAATGTATTCAAGTCCAGTATTTAGATTTACATACAGTTCTGTACATCTTCAAGTTAACCTTTTGTTTGGTATTGGAGTAATTGATTAGGCAATGTTTCCACACATTGTAACCAGAGAGGAAAAAGTATCATCTTTACGGGGAATTAGTGCAGCCAAACACTGTTTAAACTCATGAAGATTTTTTTCAGATAAAATTATGTTGCTTGGACAATAAATTGGTAGCTACACATTTCAGTGGACATTCCTGCAAACGATAAATGAAAAAGGTACTGTCAATGCTAATATAGATTAAAATGGCTTTAATACATTTACAGATCTACAAAAGATGACAGTGCATGTTTAAGATAGTCCATTTCTGTAACTTTCTGGCAGTTTAGCTGGATGAAAGGTAAACATCTTGTCTTTATAGATGATGTTCCTGTATCTATTGTTTTTTCTGTGAAATCTGAAAAATATTCAAATGTGTTTTACAAATATGGGTATATTTACATATCAATGTATTGGGATTTTCCTGAATTCTCAATAATTAATCTCGCATTTTTGTCCATTCTTCAAAAATCACAATTAGAAATGCCAAAATAATTTGTGAATTTACAGTATACATATCTTTTCTTTTTTAAATGGTTGTCACGTGCGGTCTCCAAATTATATAAGAAAAAAATGGCAAAGCCTACGTTAAAACAACAACAGTCACACAGATAAAAATCAGAATTGCAGCTGCACAATTCCATGTCCTACAGTAAAAATGTACAATTTAGGTTGAATTCTGCAGAGTTTTTTTTTCTCAAATTGTTGATGATTTACAAAGTGTGATTGAGACGACATGGCAAGACCACAAAAGTGATTGGTGAACGTAACAATAGTTTTGTTATCAGGTAACACAATTATTTTCCAAGAATTATTGATAATTATTACCAAAAAGAGTAAATAATGCCGAAACACATCCCGGAAATTAACAGCGCCTTGTGATGATTCATTGCTTTTATTGATAATTACCAATTTGATTGTCAAGTGGCAAAAGAGAGGCGAACGATATCAAAAAGGTATTCAATCTCATAAGACGAAAACGTACTGAAAATGCCATGGCAAAAAAACGAAGAAAAGACAATTACAGTACACAACTTAGAAATCTAAGAACTGGGCAACAGGAACCCCACCAAAACAGGGATGATCTCATATGCTCCGGATTGGTTAGAAGATCCTGCACGACATGTGGCACCCGTCGTGTTACCAATGTAAGTACAAACCCAGCGGATAGTCTAAATCGGTAGGTCACATTCGGAGGACAAGATTTGGACAAAAATTGGAAATATCCGTCGTCATCTTTGAAACACATCTTCCATTACGTCATTATGTATTATAAAACTACCTTTTTTAAACGTTAGTTGTTTTAACCACAAGTTTGGTAAGCTCTTTGTATTTTTTCTTCATCATCCTGTGGAATATATGTGTAAATAAACATTAAATTGTATTAATATGTGTTTAACAGTCGATAAATCTTTTTTTAATGTTTATGTCTTCCAAAAAAGACATAAGTCACCTGCTGTCTTTAAGTTATATATGCATTATTGAAATGGCAATATTCTAAAAGATAAAAAAATCTATAAAAAAATCAGAAAAGCAGGTGCACAACCTCATGTCCGATACAAACATATATGCAAGTTTTGATGAATTCTTTCAAGCTGTTTTGAAGACGTTGTTGAATAACAAACAGTAATTGGGATGACAAGGCAAGACAACAGAAGTGATTGGTAAATCGAACATCAGCTTTGTTGTCAGGCGACACAATATATTTTAGGATTATTGCTCATTATGCTTGCAAAGTGGTAAGTTTTATAAATGTTCCTGCATGTGCCTGTCTCAGCATAAGGTGTTTAAAACTCAAGATAACTTATGTTCTTATTTCAATAGCCTGAATAAGGAGTCAGTAGATAAAGTTTAGTAAATTAAGAGCTATGTTTGTGTTACAGTACACTCTCAACGGTAAATATAAAAAAGAAGATGTGGTATGACTGCCGATGAGACAACTCTTCACAAGAGACCAAATGACACAGAAATGAACAACTATAGGTAACCGTACGGCCTTCAACAATGAGCAAAGCCATTACCGTATTGTAAGTTTTGATACCTAACAGCACCAAAAGTCTAACTGCTATTGTAAACGTTTACATGTTATTTACCAAATAACCCGAGAGTACAAAAACTGAATGTCATGATAACATTAATGAATTTTACTGCACCAAATGTTCATTTCAACACTTAATGTCTCTTCAGGAATCCTACAGACAAACTTCTTGAAAATATATAACTGATACAATAACATAAACGGTACCAATTTTGCTGCACCAGATGCGCTTTTCGACAAGTGATATTCCTCAGTAATGTTCGAGAATTTTCAGGTTGAATACATCTTGTCAAACGGATAATGTTTGCGTTCTACAGTTTTAACTTAGCTCATATCATTGTCACACTAACAAGAAAAAATCAAAGTGATCTGAAATCACTGATGGAAATATTTTAAGAATTGTGTGTATAATTTCAATAATATTTGCTCTCCCATAGTAGTGGTTGTAGACAAGAAAAACTTGCTGTAGCAATATTGCATATTTGTTAAAATAGTTACATCGCTGCAGATTTTTTAGAAAGATAATCAATTTTTCGGTGCATAAAATAGTTTAATAGAGGTCATTGTGGGTTGGTCACTAATTTGCATTATAACTTCTTTTAATTTGCAACTTATATTTTTATTTTTTAAAACAAAAGAAATTACCGAACAAACAAAAAGTTATTGTAGTTTCTCAGTAAACCTGGGACTAATGTATAAAGAGACTTGAAACAAAGTCCTATTTTATCTCCCAACAAGAGGCTGTCAGAGTGACTGCAAACCGGATTTTCCTGCAGAGGTCGAACCCTGAACAGTTGAGCAAGTATGGATACAACATTTAAGCTTAAAACAGCTCTGAATTTGGATTGTGATTGAATATTTGACACAGCATAGGTTTGTGACTCAAAATGAATGTGGTCAAAGAACTGAAAAATTTAAAATCGGACATTTACCTATTAGGGTCCAATATCCAAAGTCTAAGTACATTGTTAGAATCAGCATATCAAAGAACCCCAAGAAATCAATTATAGATGAAATACTTATTAATTACATTTCTGTTCAAAGGGAAATAACTCAAAATAAACAAGAGACCAAATGACATGGACATTAATTATTAATTTCTGTTCAAAGGGAAATAACTCAAATTCATATAATAAAAATCAATTTTGCTACTGAAAGGTCTACAACTCAACAACGAGAACAGCTAAAATCGTGAAAATTGAACTTGAACTTCATTTAATCACAGGAAACAACATATCTAAGTTTGAAAGATTTTGTCAAAGCGTTTTCATGTTAATGAAGAGACACTGTTTGGCAGCCGCACGCTCACCCGCCCGCCCGTCCGCCATCCCGCCCGCCCGCTAGCCCGCCGTATATCCCCAAATCAATAACCGATTTTTCTTTTAAAAATTCAATTTATCTTATTTTTTGTTTAATGCAGTGTTAATCAAAAGGTATAGTCAGGATTCTACTTGATCAAAATTATCTCCCCATTACGCCTCCTTATTTTTTTTAATCGAGAAAATAGAACCCATTGTAGGGATGACGCGCTATCAATTTAGCTCCTGAAAACCGAAAAATGTATCTACATAGCTTCATTACGATTCTTACATGACAGCTTTATTTAAAAACACAAATGTATCTTCTTGCTATTAAGCATCATTTAATGTATTTTTAGGTCTTTTTCAACTTCAAAAAATTTTCTGATCGGTTGTCAGGGGGAATTTTCGAAAAATTAAAAAAAATCTAAAAAAGTTATAATTAAATGTTTCGTTGAAGGGCAAACGAAAGATTTTCAGAGGTCGGAAGACTTATTATCCTAGATACCACACCACAAAAAATAACAATTTTGAAGTTATGCATTTTTAAGATCCGCTTGTAAAAGTCTGTCGTCAAGTGCTTTTAGTAAAAAATTGTTATTCAAACAAACCAACTCTGTTATTATGACTTATTAGAAAGGTATTTCACTTGACCCATATATTTCATTTTATAGTACTGTAAAATTTTAATGTTTGTATATCAACTTAGCCTAAATATATTTTTTTATAAATATAAATATTTGCTTTATAAAGATTATTCTTTTATCTTTCTGTGAAATTTTTTCGGCAGAATTTATGCTAATGCATAAAAAAGATCCACGTGTATTTATACCTTCCGCAATCGATTGTTATGTAAATATCCGTCTTTAATTTAAAATTTTACAAATATCTCAAAGTACCATTCTATGATTTAAGTAAGACACGTATATACGATGCAAAAATCCTTAATTATGCACCTACAATAAACTTTTTAAGCCCATAGAAATATATGTGAACAATTCAAATACGCCATCTTGGACTTTTTTACCTTCTCTAATAAAGATTTCTTTTGTTAAATTTCAACTGGATATCAGCCTGTATATATGTGTAAATGATTTAAATCTATCATCTGTATTCAATTTTATAAAAGAAATGCAAATTTAATATTCATGTGAATCATATGTACAAATGTATCAATTACACTTGAAGACAAAGACCACCTAATGCCACTGACCAATATAGATTAAACATCTTTCTAATACTAAAGAGGTCAAGTTATTGTGTATCGAGTGATATGTCACATTATTTATAAACTCAAGTTATGTAATTTGGTCAATTACGATTGGCATTTAAGAGGAGGGGTCTTTATACAATTCCAATTATAGCTCCACCCTTTGTGTTTAATTGTTCTTTAATCATGACAGTTGTCAATCATACTGATATTGTATCAATATTTATATTCAATCAAAAAGACAAAACTAGCCAGTAAATTGAAAACATCAAAGACTATAATTATAGAATAAATGCTCTTAATTAAGATGTAACCAAATTTTTTACATTTCATTTCTGCATATGTACACAGACATGAGAACAATTAGAAACTATGTGTCAGAGTGTATAGAATTGATTACTGATTTAGTAGCAAATCTGTCTACTTTCTTTTGGAAGGCCGGTGCCTTAAGAAAGTATTGGAACAATTCCAATCTTTCCAAAAACGAACATTGGAAAAAAATGTATTTCCAGGGGCAATAACTCAAGAGTAGGGTTACAGTTTTTTTTCAGACATTTTCCGGATAAATAGAAATTGTCGTGCTGATCATTCTTGCAGTTACACTTATATCAATCCAGCTCCTTTATTTTCACAATGTCGCCAAAACTACAAAAATTAAATATTTCAGGAGCAATAACTCAAAACTGATCTACAGATAGATTTTTCTCCAATTTGCAGTTGATCCTTTTGCGGGTGGAATCAATATTTCAAAAAGACATACATTTCAGGGGCAATACCTCCGTAAAGGGTAGTCGCTAAATTTTTCTGACATTTTTTAGGTATATAGAACTTGTCATGCCGATCATTTTTTTGCATTTTCAGTTTTAACCTAGTTCGCATAGTTTTTTTAAATAATGCCCAAGATGTTTGATAATATAACTGCTAAAATTATAATTTGAAATGTCCATTTTCATGAAAAATGAAAGAGAAATACTGTTTATATGAATCTTTTGATGCATGATAAAGAACTACGCAAGTAGGCCATATATATGGCCTTTTATGCACTACATGGTTAACATGTTAAAGGCAACAGGTGATCAATACATCGTATGAAATTTCACATTTGATTAGTATACTGTGTCTTAAGTACCCTGGCGAAAAAGGTTTCGTCTCAATAGTATCAAATATCCAGTACGGTAACGGACAACCGACAGACATAGAAAATATAGGATTTCTGTTATCCACAAATACCTATTTTCGATTGTGAGATGTAATATTTTCTACAACCGGTCTATATAAATGGAGAAATAGGTAAAAATGCACGTCAAAATGATGAATGAAGTAAACCTTACCTCGAACTTGTTTATATCTTATTAAATTATGCACATTGTACGGGAAGAAATGTACGGAAATACAGAAATAAACATGGAGATTGCAAGAATAATCATTTGTTTGTATTTTGCCGTTAAAAAACGACAACAATTATTTTCTTCAATTTCATAAAAATAACAAATACATAAACAAAACTCCTCTTCTTTATGTCTGTCAGTTGTCGGTCACCTTACCGGATATTAAATATTATTGAGATGAAACATTTTTTGCCGAGGTACTTTAAACACAGTGTAGGTAAACACACCTTGATAGTATTAGTATATTTTGAAACTTTCGTGATTTTCCTCATCTTAAATAAAATTCAGTTCATAATTTATTAAATAAGTATTGCACCCCCATGAATATTTCTATAGCAGTATAGTCGTCTGATCCGTAATTTTACCGATTGTGTCCTATTTCAGTTCTTGGCATTTAGACTGTTGTTAATTCGCAAAGAGGATGACGCATGAATAGTAGGAGATGCTTAACTTGTCTGTGCACCCGGTCTTATTCCTTTTGGAGTTCATGCGATTCCCACAGTTTTTGTTTATTATCTTGATTGGTATTTTCTTACTCTATTAACGAGATTTGAACATCGTAATGGGATTTTATTTTATAAAAAAAATGGAGTTTTCTAGTTTTCAGGCTTTAACTCAAAAATGCCTTTAGCAATTTTCGTGAAACTTGGTGATTTCTTTAAATATATATATTAACATAAATTCTACTTCGATTTTTTAAAATTTCTGATTTTACGTTCAGTAGTATTTAGACTTTGTTCATAAAAAAGGGGGAATTTCCAGTTTTCGCACTATAATTCAAAAACACTTTGAGCGGTTTTTATGAAACTTTGGTGACTTGTTTATATCTATAAAAAAATAAGTTCCTTTTTATTTTTTTATAAATTTCTCTATGACATTTAAAGCATAAAGACGAGATAAAAGGGCGACGGATGAATCCACAGTATTTCGGCTTTTCACAATTATTCTGTACAGTTATAGGCCTATTCCACATATTCATAAATCTCTGGAAGTACAATGGTCGTTATGTAAGTAGCTGAAATATGCAGGCTGTTAAACAAGATAACTTGAATCCAAATTTGGAGATGTTTGTAGTTTTTTGGGCATTGGCAGTCATAACGAAATTATTAATATGCATCCCTGCTAAAGTTTTAAAAAACTTACTTCCTTTTTATATATATAAGTAAGACAACAGCAATAAATAGTAAGACCATTATTGCTGAAAAAGCTATAATCCATCCTATTCTGTCTTCTTTCTCTTCTGCTACAAAGATAAAATATATTTGAATAACAATACATGCACATGGATATTTTTGGTAGTTCCTGTTTAATATATTAAATACTTTTCACGCACGGTACAATTGGGAGCGAAACATATTTAATAAACATTTGTCTATTGATGAAGTCTGTGTGTTGACCTCTAGATGTCTGTCGGTTTCGTTGAGTTGCTGACATATACTTTACTTTTCCTCATTCCATGAAAATTAGTACTCACGAAAATAAATTAATGCACAGTTTATTGCTTTTAAAATTGTTCTTTCCAATATACTTCACTGAATGGTTGATTGATAATTAATGATTGCATAAAAGTCATACTGATTTTCGTTTCATGTTATACTGGTCATCTACTTGGGGTTGACAAATACATTAGTATTGGAAAATTAAAAGGTGGTAATGGTACCTGAATGACATAGGCGATGACCTGACAGCACCAAATAGATGTTGTTTAGCTAGCTGTAAAACCAGGTTTAATCCACCATTTTCTACACAAGAAAATGCATGTACCAAGTCAGGAATATGACAGTTGTTATCCATTCGTTTGATGTGTTTGAGCTTCTGATTTTGTCATTTGATTAGGGACTATCCGTTTTGAATTTTCCTTGGTATTTTTGTTATTTTACTTTTTGCCGTCTTTTCATTGTTCGTCTTTTAAAGTTTAATGAAGATATTCGTCTTAATTTACATACAGGATATTTACAAAATTTTAATATCAAGCTTACTTTGTGATTGACCAAATATGATTTCCGGGTCTATCATTTCACATCGGTTACCAATATATCTATTTGAACACCTGAAAAAATAAACAAGGCTGAAACATGAATCATAACAAGTAGACAATACATAGACAATGCATTCACATAGCTTCATACAGTAAGCTGATTTGTACGATTTACAAGTTAGTGTTCCATATATATAATCGACAAAACCATAAATTCTAAACACGATAGATGCTGGCATATGAGTTAAAGCTCCTTACTAAACATTCACGTTCAACTTTCGTTTAATTTTCTAATTTTATCACTGCACCTTAGATTTAGATTCGGAATTGTATTAATCAATGCAAATACACTACATATAGATACTCACGCACATTGCACTATCCTGTCTTCTACATATACAACAAAGCAAGATCCTCCATTTAAACAGGCTAATGTTTGTGTCTCATTATCTGAACAACTAAGTCTATAATTATCTGGAATTCTTTGGTTATTCACCTTGTTTATTACTTTGCCTGTGTTTGAACTGTCCGAACTTCGAACACAGCCTACTGTGAAAAATGTAAAAATCGTAAGACAAAACTTGTCAATTATAGATATTAAGAATTCTATTTAAACCATCCAGTTGATTCACACTTTACATTAAAGTGTAGAAGTTAAAATCCGTAAACAATACTGTAACGCCGAAGTAACTCCTATCAAACGGTGAAATCATATTGGAAGGTGTTAAACAGGGTTCGTGTAGATTTTGTCGTGAATTGTTTAAAAATTTCTTATTAAACACATTTTTAATTAGTTATCAATCTAACAGGTTTCAAACAGGGTTCTGTACAGGGTGTATTACAAATCAGGTCATATAAATCAAATGCTATGAAGTAGTTAAAACGGAGTGTAGTTTTCACACTTAACAACCAGCAATTACAGAAAAATAGTAGATTGCACATCAATTCAAATATATATAAAGATCAGAATACATTTTCATCTCTCCTTTACTTAATTTATATCCCATATTCTGACAATTGTCTTTTAGAACATTGGCATGATATTGAATAATTGTGAACTCTAAGTGAATGAGATATTTTTATCCATGCAATGTTTTCTGAAAACTTACCTGTATATACAAATAGCATACTAGAAAACTGATAGAGGTGGATTAATAATGACATTTTGCTTACCTGAAAATGTAAAAAAAAATTTATGTAGATAAGGCATGATACACGTCGGAGTTTTAACGTGTTAATGTTACCAAAATGTCAGAGAAAAGCACGAATGGTGTACAGTATTTTACTACATGCTATAACTTATTGAGTTGTCGAAATGGATCAAAGCTATTCGATCATACATTTAGAAGCGCATTCAGAAACTACGATGTACTATGGGCACACGGGTTTCTAACCCATTCAAGAACCTGGATGTTGTTGATACTTTTTACGCTCTTCATGACAAATATGTCGTTGTTCCAGCAGATAAAGCCTCCAATAATATTGTCTTCATATGTAAAAACCAATATATGAAATGTCTCACAAAAGAGCTTGAAATAAACAGCAAAACTGGTAATCCTCATATTCTTTAACATAATTTCCAAAGGATGAAATTTTAGAAAATCACAAATCTGTCCTTCTTTCTTTTGGTATTAACATCAAGAAAGACGAGGAAATCAACCGTAATTTTACTGGAGACCAAAAACTTCACAAAATCCTTATAAAGAACGATACATAGCTGGCTTTTCAAGATATTCGACTAGACATCTTTCTAAAGTGCAGACTACTATTCTTTGAGGAGGAAAGATTCAAAATGACACTCCGTAAATCTTATGGACACCATCGCGTAGTTCTTCTATACAGTGTGTCTGTGTCTAAACTAACGACATTTTTACAACGTCTTAGATTGTGGTTTATCAACTACGTCGTCTGGTCTGTTTAATACCGAACATGACCATTCCCCGAATATGACTGTTTTGCCGAGTGTGAATTCACATTGCTAAACGACGTGTCTCGGTATCTATATATCCAACATTTATGTATTTAGTTATGATGTTACTTTTGTAAGTCTGGTTGGATATTTTGGTATGTCTTATATTCGCTGTTGGAGACGACGTGGTTCGGTATTTATATATCCCGCTTTCTGTCAGTTTTTGTTACTTTTTTATGTTCGGTACATTTCACAAATGTATAGTCGAGTTAATCGTGGTTCGTCTACAGGGTTTTTGTTTTATGTTGTTTGTTTTCATGTGTATTTACCTTTTGGTCTTTAATGATCTTGCCTTATAATCCATTTTTTTTTATTTTCATTTTCTACATGTATGTAAAAGTTAAGATATAAAATCAACTACTTCATTTATATGATTTTAAGTTTAAAGCTACTATATGCACAGGATGTTTTTGTTTATACACAGTTTTGATTTAGAAGAAAAACCGACATGGTTAGAAAATACTAATAATGACATCATAACAAACACAATCCCAATTTATTCTTGTACATGTATACTTTTAGAAATTTACCTGTGATAATATAAACATCACAAAATATACGTCACTTTTTGTGACGTTGGTGCATTTATGTGACGCGCAGTTTATATTTCGTTTGCGGTGTCCTTGTGTGCTGTCGTAAATTCACCGGTACCGGAGCTTGTTATTCAGTGGTTTACTTGTTGTAATTTACTACTATATTATCTATTTATGTATTTCTCTGAGTGTTCTTGTGTTTGTTTGTTCTATATTCCTGTCACGTAGTGTTGTCATTTTAGCGGTATATTTGACATTGCCATATAAGCGGGAAGTTTGGCTAACCAGAAAACCAGGTTAAACACACCAATTTTACCAAGTAGCAGTTAGAACTTCGCTTTGTTCATTTTAGAATAATTCCTTGATACGACCAGGTCCTCACTGTTGAGGTTCTTGGGGAGATTGTTGAACCTTCTTCTCTGTCTTCTTCCTCTCCGTCAATTGTTCTTTGGTCAAGTTTAGGTGATCTTTGATAATGACACAGACAATTAACAGATTACTTTAACCAAGTTAACTTTGACAAGGTTTTTGATAAGCTCAAGTGCTAGCAGTAATGAAAAACACTAACCTACCATGCTGCTGTAATTTGTTTCGAATGTCGGAGTACCGGTGTAAAAAAAAATATAGCCTGGTATCTATGATAAATTTACTGATAGTCTTTTGAATGACAAAAAGAATTAAAATCCGTACATGTCCGTTCCCACACTATGAAATAATATTCATTTGAAATATTTCCTGTTATAAATAAGTTAATCGCGACAAAGAAATTTAAAAGGAATGCATGCTTGTAAGATAACTATTGTTCCCTACTAAATTATATAAGATAAGTTTCGCATTGCGTAAAAACTTATGAATCAAATATTTAACATAGAAGACTTTAAATAACAAAGAATTCTTTCAGATCAAATTTCAGCAACTTATATAGCTATTCCAATATATATTGTGTCAATAAAACTTTTCTAAACAATTAAACATCGATTCCCATCTTTTTTCGTTTTCTTTTCAACGTTAAGTCGCCTCAACAAAATGCATATATACGTATCTGTATGTGAAGTTTCATTAGTAAAACATTATCATAAAGATAACCACAACAATAAAAATGCAAAAATTGAACATCAGTGAGAAGTAAAAATATATTCATTAAATATAACGAAGCAAAATGCGTAACATTCATTTGAATTTTAAGTGTGAAACGTGATTTACTAGTTAAGCTTTTCCTAAAAATTGAATTTTCATCCACCAATACGCTGATTCGTCTAGCTTCTCTGGTGTAGTCACTTTAAAACAAGTATGCAGAATTGTGTTTTGTTTTTTTTTTGGGGGGGGAGGGTCAATGTTATGCGAAACGACGCATGAAGCATCGCATGTTTTTTCTGTGTCACTCTTCGTGGATTATCTGCATTTTGTGCATATCGGCAATCTTAAGCTTCATTTCTAAAACACTTACCTTAAAAGTCTCAGCTAACAACCATTCCTACCATACCAAATAATAAAGGCAATCGGCGGTGCATGACTTCCAAGAAGAAATGTTTTTTTCTGGTAACTCCATCCTTTCTGTTTAAAGATCCTTGTTTAATAAAGCAAAGTGCAATAGAAAAACGAATTTTAAATGTCTACAATAATCATTGTAGGTCAAATTTATATTTTTAGTAACACATTTTGGTTTAAAATGTCGCATTATATTTCCATCTACCTACGATTGACAAGTATTTCATTCATAAAAGGGGGTACAAAACAATCAACAAATAGAGCTAAGATCGGTAAACCGATAAAGACTTTCATATTCCGGTGTTAGTCTGGAATTAATTTTTTTTCGATTCACAAAGGCGTATGGCAAATTTCCCTTTCACTAATTTCAATAAGCCTAATTTCAAAATCTTTCAGTCTACTAAAATTCATAATACAATAGCTGCATATGAGCAGTTCATTCCTATCGTCATTTAATCTGTGTTTAACATGCAACTTTAGTATCAGCATCATAAGGTAGATCGAGACAAATGATTTTGAAAGGATAGATTGCGCAATTCTAGGCTACAAAGCCGGTTTCAATTCAAATCACAATTGACGTGTCTCGTCGTAATATCCATGTAGTATGAGCCACTTGATTAGGGAGCTACCATTCGATTTTTATGGGGGGGGGTGGCTAGGATGAAAAATTTTGTCCTGCTTTTTTTTTAGTTGTAATCTCTGTCCTGCCTTTTTATTTTTCACTCTATTTGGTCCTGCCTTTTTTTTTTAAAGTTTATTCTGACTTTTTTTTACCTAAATTGTCATCCTGACTTTTTTTTTTGCAAGTGTCTCATCCTGCCTATTTTTTTACTCAAAACTCCTGTCCTGCCTATTTTTTTCAAATTTCATCCTAGCCCCCCCATAAAAATAAAATGGTAGCTCCCTTATCAACATCCATCAATCATGCATATGTCCGTCTCAGTATGACTGATCAATGGTGTGACTTATTTACATTGGTTTTCACATAAGAGCAAAGCTACATGAAAATCCAAGAAACAAAATACCATCAGGGGATAACTCAATCAAAAATTCCTGTCCTCACATCTAAAGTATAGGCGACGGCAGTAAACAGGGGCTTGACAATCTTCAGAAGACCCCTTAATATGTCGGAGTCAAAAAATCAACACAATTGAAGTCAACAGATTTAATCATCCTACCCCATTGCAAGCAAAATCAGTAGAATAGATAATATCTTGACCTAACTCACGAGTCTTCACCGATCGAATCACTTTGACCATTGAATCATACAAGTAAATTATTCATTTTGGTGTTAGAATAATTTCTAGTATACGAGGTTTATAGAAAACAGAAAAATGTCATGAAATCAATTTTAAAGAATTGAGATTTGAAATGGTGCCAAAATATAAAAGAAAGGAAAATCTGCTATGAAAACTATGGGCGAAAAAGATTAAAAATAAATATTTGAAGACACCCAATTGTATAAAGTGTAGATGAAACGTGTGTCTGACGCACCAAAATATGAGGCTGGTATCTCTGGTGAGTTTTTTTCTTAAAACATGAACAGATGTCGCCGATGCAGCTTTGTCCAGGAAAATAACTTGTTTTCAACAGCAAAGTTCGTTCTTATGTTGTGGCGTTGTACCACTGTCCCAGGTCAGGGGGGTTGAGCGCTCAGAAACTCGTAGAACCCCGCAACATACTTTATATGCCTGTCCCAAGAAAGGAACCTGTAATTCAATTATTGTCATTGGTTGCTGTCCGTCGTTTATGATTTGACTAGCATTAAACAGGCCTATGATATTTTTGTTTGAAATATTTCACATTTAGTCATGATGTTGTCTTTTGCAACAGACAATACGGAATATATTTGCTCATTGTAAAACCGTTTAGTGACCTTTAGTTGCTAATATCCACGTTTTTTTTTCTTTGGTTGATTTTCTCATTGTCAACAACATCACGTTCTTATTTTTACAATGATAAGGTGAAGGTCAAACAAATCCTGCAAGATAAACATGAAGATGTAGACATTACAACTATTCATTTCACAAGCGCCAGCCATGTTGGTTGGAGGGCGGGATCATCGGAAACATTTTTAAACCCATAGCGTGATTGTGGCAAATTTTGGTTCCAATTGGATGAGTAGTTTCAGAGGAGAATATTTTTGTGAAAGTTAACATACAATACCAGACTCCAAATAAAGGGAAAATCTCACTTGACCCTTTGGTATAGGACCAAAATACCACACAGTAAACCAGATCACATCAACCACCAATATCTAGTCCAACGAAAAACACCTGTTACAGTTAAAGTTGAACTCTTTTAAAACATTTACTTTGGGGTCCTCGGTTGGTCAAAATTGCCCCCGACTTTGACCTTGAGATTAATCTGCTGATATCTCTTCGGTTTGTCTGTTTCCGCCGAGCAGCCCGATGGTTCTCTCCCAGTACTTCGGCTTCCTCCATCATAATAACAGACTCTGCCCGGTGTGCTAGCACTCCCTTGTGTTGGGATGGGGATTGTCCTTGTAAATATTGTTGTACATACATACATACAAACATCTGAGAAACGGACTTAATCATAATCCCAACTGATTCCTGCTGACTAATGGCCTCTGAACCATGGAAAAAAAACCTGGCCGACAGACAAATATTCTATACACCATATTAATCTATAACTGACTTTAACAGTCTGGTCTTATAATTTGCTGTAACACCACTGTCCAAGGTTATGGAAGGGTTGGCACACTGGCAAACATGTGCTTGTCCCAATTCAGAAGCCTGTAATTCAGTGGTTATTGTTTGTTGCTGTTTATCATATTTTTTGTCCTTTATTTGTTTTTATGTTAATCAGGCCGTTAGTTCTCTCTTGTTTTATATTTGTCATTTCAGGGTATTTTACAGTTTGGTGTGTGGAACAGGTTTTGCTAATTTTTGAAGGTTATGCAGTGACCTAAAGGAGCTAACCACCTACATCGTTTGGTATCTGGTGAAGAGTTGTGTCATTGGCATTCGTACATTATCTTCTTATTTATATATTCTATAGATTAATGTATCTGAGAAATATACCCAATCATTAAAACTCTTGAGGTAAAGATCAGATGAACCCTGCCAGATGAACATGAACACTTTACAATCATTCTATCCTGACACCAAATATCGTTCACCTGTTGACTAAATGGTTGTATTATTTCTGTATTAATTATAGATTGTCAGGCAAATTATGATAGTGCTTTTTTCATTTCTTGACCCAATTCCATCGAAAAATTGTTGATATTTATTAGTGTTGTCAAAGAGTTTAGTCTAAATGGTAACTCGGATAATCTTTCAACCGATTATGTTAAGTTGAGGTTGTAAAGACCTTATCTTCAGTACTCTACAAATGCAAGGTTTTATGATATGATAAATTTAAGTTTATTTTGGCATTATAATGCTTGGCTTTGAGGGTTCGTGATGAAGTTTTACTTTTAATTATCCATTACTACCATATCTACTATGACGTTTGTAATAACATCAGATTGAGAAGATGAAACTCTTCTTGATCTCGTCAAATTGACAAAGTCTGAAACCCATGATTGTTTCTTATTCTCTGGTGTCTCAGACAATTTTGTTGAGTGTTTTAATTTGGGGAGATTAAGCATGTTACTGTTACCACCCAGTATACATTAATTCTATTCACATGATTTGAATTTAACCATTTTTGAGTCGGCATTTCATTGAATGTATGACAAAGCCTTAGGCGATGGAGATGGCATATTTGTGAGTAGGTCTACACAATATATATTAAATAAAAAAAATAAGATGATAAAGTAAATCGTAAAATTTAATCAGCTTGCAACTGTTCAAAATACATTAATGCTAATTATGTTTACTTCAAATCTTGCCCTGAGTGGATAGACAAATTGCCTTTAATTTTTGAACATTGGAATGTTTTCAAGGTAAACAATAGCAATCAATATACTAAACAATTGATCTGTCAAATTAAGTACCTTGACAATCATTTTAAAATTCAAAAAAAAATATTAATGATTTCAATACAAATTTATATCTAATCTATTACAATTCAAAAAAGGTCCAGTTAATGGGTTAGCATTTTTGATGATTGATATTCTGTCCTTCCGACTATTAACCCGTTTACACTAATATCTAAAGACATCTCAAAGCAATTTAGGGTCTGTCTAGAAAATTGCGTTGATGTGTGATCTTTTGTTCTATTATGAAAGCCTCACTATGACTTTAATATGAAGAACAATATTAACAAGAATTTCCTTTGCTTTGGCTTACTTAAAATAAAAAAGTTATTGATTTATTTTTAAAGTTTAAATGCATCATTAAGAGTTGACACTTTTACACATTATGTCACTTGCTCACTCATATATAGATTTGAAAAATGTTCTGTTAATATCTCATAGGAACTCTTTTAAAAACCTACATTAGTATTTTTTGACAAAGTCCATCATTCTTTGCTACAATTATTAAATTGAAACACCTGAAAAAAAACTATGAAAAAAGTATTGAGGTCCAGTATTTTAATTGACATACAGTTCTGTGCATTTTCAAGTTAATCTCTTATGGCTGGTATTGGAGTAATAAATAAGGCAATGTTTCTTCACATTATGACCAGAGAGAAAAGAAAGTGTCATCTTTTCAGGTAAATAGTGCAGCCAAAAGCGGTTTAAACTCCTAAAGATTTTCTTCTGTTAAAAATTATGTTGATTGGACAATAAATTTTTAGCTACACACCTGCAAAAGATGAATGGAATCAAGAATGTGTCCATAGTACACGGATGCCCCACTCGCACTATCATTTTCTATGTTCAGTGGACCGTGAAATTGGGGTCAAAACTTAGAAAGATCATATCATAGGGAACATGTGTACTAAGTTTCAAGTTGATTGGACTTCAACTTCATCAAAAACTACCTTGACCAAAAACTTTAACCAAAAACTTTAACCTCAAGCGGGACAGACGGACGAACGAACAAACGTACAAACGAACAAATGGACGAACGGACGTGCAGACCGAAAAACATAATGCCCCTAAGTGGGGCATAAAAAGTACTTTCAATGCAAAAATAGATTAAAATAACTTTAATACATTTACAGATCTACAAAAGATGACAATGTATGTTTAAGATAGTCCATTTCTGTAACTTTTTGGCAGTTTAACTGGATGAAAGGTAAACATCTTGTCTTTATAGTAGATATTCCTGTATCTATTGTTTTCTCTGTGAAATCTGCAAAATAGTTCAAATGATTTTTTACAAATATAAGTATAATTCATTTTTTTTTCTGTAAACGTGTATCCAGCATTACTCAAATTTCAGGAAGTTTTCCTTTTGTTTTATTTAAATAATAAATCAAAATGTTTTCAAAACAAATACAATATTGAGCATTTTAAGTAAGGCATTTTTCTGTAGCATTTGAAAGGATTATTAAGTTAATAAAAATGAACACTTGAATTGACATTGCCAGCCAAGTTGAACATATCAATATATCAAATTGAACAATTTAAATTCAGATTCTATTATGTAATCTTTCAAATAATACCATTAAGCCATATAAATACCTTGTGCATATTTGAATGTAAAATTTTGCTTTTGATAAGATAACAAAGATGCATGTATATATGTGTAAATAAACAACTAACTGTGATAAAATGTGTTTACAACATAGAAAAATCTTTTCTTTTTTAAATGGGTGTCACCTGCTGTCTTAAAAATTAACTAAGCAGAAATGACAAGACCTATGTTTTAAAAATGGAAACCGCAAAAGTCACACAGATAAAAATCAGATTTGCAGATGCACAACTTTGTTGTCTATAGGTTGCATTTCTGTAAATATTGACAATGCAATTTCTCATAGGAACTCCTTTTACAGCTAAAACTGTACCACTTTTACTATGAAGTTTTGAAAAAAATCATATCCTAGAATGGAAAGTTCATATGCACTACTATTTTTATCAAAGGTCAAAATATAGGGCTGTGCGGCATATTTTCAACGTTTATATGCCCCGAACTTCTAAGAGTTTAAACTAACACTAAATTTCTTAACTACCCCTACCTTAACTGTAGGATTACCACAGATTTCAATATAAACAATATGCATATGTATATTTACTGGTAACATTCCCAAGTTATGTCTCTATGAGAAGAAAAACATAGAGATCATAACTGGGAACCAGTATGTAAATAAAATTAATTATCTATGAATATTCTATATCTCCCCAAAAGAGGCATGGTTGGAGAAACAGCTGTATTTACAAAGTGCAACCTATAGCAAAACCTATACGAGTTAGATTGAATTCTGTCAAGCTGTTTTCAAGACCTTGCTATTTCACAAAGTGTGAAGAGAATGACAAGGCAAGACCACAGAAATGCTGGGTAAATGTAACAACAGCTTTGTTGTCAGGCAACTTTACATGATTAAGTGACCAAACAACACAAAAGTGCAAACACTGAATGTCTTCGTAATATTAATGTAGTTTTTCTGCACTCATACCTGCCAACCCTCCCGATTTGAGCGGGAGTCTACCGCGCAAACTACGAAATTTGGGAAATCTCCCACTTGCCAGTCTGCTCCCGTGCGGGAGTATAGAATCTCCCGCTTTCGTTTATTTTGACCTGCAATAACTCGCGTTCGTAATTCTCTGGCTTTTTCATTACTTTCAATAGAAATAAATAAACAATCAGCGATCATTTGAAAACTTTGGTCAGTAGTTTTTATGTTCGATATACATGTATAAGTAATCGAAATTCAGTTCTGCTATGTCAACTCCAACAAGATAGAGGTCGTTTTCTGGACCAAACGGCAGTGTAAAAAAGAAGAAATAGATAACTGCAAATCGAAGTGTCAAGCAGATAATTTGAATGAAAAATTTTCAATTTTTACGACCAAGTTCACTTGGCAATGAATCTTTTTGCACATCATATTCAATCAACTTTTCCTATTCTTCTGGTGGTCTGTACAATGTTTGAAAGCATGCTTAGTGTGAGACTCACAACAAAATCAAAATATGGAATGTTATGAGTTATGAGACTCGGAGGTATTAAAAAAGGCTTACAAAACCACCTTGTATAGATTATAACCATGAATTGAAAAAATAAAGTATATATATTAACTCTTATTGGTGTTTTGTAGATGAATATGTAAACAGGTCATATATTTAACATGAAAATGTCGTTCGTGCAAAATCTTGCCCTCAGCTGTCATAGCTGAGGGGGAGATCTCCCTCTTAGAAGGTTTCAGAGGTTGGCAGGTATCTGCACTAAATGTGAAATTTGACAATTCATAATGCTCCAGGCCAAAATATTTGAAAATTAAAGACCTAAAATAAATGTTGAAGAGATGATAAAACCCAACTAGAGGCTCTAAAGAGCCTGTGTCGCTCACCTTGGTCTATGTGCATATTAAACAAAGGACACAGATGGATTCATGACAAAATTGTGTTTTGGTGATGGTGATGTGTTTGTAGATCTTACTTTACTGAACATTCTTGCTGCTTGCAATTATCTCTATCTATAATGAACTTGGCCCAGTAGTTACAGTGGAAAATATTTTGTAAAAATTTACAAAAATTTACAAAATTTATGAAAAGTGTAAAAAATTGACTATAAAGGGCAATAACTCCTTAAGGGGTCATTTGACAATTTTGGTCATGTTGACTTATTTGTAGATCTTACTTTGCTGTACATTATTGCTGTTTACAGTTTATCTCTATCTATAATAATATTCAAGATAATAACCAAAAGCTGCAAAATTTTCTTAAAATTACCAATTCAGGGGCAGCAACCCAACAACGTGTTGCCTGATTGGTCTTAAAATTTCAGGGCAGATAGATCTTGACCTAATGAACAAATTTTATCCCATCAGATTTGCTTTAAATGCTTTGGTTTCAGAGATATGAGCCAAAAACTGCATTTTACCCTATGTACTATTTTTTAGCCATGTCGGCCATCTTGGTTCGCAGGCGGGGTCATCGGACATATTTTTTAAACTAGATACCCTAATGATGATTGTGGACAAGTTTGGTTAAATTTGTCTTTGTAGTTTCAGAGGAGAAGATTTTTGTAAAAGATTACAAAAATTTACGAAAAATGGTTAAAAATTGACTATAAAGGGCAATAACTCCTTAAGGGGGTCAACTGACCATTTTGGTCAAGTTGACTTATTTGTAGATCTTACTTTGCTGAACATTATTGCTGTTTACAGTTTATCTCTATCTATAATAATATTCAAGATAATAACCAATAAAATGCTTCGCTGGGCGCAGCTTGATACGACCGCAGAGGTCGAACCCTGAACAGTTGGGGCAAGTATGGACACAACATTCAAGCTTGATACAGCTCTGAATTTGGATTGTGATTAAATATTTGACACAGCATAGGTTTCTGACACAGAAAGAATGTGGTCTAAGAACTTCAATTTTTTTAATTTACCTATTATGGTCCAATGTCCAAAATCAAAATACATGGTTAGATTCAGCATATCAAAGAACCCCATATATTCAATTTTTGTTGAAATCAAACAAAGTTTAATTTTGGACCCCAACTTGGACAAACTTGAAAACTGGTCCCATAATCAAAAATCTAAACACATGTTTAGATTCAGCATATCAAAGTACCCCAAGAATTCAATTTTTGTTAAAATCAAACTAAGTTTAATTTTGGACCCTTTGGACCTTAATGTAGACCAATTTAAAAAACGGGACCCAAAATTAAAAATCTAAAAACACGGTTAGATTTGGCATATCAAAGAACCCCAATAATTCAATTTTTGATGAAATCAAACAAAGTTTAATTTTGGACCCTTTTGACCTCAATATGAACCAATTTGATAGCAGGCCCACAAAATAAAAAATCTAAATACATGGTAAGATTCAGAATATCAAAGAACCCCATATATTCAATTTTTGTTGAAATCAAACAAAGTTTAATTTTGGACCCCAATTTGGACCAACTTGAAAACTGGACCAAAAATCTAAAATCTAAATACATGTTTAGATTCAGCATATCAAAGAACCCCATATATTCATTTTTTGTTGAAATCAAACAAAGTTTAATTTTGGACCCCAACTTGGACCAACTTGAAAACTGGTCCCATAATCAAAAATCTAAACACATGTTTAGATTCAGCATATCAAAGAACCCCAAATATTCAATTTTTGTTAAAATCAAACTAAGTTTAATTTTGGACCCTTTGGACCTTAATGTAGACCAATTTAAAAAACGGGACCCAAAATTAAAAATCTAAATACACAGTTAGATTTGGCATATCAAAGAACCCCAATAATTAAATTTTTGATGAAATCAAACAAAGTTTAATTTTGAACCCTTTTGACCTCAATATGAACCAATTTGATAGCGGGCCCACAAATAAAAAATCTAAATACATGGTAAGATTCAGCATATCAAAGAACCCCATATATTCAATTTTTGTTGAAATCAAACAAAGTTTAATTTTGGACCCCAATTTGGACCAACTTGAAAACTGGGCCAAAAATCTAAAATCTAAATACATGTTTAGATTCAGCATATCAAAGAACCCCATATATTCAATTTTTGTTGAAATCAAACAAAGTTTAATTTTGGACCCCAACTTGGACCAACTTGAAAACTGGGCCCATAATCAAAAATCTAAACACATGTTTAGATTCAGCATATCAAAGAACCCCAAGAATTCAATTTTTGTTAAAATCAAACTAAGTTTAATTTTGGACCCTTTGGACCTTAATGTAGACCAATTTAAAAACGGGACCCAAAATTAAAAATCTAAATACACGGTTAGATTTGGCATATCAAAGAACCCCAATAATTCAATTTTTGATGAAATCAAACAAAGTTTAATTTTGGACCCTTTTGACCTCAATATGAACCAATTTGATAGCGGGTCCACAAATAAAAAATCTAAATACATGGTTAGATTCAGCATATCAAAGAACCCCAAGAATTCAATTTTTGATGAAATCAAACAAAGTTTAATTTTGGACCCTTTTGACCTCAATGTGGTCAAAGTTGATAACGGGGCCCAAAAATCAAAAATCTAAATACATGGTTAGATTCAGCATATCAAAGAACCCCATATATTCAATTTTTGTTGAAATCAAACAAAGTTTAATTTTGGACCCCGATTTGGACCAACTTGAAAACTGGGCCCATAATCAAAAATCGAAATACATGTTTAGATTCAGCATATCAAAGTACCCTAAAAATTCAATTTTTGTTAAAATCAAACTAAGTTTAATTTTGGACCCTTTTGACCTTAATGTAGACCAATTTGAAAACAGAACCAAAAATTAAGAATCTAAATACACGGTTAGATTCGGCATATCAAAGAACCCCAATAATTCAATTTTTGATGAAATCAAACAAAGTTAAATTTTGGACCCTTTGGACCTCAATGTGGACCAATTTAAAAACGGGGCCCAAAATCCAAAAACTTAATACACGGTTAGATTCAGCATATTAAAGAACCCCAAGAATTCAAGAATAAAACCCCATTGAAATTGATCAAGAAATAAGCAATTTATACGAAGTATCTTCTTTTGCACAATACTGTGCAATTGAATATTTCTTGCTATTGTGCAATACTGTACAATTGACAATTTCTTGCTATTGCGCAATATTGTGCTATTGGATATTTCTTGCTATTGCGCAATACTGTGCAATTGAAGATTTCTTGCTATTGCGCAATACTGTGCAATTGAAGATTTCTTGCAATTGTGCAATACTGTGCAATTGAAAATTTCTTGCTATTGCACAATACTTATTATATAATAATTTACACATCCTGTTTGGTGTGTATCTCCTACCATATCATTATTATTTGCTTTTAAATATTAATCAGAAATACCAACTTAAAATGGAAAATTTTAAAAGAAAAAAAAAGGAAAAAAAGAAAAAAAAAGAAAAAAAAAAATCCCCCCCCAAAATTTTTTGAACCCCCTTATGATTCATCACCCCCAAACTCAATCCCAGCCTTCCCTTTGTGGTATGGTACCTTGCAGTACAATTTCAGAGAGATCCATACACTTGAACACAAGTTATTGTCTGGAAACTAGAAAAATGCTTATCTTTTTGGCCCCTTTTTGGCCCCCAATTCCTAAACGTTTCGGGCAATTACCCCCAAACTCAATTCCAGCTTTCCCTTTGTGATATGGAACCTTGTGGTACAATTTCAGAAATATCCAAACACTTACACACAAGTTATTGTCATGAAACTAGAAAAATGCTTGTTTTTTGCCCCTTTTTTGGCCCCTAATTCCTAAAATTTTGAGGCAATTACCCCCAAAATCAATTACAGCCTTCCCTTTGTGATATAGAACCTTGTGGTACAATGTCAGAGAGATCCATACACTTCCACACAAGTTATTGTCTGGAAGTTACAAAAATGCTTATTTTTGGCCCCTTTTTGGCCCCTAATTCCTTAACTGTTGGTACCATAACCCCCAAAATCAATCCCCACCTTCCTTTCGTGGTATTGAACCTTATGGTAAAATTTCATGGAGATCCATTCACTTAAACTAAAGTTAGAGTGCGAAAACCAATGTGTCTTCGGACGACGCCGGACGACGCCAGACGACGACGACGACAACGACGCCGCCAACGTCATACCAATATACGATCAAAAAATTTTCAATTTTTGCGGTCGTATAAAAACGGCACAATTTCCTTAAAATTACCATTTCAGGGGCAGCAACCTAACAACGGGTTGTCCGATTCATCTGAAAATTTCAGGGCAGATAGATCTTGACATGATAAACAATTTTACCCCCATGTCAGATTTGCTCTAAATGCTTTGGTTTCAGAGATAGAAGCCAAAATCTACATTTTACCACTATGTTCTATTTTTAGCCATGGCGGCCATCTTGGTTTGTTGGCGGGGTCACCAGACAAATTTTTTTAACAAGATACCCCAATGATGATTGTGGCCAAGTTTGGTTAAATTTGGCCAAGTAGTTTCAGAGGAGAAGATTTTTGTAAAAGTTAACGATGACGACGACGACGGACGACGGACGCCAAGTGATGAGAAAAGCCAGGTGAGCTAATAAAAACCATACCAGACCAAGTAGGTTATAGTTTATGTATTTCTTATAGTTTAAATATAAAAGTGATCTCAGCACAACAACTCTATGTTGATGATCATTAATTCATTAAAAGAGGTGAAGGTCATGTGACTCTATTAAGACAGACATGTATACCCTATATCCACACTATTGACTACAGAACAAATTTACTTTACACATTACTCATAGTAAATGTAAAATCAACTTGTATACCAGTCAGGGGTACTACCTATACAAGTGATTTTAGAATCACCTTTTTGAGAGATTTCAGCATTGAAAAATTGAAAATTTTGACAATTAAAGAATCTAAGTGAGCGCACTCACATACCCCATGTCCCCACACTGTTACTGGAGAAATAAAATAACTGTAAGAAAAAAAATTTGTATAAGAAAAAAAAATTGAATCATAATTTCCTGTCGATATGCACATCTACATAGTATGTCCTTATTATCTACAAAGTTTCATGAAATTCTGTTGTGTGGTTTGAGAGGAGTTGCGATGACAAACTGTTGCAGAGGTATATTGAAGCAAATAAGTTCAAAGGGGCGTAACTCCTAGAAAAAAAATTGAATCATAATTTCCTGTCGATATGCACATCTACCTAGTATGTCCTTATTATCTACAAAGTTTCATGAAATTCTGTTGAGTGGTTTCAAAGGAGTTGCGATGACAAACTGTTGCAGAGGTATATTGAAGCAAATAAGTTCAAAGGGGCGTAACTCCTAGAAAAAAAATTGAATCGTAATTTCCTGTTGATATGCACATCTACGTAGTATGTCCTTATTATCTGAAAAGGTTTCATGAAATTCTGTTGTGTGGTTTGAGAGGAGTTGCGATGACAAAAGGTTGCAGTAGTATATTGGGCAAATAAGTTCAAAGGGGCGTAACTCCTGAAAAAAAAATTGAATCGTAATTTCCTGTCGATATGCACATCTACGTAGTATGTCCTTATTATCTACAAAGTTTCATGAAATTTTGTTGTGTGGTTTCAGAAGAGTTGAGATGACAAACTGTTGCAGTAGTACATTAAAGGAAATAAGTTGAAAGGGGCTTAACTCCTAGAAAATAAATTGAATCGTAATTTCCTGTCGATATGCACAACTACATAGTATGTCCTTATTATCTAAAAAGGTTTCGTGAAATTCTGTTGTGTGGTTTGAGAGGAGTTGCGATGACAAGAAACAGGACTGACGGACTGACGGACGGACAGACGGACAGACAGACGGACGGGTCAAAAACATTATACCCTCCGCAACTCGTTGCGTGGGGTATAAAAATAGAAACAGACTTTTTAAAATCACTGAAACAAGTGATTTGAGAAGTAAAAATGTAAACACTTCAGTAAGTGTTTATAACATTTTCTTGATATTTTTCCCACAAGCTTGGTTTTTGTTATTGGTTAAAAGACAAGGATTCCATTTAAAAACAACTCAAATACTTGCAGAAATTATCTTTTACTTGATGAGCCTGTCAGTTTTTACAGTTTATTTGAAATATGCATAAACTGGAATAATTTGTAGATCAGGACAAAACCTTGAAGTTGATCATTCAAAGTGTAAAGAAGACCAATCAGGTTACTTAAGTTTGTTGACCTTTGTCTGATATTTGTAAGCGTAATGAATGAATAGTTGATGACAGAAAAATTCCCACAGGTACTTTTTAAAGCTTTAGCGCACTAACTTACTGCCCAAGCGAGAAAAAGAGATACTAGTAATTGATCTATGAAGGAAAATTACAGAAAAATTTGTCAAATATGGAAAATTAATGAAATTAGCATTTGAAGATCAAAGGAAACACCAAAGTCACTTCAACAGGTGATTATTGAATTTTCAAATCACTTGTTTGAGTCATACCCCTCTCCTGACTGTATACAAAAATAAACGTTGGGAATTATATTAGACATTCGACTAGTAATAAATGAAACACTGTCCTATGAGTAAAATTTATCAATGTCTGGTGACTCTTCAAAGATAGACACATACACATTAAATTGATTGATTAATTGATTGGTGATTAACACCACTTTCAGCAATATTGTGCTATTTCGTGGTGGTCAGTTTTTATTGGTGGAGGATGCCGGAGTGCCCAGAGAACCACGACCTTCGGTAGGAAAACTGACAATCCTAGTCAATTTAGATTGGAGTCGAGCATACACATTTAAACCAAGTTACTCAATAAACATGACCTATTACACATACTAATATATTAATTGATAAAACTTTAATTTTCACTTTAGTAAGTTATTGAATCATAAAAATGAGGTGAAAGTTGACTGCCAAATATTAGAACAAAACTTTATACCATAAGCCATAAACAAAATATGGATTGTCTAACTCTTTTAATATATCAAATATCAAGTGTTAAACAATTTATTTAAGCTGTCAGATCAGCATACATGTCCCCTATTCTTTATGACAGACTAGATAAAAATGACCAACCTTGACACTTCTGAATGACCAAAAATATTTATCTCAGTCATTATGTCCACTATGCCCACATTTAGGTCATGACTGGCAAATATGACCATTTCATACCCTTAAATATATATCAATGATTTTACTGGTTTGAATATTATTCAAGACTAAGTACCTTCTAAACCCATGCTATTCAGCAGATCACAGGGATGTAGATATGGTTCCTTTCCATTACAGCTTATAGGTTTGCATGTTAAACACATGTGTACGGTCCTTTTGATCACTGAGTTCTCACATAACACATATACAAACTTCTCTAAGGTAGACCCAAAATCTGGAAAACTCTAAAATTATAAGCAATTAGATTTTATTTGTCTGTATGATACACAACAAGCCTACATCAAAAGGTTCTTGTGTATTGGAAAAGGGTCATAATTCATATAATCTTTAAATCTAATAGGATCTACCAAGCTAAAGGTGATGTCTATGCTTCTATTTTATGGGCTTTGCGAACATTAACAAGTCTTATGCAATTAAATAAATAGAATAAGCTGGCTGTGATATATGGTTCAATTTGTGAAAACAAAAATCTTCATTAGATAAGCTATTTCATATATAAGTTATTTCATATATAAGTTATTTTTTTCTAGTGGCCAATTCTTATGTATTTATAACAGGTCTCTTCAATGGTAAAAGAAAAGATCTCCCTTTTTGCAGTCTGATAAGTTAGCAGGTCTGTATTTAACAAAATTCAAAAAACATATTTCATTCTATTTTTTAGGAATAGTTTGATTGTTACAGAGTTTGTATACAGTAAATGAAATTGCAACAAAGTCTACTGGATTTTATTTCTTAAAATACTTTCAGATAGTATTGACCTGATTTAAATGCCCCCTTTTTTAAAGTTCACAAAACTCTTTTGTAAACTATCAAAATCATTATACCTATATTTACCAGTATTATAATATCTATAAATAACCTTTTCACAGGTAGATTTTTGTATACATTCATTGATCAAAGTAACGTCAAGGTAAACTTCAAACAGTAAATAGAAAACCAAAGTAAGTGTTAGGTAAAAAGTTTATATACTTCAACATCACCGTATTTAAGAAAAATAAATAAATGATAGTTTTGTTTTAATACCAATCAATGAAAGAACTTAATCTGTTGTGAAATTTTATGATTAAATTTGAATCCAGTTTCTGACTACGCTATAGTAATATCTATGGGTATATTTAACAGAAATAGATACATGACTCTTGTTTGAATAGTAATCAATGAAAGAACTGGATCTGTTGTGAAATTTTATGACGAAATTTGAACAGAGTTTTTGTTTATAAGTAATATCTATTTTTAAATGTTCAAAATATTTAACTTGTATATAATATATATTATTCACTTATCATAGTAATTTTCTACAAATTGCATTAAAGGTAAGACGTTTTCAAATTTGAAGATTTCTAGCTTTACTTTTAAATAAATTATTATTTTCTGTAAATTATACCAATTTAAAAGAAACCACTGCCATAAAATCTGATGTCATACTTTGTAAACAGTTACTAAAATACAGCATTATAGTTCTAATTATTGACTTTCTGAGTATCTATACAAATTTTTTTCTATTTCCAGGTTTTTAGAAAAAACAATGCATAATATTGACATAAACATCCTTTGAAAAGCCATCATTTGTGAATGAATTCTAAAGACAACATGGAATCCCAGTCATATTCTATAATGAGTTTACCAGATGAGGTAATAGTGAAAATACTTTCATACATTTCACAGTATGAACTGATATATACCATACAACACATCAATACAGACATGCACCAATTATGCTTTGCACCGTTACTATGGAAATCTATCAACAGCATACAAGATCTTATTGAAGAGGAAGATGATGATCCAAATTTTAAAACCTTTTTCAGAACAATATTGCCTTACGTTGAGCAAATAAATATTGATATTGATCTGGATTCGTTCTTTTCAATTCTAACTACCAATGAGAATATGATTTTATATAATTTGAGAAAAGCAGAACTTCATTTTGTTATCAATGGTCCCGAAGAATTAGAGAGGACTGTGCTACATTTACCAGATATAAGAGAAATTAAAGTGATAGTTTCCACAGCATATACTGATAGACTTCCTCAGTGTACCAAAGTTTTGTCTTCTCTGACAAAATTAGAAAGGTTGACACTTGTTCGTCGAGGTAAAAGCCTTTTTTACCATAAACCTTATAAGGAAGACAGGACCAGAGAATTGAACAATCTAATATCAAATCATCCTGGACTTAAGATGTTTTCTATAGAACGTCAAAGATTTCACCGCTCCACTTTTGAACTACTGCTATCAACATGCAAAGACTTGGAATGTATAAAGCTGAATAAGTGTATAGAAATAAGGGCTGATGGAATTGATATGCCTTTGCAGACATCATTAACATCATTTATATCAAAAGATTGTAAGATAGATGATCACTTCGTAGAAGTTCTGACTGAAAGTTGTCCAAATCTGAAAAAAATCTCCTTTGATCAATGTCAGACCATAAATGATAAATGTTTACAACATATCAGAGATAATTGTCCTTTATTAGAAGACCTTATCCTTAATCAACAAAAGCCTGAAAAGAACATAACATTACCGCCTCAGACCTCAATATCAGATGATGGTTTAGAAAAAATTGCCAGGGGATGTCCAATACTAAAACGTTTACTTGTAAATTATTGTAATAATGTGAGTGATGCAGGTATTAAGAATATTGCTGAATATTGTCCTATGCTTTTAGTATTGGAAACTGAGGGATGTTCACAAGTTACAGAAGATTCAGTAAGATGCATTGCATCTAAATGCAAATGGCTTCACAAAGCAAACTTCAGCCATTGCAAAAACATTACATTTCAAAGTATAAACTACTTAGTTAGGAAATGTAATTATTTGGAAAAGTTAGATCTTACATTATGCGGTGATAATCAATTTGAACAGACTGAAAGTGTATATGAAAATCAAATTATTCCAAATCAAGTCCAAGCTTTAAAAGAAAACATTACAAGTTCAACTCAAAATAAGCAAAAGGATGGTTCGAAAATAAGGACTGTAATGCCATCAATTGAAAATGTAAATGTCAGAAGATCCCATCCATTGTCAGAACTATATTTAAACTCGGCAAACATTGATGATGAAACAGTATTTTTTACAGCAAACATCTGTGCAGATCTCCGAACTTTAAACTTAAATGATAACCCTCAAGTTACTGATATGGCAATAACCAGGTTGATGCAAAACTGTAAATTTTTACAAGTCTTGCATCTTTCAGGAAGCATAAAACAAACGTGTAACTTAACGAATGATTCCCTTTCATCAATTGCTAAATATGGAGAAAATTTAAAAGCTCTAACAATAACTGGAAACAAACAAATCAACATAGATGGAATAAAAGAGGTCATCTGTTCATGTGATAGTTTGACACAGTTTGATTTCACTGTTGGAAGCATTTTCAAAGTTTTAGAAACTCAGGTCACAAATTTTATTGACAAATATGACCAAAAACGTATCTTCATGAGGTCAGGAAGAGGTATGGGCCTTGACTGTCAAGCTTATAATATGAATCCAAACTATTACAATGTTCAACTATATATAAGTAGACTTCATTCTAGATTTACTATCTAAGAAATCAATATTCCTTTAAAATGTATATTTTAGATCCACATGAATCAGAGAATTTTTTTTCAAGGAACACATATGATTATCTGACATTAGTGTGAACAATGTCTATATGTAATGAAACAAAATACATTCAGTACAATATAAATACACATAAATAACGATGTGGATTCAGAAACAAGAAACTAAGGCTTATATTAATTTGAATATAAAAGAAATCTCTGTAAAATGCAAATTACTGATTTTTTTTTTTATTAATTGAAAGGGGCAGATATAAAAAGATTAAAAGAGAAATTGGGATTTGCACATATTGTGGTTTAAATGAAATAGAAGATGAATCCCACATTTTTTCCACCTGTCTCATTAATCAAACTCGACATCTTGAATTTGAAAATCATATTAATATTGAGATTCCAGAACTTTTAATAATTTTGATAAAAAAGCTAATAAAAATGTTAGCTATGCCTGAACTTATTTAGTGTGTTGTTGCATTCATTAGAATGTCCAAAGTACTGTGGAAACTCTGAAAGTGAACTCTTTAACTGTATGGTTACAACACAGCTATGTAATTAAAAATTTGCATATTTTATTCTATTTTTATTGTATTTTATTTTCATTGTTTTCTTGTTTGTTTATTATTGTACACCATCAACCCTTCAGGGTATAAATGTGCATTTGAAATTTATAAATTAATACCTCTCCTAGATCACATTGACCAATTGACACAACAAATACCTCAGTAAATATAACATTTTGATGCAGTTGAACCTTTTTTTGAGCAAAGCTGTCACTCATTTAAATGTATATTTCTTATTTATTATCTATATTCCCTGAAAACTTTAACTTAATGCAGCAAGGCATGAAAAGGTTAAATACATAGCCCAAGACTATTGGTTTCCCTTAAATGCATTCTTTCATCAAGTTGATGTTTATTTCTTTGAAGACAGTAGTCAATTCAATAGATTTCTTCTTTATGATATTGGTCATCATTTTGAAGTGTCTTTCTGGAGCTTCATATTATGACTGAACAGGATATTGCTAAAAGGTAAAATCACAAAAATACAGAACTCAGAGGAAAATTCAAAACGGAAAGTCCCTAATCAAATGGCAAAATCAAAAGCTCAAACACATCAAACGAATGGATAACAACTGTCATATTCCTGACTTGGTACAGGCATTTTCTAATGTAGAAAATGGTGGATTAAAACCTGGTTTTATAGCTAGCTAAATCTCACTTGTATGACAGTTGCTTTAAATTCCATTATATTGACAATGATGTGTGAACAAAACAAATAGACATAATAGGTAAAAATGTCAAAATAGGGGTACAACAGTCAACATTGTGTTATAATCTTAATCACTATGAAAACAAACAAATATGTAACAAATTAACACAAAAAGACATATAGACAAAGCACATAAGCAAAAAAGAAAGACAAGAATACAAAAATTTACCATAGCACAATAACACAATGATGGGATGTATAAGTACCTAGCCATGTCAAATGAATAACACCAAAAAATAGACTAAACAGTAAAAGTAATATTCAAAAAGACAAATAAAAGAATACTATAACACGTTATTTAGATGATAAACAACGTCAGTACCTAGAATCTATACTTCAAGACCATCGTGTATTATTTGTGAAGTTGATAAGGAATATTTATCAACAAGGTCTTGGTACCTTCCGATGAAATTTTTTAGAAAAAGGAAGAGACGTTCTTTGACATACCCCTGGTTCATCAACATTCTGCTCAGACACTGGTGACGTTTTACAAAGTCTGAGTAGCAGCTGCAAGCTCCTGAATACCGAATAAGTTGGGAAATGTATATCCAATATGCAGGTGAAGTTGGTATATTGCTACTAAGGTGGGGAAATTGATAATTTCAAAATTAAAATCGTCTCGTTTGTCATAGATTCTGGTATTGAGATGACCGTGTATGTCAAATTTGAGGTATAAGTCTAAAAATGAGGCGGAGGAAGCCGTGTCTGTTGTTTCTTCAATTTCTAGTTCTAGGGGATATATTAATGGAACCCAATCAGAAAAGTTTGGATTGTTAATGGAAAGAACATCATCAATATATCTGAATGTGAAATTAAATGACCTGGCTTCTTTCATCTTCTTGTTTTTGACAAGTGTCTGAAGGAACTCCAACTCATATGAAAACAAGAAGAGGTTGGCAAGGAGAGGCGCACAGTTCGTTCCCATAGGAATGCCAACAATTTGTTGAAAAAGTCTACCTCCAAATTCAACAAATATGTTGTCAATGAGAAACTCTAGCATACTGATCACTTATTCCTATTTGTAGCATGTTTTCACATTTAGTTCACTATTAACATAAACTGTTATCACAGAGATATGTTTTGCCTTTTTGTAATTTTGATAATGCAAATGTTGAAATTAAAATAGCAATACTTTAACATGTAAGTTATGCAAATATTCAAAGTCAATGAACCATGACTGAAGGTACATGGCTAAACAATCTCCATGGAATGAGATGTGCCAATGCTAATACAACTGCATACCAAATACCATTGACTTATTATAAGTCATTCCCTTTAAACAGACCTAAACACAAACATTAACTTGTAAACTATGTAAAAGTTTCAAAGTCAATGAACCATGATCAGGGGTGGGGCTATATAATCTCTATGGAAACGATACTTGCAAATGCCAATAAATTTGCATACCAAATATCATTGACTTAACATTAGCAGTTCATCTTAAACTGATCTAATCACAAACTAATACATGTAAACTTAAGCAAAGTTTCAAAGTAAATAGACCATGACTGAGGGGCGGGTCAAATATTCTCCATGGAAATGAGATGTGCTAATGCTTATACAACTGAACACAAATTAACATTGGCCTACCACTAATGGTTCCCCTTGAACTGACCTAATCACAAACTCATACATGTTAACTTAGCAAAATTTTCAAAGTCTATAGACTGTGACTAAGGGGTCGGAGCCAAATAATCTCCATGGAAATGAGATATGCCAATGCTTATACAACTGCATACCAAATATCATTGACCTACCACTAGTGGTTCCCCATAAATTGACCTAATCACAAACTAATACATGTAAACTATGAAAAGTTTCAAAGTCAATAGACCTTGACTGAGGGGGCGGGGCCAAATAATCTCCATGGAAATGAGATGTGCCAATGCTAATACAACTGCATACCAAATATTATTGACCTACCACTAGTGGTTCACCATGAACTAGACCTAATCACAAACTAATACATTGTTGACAGCGCCATCGCCGCCAACGCCGGATACAGCATACCTATGTCTCGCTTTTTGACTCCATCAAGTCGAGACAAAAATATGCCGTATGGTATCCCAAAGTAATAAATTTGTATTGTATGCTACCATTTTTATGTTGAAAAGCATTGTGGATTATTTCTTTCAGACGATTTTTCAATTTCACATGGGGAATGGTGGTATACAGGGTTGAAAAATCAAAAGTTTTGATAGAACTAATTTCAGAAAAAGATCGAGATTTAAAATTATCCAGAAGTTCTATAGAGTTTTTTTAGAATCCACATATGGTTAATACAACTATGCGAGTAAACAGTTTCACAGTGTTTCTGAAGACCCTCTTTCACTGCGGACAGAATTTTTGTCAATCTAATGGACAATACTTTAGTCGAACATGCAGATGAGCCGGCAATGTACCATTATTTGTACGGAATTTTGAGAAGCTTAGGTATCCAATACAAACAAGGTAAGTCCTCCGATTTGCTGTTCAATGTAATATTCATTGAAGCCATGAAGGACTTATGATTCGCCAAAATCTCATCCTTGTCAAATGATATGTTTTTGTATGTGGGATTACCTGAGTGCTCATTTATTCCTAATTCTTTTACAAGACACTCATAGTAGTACGATTTAACCAACTTTTGCATGTTTTGTATATTTCATATAAACTCAACAAACTTATACTTATTTTCCAGAAAAGATTACCATAGAACAGAGCATATATATGTTAGTGTGATGGACTTTTATTACCCTTTTTACTCAACAAACTTGAACTAATTTTCCAGAAAAGATTACCATATATATGTTAGTGCGATGGACTTTTATTAACATTTTTACATTCACATATTTCAGTGTATCAAGTTTTATTGGTGGTTTATAATTCAATAATTTGTGAGGATGGTTTAAAGGAGACATGACACGATTTTCAATTTTTGTTTTTTAAATGTTTATTTATACATAACTTTCCCCAAAAATACATCGATAGCAATATAAGTGTCAGATATTTGGTAAAATATGTACTTTAATGCAACGATTTATCGACCTGTCAAATATGCATATTTCCATCCCGGTAGTCACTCAGAACGAGGCTACTACGTCACTGATTACTTTCATTCATATTGACCTATGGGTACAGCGCAAATTTAGTTTCGATTATTACCCAACAAAATGCATGACAGTGATAAACAATGATTATGTGTGATGCCGATGGATTCAACAATATAATTAAAAAGAATAATGACATGATATTTTCTGTTTTACGAATGACACGCAGACTTAGAAGGTGTAAAGATGGGAGTTTTTAACAAGGATTTGTAGTCTTACTATACAAATCCTTGTTTTAAACAACCCCAAACTACACTTTTTTCCGCCCACTTTCATAAGGAATCCAGAGTTGGGGTCTCGGGTTCCATGCCATGAGTTCATCATAGGTCACAGTTGTGCGGTACAGGAGATTGAATTTCGCAATTTCAGGTATCGTTTGAAGTTGTAACCTTCAGGTGTCACCACACATAGGGGATTGATAAGACATAGTTATTACGCAATATTACTTCATAAGCTCTTTGTGTACATCCTGGATGTTGGTTTTGCCGAGGCACAGGTGAGATTGGAATATATTATTGTTACAGTAATACAGGTACAACTAACTGATGCTTAATGAATACCTGTAGTACGACCATACAATACCCTATGCATAACCAATTAAATAACCTAACCAGTGTTGATAACTAATAGACAACCGGTATATAGATCTTATTTTTATTGCTTTTAAGAATATACAGATATAAAAAAGTTTATTACAGATGCATTTTTTTAATTGACTTCTTCTTGAGATGGAATAGTAATATTCCTGTATGCTTGAAAGTCTATAACTTCATATAAGAAATTATTAGGCATAAAGCTCGATGAATTAATAGAAAAGATGCACAATACTGGTTCAAAAGCTTGGATGCAATACTAAAAAAACCAGTCTAACTCAAAATATCGGTACGAAGTACAGAAACCACTAGCGTAAAAACAGTAGAGACAAAGCAAATACTGTAAAGCTAGATTAAAGCCAAGTACAACTGATACATAACTCATGTTCTCCAAGACTGAATACATTTTCATGCTCAGTCCGATTGAAAATTACACATTTTTTTAAATGACCCCCTTTTGAAGAAATGTTTTCAAAAAGAACATTACGAGTTGTGAATATATTCCTGGACTCAAGCATTTTACTGGTAGCAATAAACAAATTGATTGCTAAATGATATTTGGCAGAGAGGGGTGGAAATATGTGAATTTGAATTTACTTTGTGAAATTCCTTAAATTTGAAGTTAGATTTATAAGGGTCTGGATGGAATTGCATACTTTAGAAGTGTAGTATTGCTATATTAATTATTTCAACATAAGATATTTTTTCTTTAAAATGTATGGTTTTAAAAGGTAAATAACATTACACATGACTAAATCACACTACAGGTGCCTTCTTACCTTTCACCTGGTCAAGTATGCTATAGGTGTAAAAATTTAATTACTAAAACAACAGCCTCCAATGAATGTTTACATAAAAGGGGGGAAAGTAATAAAATTGTTAATTGAATAATTTTCCTAATGCAGAAATAGTGTGATGTATGGTTTCCAACCAAAAAAATTATAAACATAACTTTTGATGATAATTTATACCTATTAAAAGTCACTACCCCCCCCCCAAAAAAAAACATACCCTTTGCGAGCGCCTAATTTGAATTTTACTATCGTTTTTTTTTCTTTTTTTCTGGCGCACACATCATCATAACATTACCAAAAGAGAGAGAAAAAAGAACAGTTTGATCATCAATAATTAGAAATTTATATTTTCAATCATAATTAAAAGTAGTTTTATTTAAATAAAGAAAATGCATAAAGCGGTTTATTAAATTTATTCATCAGACTAACCCATATGTATGGTAACAATCAAATCGGTATTGTCTGAAAGAATCGTCCTTGTTGAAGAATTAATGTCTTTTTCTTGGGTATTTTCCACACACAATGGCTCAAATTGATGAGGTCAAATGTCTTCGTAGTTTGTCAGTAATCGGAAAAAAGAGCTGTTAATACCGTCCATAGTGTAATTGTGCAGAAAGTGATCGACATTGTCCAGTTTGAGACACTTTCCCAGCTTGTAACCAGTGATGAAAGCACGATCACGTGATCGTTATCTAATTAAAAATCATTCATTATGACAAGCGCTGGATTCTTTGACCTAGAAAATGCCGATTGATCAGGTTTTGACCAGCAAAATTATACAAAACATGTTTTAAGACTGATATTTACTGATATAATAAAAAAAAAAAAAAAAAAAAAAATCGTGTCATGTCTTTAATATGAAGTTTCTAAATCATGACCAAATGAAATTTACAAATACCTGTTGTAAAAACACTTCACCATGTTGCTTCACTGAAAGTTTCAAGGCTTCCCATTGATCTTCTGACAGTAACAGTAATGTCTGAACTTTTTTATCAGAACAAGTAACCATAGCAACACTGGTTCCATCATCTATTATCAAACTGGAAATGAAAATTAATATCAACACTAAATGATATGAAAGTTCTAAGTTATGTTATAAATAATGCTCAGTTTATACTGTAAACCAACTTATTTTTGCGGCTACTTTATTTCGTGTTTAGCCCTTAATAGCCCATTTTGCGACGATTTAATTTCGCGATTTTCGAATTTGTTTTATGAAGTTAAATAAGGAAAGATCCAAGTTTTACACATTCGTGACGATTTATATTTACGTTATTTTTGTACTAAAAAAAGTCGCAAAAATAAATCGCTCGCGAAAATTAGTTGGTTTACAGTATTTGGCCTTTTTCAAATTTCAGAAGTTACTAGGCAACACTATACAAATAGGTTAAGCCATCACCATTGTAGAAATTTTGCAATTTGCTTATACAGCACATATGAGACAAAAAGAAAGAGATACCTTTGGGACAGATAATTATGAAATTATCAGTAATTGAGTATATAAAACTTCAAACAGGATTCATGAAGTCTCATCATAAAATTTAATTCTAAGTGGCAGTATTAGTGAGAGGCCAGAAACTATATAAAATTGTTAGACCATCAGAATAAAGAACCATTTGAACTCCTCACTAATTCATACGCAACTCTTGCTTTTGAGAGAAAGTTAATTCATATATGAATCAATGTGGAAACGGACAAAAGAAAATGAATATGGACATGGTTTTTAAAATATCAAGAAGCTCTAATTTGTAAATGCTAAAAAGATCTCATATAAATGAATTAATGTAAAGAACATGGCTGTTGTTGGTTCATGTGTCATGTTTGTTTTTCATAAATTGTTTTGTTATATACTATGCCTTTAGTTTTCTTGTGAGACTTGTTTTATATTTTATCATGTCAGGGCCTTTTATATCCGACTATATGGTATGGGTTTTGCTCATTGTTGAAGACAATACTGTGACCTATAATTGCTTACATCCATCTCATTGGCAATTATACCACATCTCTTTATTCTTATATGTATGCTGCAAACAGGAATTCGATAAATTAAGGAACTGAAAATGTGTGACAGGGTATACCTTACCCCTATGAAGCTTGGTACCAAATTTACAGAAGCTCTGTTTGTAGTATAAGACATGAGACAGCAATGCGTTACAGATGGATGGACAGAAGGGTAGAGGTTAACTAGTATAACCCCTCCTTTTAATAATCAGATGTGTGTGTTTTTACTATCTACTTTTACAGTGAAGCAAACCACATGAATTGTATTGTATTGTAACATAAAAAGGAGCTTTATAGTTTTGTCTTTATAAATATGGGACTTCATAATGGAACCTCCCTTAGGTCATGTTTCGAACTGCCTCAGGTCATCGGGTCATTCCTTTATTATTATCCTTACCAGTTATACTCCTAAATAACTCTTAAATATATTACCTCATTCTAGAAACAAATGTATACTCCTCACAGTGACATAAGTTATTGGTGCATCGATCTACAATCACACTACCACACATCTGACAGCTACATTTCAATGATATCTTGACAACCTTTTGAACAAAACAGACACATGAGAACTGCTGTATTGAATTATCTTCCCAAACATCTGCTAAAAATCCTAACTTGTACTGTTCAGTAGGAAGTTGACTGTCATCGCATTCTTCTGGGTTTTCTTCTTTTCTATAAGATAAAATTCAGCATATCTGACATACATGGAACATATGGTACAAGTACCATGCAAAGGTTGTCATTTCTAATTAATTTACATTTTAATTATCAGATATGATAATATAACAAAGTTAAAACTTAATGCCATTGTTCACTCTTTTTTTATTTTAACCAAAACACAAAAAACATACCAAATTCAAATGCTTAAACCAAACAAAAGTACTGTCACTCACCCCCTTAAAAATATTATCTATCACTCAGGTTTGTATGTTGATGTTTAAAGGGTTTTTTTTGTTGTTGAATGCTTTTCCAGGAAAAATTACAACCCCCCAGTCAGAACACTGGTCTACTTTTTTAACCTATGTTGGGGGTTTGAAAGATATTATTTTTCAGGTGGTGAATGGTCAATTAAATTAAACAGTACTATAATTGTTTTATGACAGGGGCATGTGTGTAGAGTCCATTTCTACAGCTTGAAGTTGTTAATTTTCTGTATGCACAATTATAATGTCACCCAAGAATTCTGAACATTTCTGTCAAAGCTGGTACCGTTCTGTATCGTTGTTTTGCCTTTGCTCACATTGCTATAATTACTAAGCAGAGGTAAATGCCAGAAAATTCATGAAAATGCACAGAAATCAAATAGGTCGTTCCATTGCCAAACCAATCCAGCCCCAAAATAAAAAATGAAAAAATACTATAAAAGTTTGAGATTTTATGAACTATAGATTCAGAGTAAGTGGTAATTTGCACATGAAAAGATGGTGTAAATTTTGCGGATGATCAGAGTAAAAAGGCTTTAGCCTATATGCAGGCATATTCTGAAATAATATATCTTCATATAAATGTGTGTCACAAGTGGTTTGGGGGTTCCTGGACTTTAAAATGTCTCTGTTTACTTACTATCACCCACCCCAATTTAACAATCACAATAATAAATGCATGTAATAATTTCTAAATTTACAGTACTTCTTTCCCTTATTACCTTGTTATCAATTCAGACCAATTCTGATGCAGTGCAGTGATTGATGATACAATACTGAACTGACAATAAACCACACCCTTCCTTGATACTCTTCTCTCTATTTGCTCCATGTACACAACAGTGCCAGGAACCAGTCCTAGTGGATAGGTTACGTTGTCAAGTTTAAGATACACAGATATTTCTCTTTCTGATTTCATACATTTTATTTGCAGCTGTATTTGCCAGTTATCAAGAGTTGATATACCATTATCTATAAAATAAAATATAATAAATCATGCAAGTCAACGAAAATATCAAAAGCATGTAAGTCAATGAAAATATCAAAAACATGTAAGTCGGTATAATTTAATTACATGATGATAATTAACATTAAGGTTTTTATAGCTCATTATAACAGAAACAATGAATGTTCCATCAATTTGATTTTTACGGTGATGATTAGATATTTAAACCTCATGTGTTATTAAATAAGATTTTACTAAAGATTTACTTTATTAATCTACATAACACAACAGTGCACACTCTATTATATAGCTATATTAAAAATATCTGCTTAATTTATTATGATTCAATTTATATGTTGAAAGTCTTCAAGAACAGGTGTAACAGAAATTTAACATTATCAATGATCCATGAAAATAAAGTCAAGGTAGGATCATACCTAAAGAAAGGTTCCTTCCATCATAAAAACTTCAGGTTGACCACTGATGATGATGGATGCTGTTTATTATCCAGTGGCAACTTAAATGTATACCCGGAACAAGAACATAATAATGTGACATGAATATATCTGCTTTACAAAAAACGCTTTGCCAGATTTTTAATGTGAGAGTTCACAAGGTAACAGTTTGCAGAAAGAAATGTTAGCCTACCTGGACACATTATTCTGACTCCAAGCCAACCAGTCTTCACTCTTATTCGTAAATGCCTCATTCTTAATAGCAAAGAAACAGCAGATACCAATTTTTAAGTCTTTAGTTTGACCTGGCCAGGGTTCTAGGAAATCATGCTACTACGAGACCACCAAGGAGGTTGGTTGACCAATGAACCATCTAGGAAAGTAGGTATGAATTGGGTAAATAAGGTTAGACTGCATTACAATTTCAAAACAAACAAAGTTGTATGAGCTTGGATCTTTTGAAATGTCCTTGCTATTTCTCATTGCATTAAATATACCTGGCATAAGATGTCTGTTAAATTTCAGTCTTTTAAGAACTATACCAATATCATCAGGTTCATGATGAACTCTTCTCACAATTGTGCCTAATATACTAACATAATGTCTACAATAGCTGTAAATAAATAAACAATTACAATAGTTATATCAGTGGCAAAATAAAAATAATGTAGGAAAATGGGTATGCCTCACACAAACAAATAGTCAAGTATCATCAGTAAAGTACTATATTATTCTCAAAAAGTAGTGTTATGCATTTGGCTGCAAAAAAATATATATTACATTGTAGACATGCAAATGGGAAGAATTTGACTATGACTATCTGTTGTTTCTTTTAAAAAATACTGTCTTTATCAACATTGTGATATGTTTTACACTTTTTAAGCTAGTCATGGAAGCTCTAATTGTCCTTGTGATTTTTTTAAGGTTGTATGTTGACAAATCAGACAAGGTTTTACTCTCAGTCAAGTTCCATGGTAAAAATATTATGAGCAGGACACAAATTGGAACGGAAAGACAGACAAACAGACAGACGAACGGACAGAGACATGACCGAGGGACGGAGGAAAGACAGACTGACGGACGGAAGGACATACGAACAAAGTGATTCCTGTATATTTTTTTGCGGGAATTTAAAAACAGATATCAAAACTTTTTAAACCTTATTGATCAAGAGCTCTATATAACAGCTTGTTTCAAACAGGAAAATATCTTAAATCTTACCATACTGAATGCCTCATTTTTCCCTTCTTAGAAAATAAATGCCAATGAGCTGATAGTCTCTGATAAAAATAAAGCTGACACTTATGACACAAGATCGGGTGAGGAGGTGGGAATGGATGGACAGGATACTGCCCCACATTAAGTCCTCATGGATAATGCCTCACATTAAGTCCTCAAGGATAATGCCCCACATTAAGTCCTCATGGATAAAACAGCAATTGTCATTTGATGATTTTTGTCCTATCTCTTGACCTAAATGATCCAAATATGTTTGTCCACGATTTATTATATCTGGTAATACAATTAACACAAAATTCTGTGTTTTTTTAGAAAATTAAGCCAGCATATGTTATAAGTTACTATTTTCAATAACTTATATGCAGATGATAGCAACAATTGGTAGTTATTTTATCCTTCATACCTGCGAGTAAGGATATGTTCTATACTGTCAACCCTTCCTTCTAACTGTTTTGCTGCATCACTTTTCTGAAATATACAGAATTTGAAATCAATCTGTGTCCTTTTTTGGAAAAAACATGCCATCATTGTAGCTGTTAAGCACCAAGAGGGGAATAAATTATGCCAAGATATAAAATTCCATAGAATGTTAAAAAAAACACTAAGAATATAAATCCAAAGAACTATTTTGAAATGTATTATTATAAATATGTTCTCCAATACAGATATCTGAAGTAAACCATAAAATCTCCAGCATCCAGTCAATTCTCTTGACCTGTTTTCATTTTAATTTTGCCAAATAAAAGATTTTTTTGAAAGATTCTTTCGCAATCCAATAAGATATGGGTGTACTAGTTCAGCAAGAAATGCTGAGCCATCTTCCTCCCCTGTTTTTGAGTTTTCTGTGCAATGTTTTGTGTACTGATGTATGTTTGTTCAACATTTTTATTTTGGCTATGGTGTTGTTTTCTTCCTCCTTATAACTTTATTCCATCTTGGAACCTTCTTAATTTTTTTTTATTAAGAAATGAAGTCTTGGATGCAAAATATAACTACCTGTTCATGAAATTCTCTTTCAACTATAAAATTATCTGGCAACACATAACACAGGTTGTCACCAGCTTTCTTTGCAGACTGCTTTAGTTGCCACGGTAACTTCCTCCTTTCTTTAATGACACCATCAAAACCAACAAACCTATACAAACATCCGCTTTGTATGACATTAAAATATTTCACATTGGAGTTCTCAAATAATACTAGCTGACATTTTGAACAAGATTGTTGTTTTTCTTCAGCATTGACATCTTTCTCAATGTCAATCAGAGTTTGTGATGTCAAACATTTCTCTTCGTACATGTCTTTTCTTTGATGTAAATGATCACATATATGAGCTATGAATGATAATTCAACTTTGTTTTTGTTATTGTCATTCATATTCAAGGATTCCTTTTGATTAACATACAATCTGTGATTATCTGATACATCCATTTTATGATTTTCTTTGTCTTTGGAAGAATTTTGTAGTGAGGAATGCTGACAGCTGATTGTATATTTAGGCTTTTGTATCAATATAACATCTAATAAACTGAAAACCAAGTACTTTATAATTAATTCCTTAGTTTTGCTTGTCACAATATTATCCTTAGTTCTTATATCTGTGAAATTTCCCAGAAGAAATCTCTCCTTGACAACAGTGAATTTTGTTATGGCAACAAGGCATCCACTGTGATGTGGATGGAGATGTGGACATGTAAACCTTGACCTTGGTGTTTGATAGCACATGCAACATTGAGCTGTACATTCATGGTATTGTTCATGGTCTTTTTGTGTTTCCATAACAACACACTCTATGACTCCAGTTTGATCTCTAAGCTGAATTTTACTGGATCTGGAACTTATATGAATTTCTCCAACTATTATCTGGAAAAAGAAGAAAGTTAAACCTTAACTAAAATTATCCTTGCAAGTCTATAATGTACTAAGTAAAACAAATTTAGCAACATACATTTTAAAACAAAAATTTTAATTAAAAATTTTAAAAGTTCGTGAAATAAATGTTCAATACCTGAATTTACTGCCCTTTTCATTTTAATTTTTTTTACTATTCTCTAACAAATATCATACTGTTCCTTGTAGTTTGTATTTTTTCATATATCATTGTCTGCCAGAGAAATGACATTATTACATTAGTTGCAATGAAATACCCTGATTTCCCATCTGACATCATACACCAATGGGTGTTGGTACAACATTGTTGATGACCTTTCATCAAAAGAATTTGGAATGTGTTTAATATGATATAGTTTCTTGTATTTTCAACTTTATTTTCCTTAAAAAGCCCTCAGTCAAGTAATAAAAAGAATAACTATCAAATAATTCAAATATTGAGAAAAATATGAAACAACACTGATAGTTAACTCATGTGAAACACGCATTTGTGAATTAATGTGTTGTTCGGTCATTTGTTGAATATTTTTTTCATATTTGAATTCTTTGATTAGTTATTATATAATCATATTTTACATAAATTTATCAGTTACATTAGAAAACTATTTAAATTGTAAGGCTCAGATCCATATGTGTTCTTAATACTATAGATCATTAAGAATAACCTTTTAAATGAAGAACAAAAGTGAGTATGAGCTAACAAACAATACATAAAATATATAAGAAAGTATTCAAATTCATACAAAACCTGGTGTCCAGCTCCTTGTTGTATGACATAATTCCAATAAAGGGTACGGTTCCAGCCTTTATTCCCATCATGCTTTGCTACTGCTATATCATTCATTTTGTCTTCTGCATCAGGTATGTCAATCTCAATCACTTGTGGAAAAGTATGTTTATACTCTGTCTGTGCAAAAAGATATTTTTGTTAAGTTTAGGCACTAATTATACCAAATAAAGAATATAAGAAACTGAAATCCCTCTACTCCTAAGGGAATATAACTTTATATTATGAATATTTATAAATAAAAGGTAATTAGAGGTAAAACTACTAAAAGTCAATGATACAGCAGCATAACATAAGTTAACCAGAAAATAAACGGAGAATATGTCTATGGGCCACAGATGCCCCCGCTTGTAAATATGCATGAGTCAATGTACTAATTATTGACATAGTTTCAAAAAATTTGGTTGAGGCAAACTAAAGTGAGAGAATGGAAACGAAAAATTCAGCAAATTTTATGTTTATAAAGGGGCATAACTCATGAACGGTAAAAGTGATCGATCTTGATCTGTGTTTTGTGGTAATAAGCATTGTGTATAAGTTTTATAACATTTGGTTGAGGCAAACTTTAAGTTAGAGAACGGAAACCAATTTTGGGGATGTACAGATGGACGGGACGGACAAGGGTAACACTTAATGCCCAAGTCACCTAGCGGTGGGGGCATTAAAACTGTTTAAAGCATATTTTTGTCACTGATGATGGCTATAAATCTGAAGCTATATTTGTACTAGTGCAAAATCATAGCATATTGCATGCTAACTTTTCATTACGTTCTGTAGGCAATATTATATTGCTATACAATAATGACTTTTTGTAAACTTTCTTAAGTCTTATTTTTATTGCCAAATTTTAAATATAAACTAAATTATCAACTGCATTTTGATTTAAAGTCACTGCTTTCAACTCTATTAATACTAACTTTATCTGAAAGGAAACAACATGTAGTAGTAAGAACTTCTTGCAAATGATTTCTGGTCAAAGTAGTATTTACTGAACACAGGTCTGTTATAACAGGTAGTATTTCTCCGAATCTGAAAAAAATGCTTAGCTTAGAATTTTTTTGTTTTTCTAAATTTAGGCATACGAAAATAGACAAACCATTTACTGTATTCATTCTGTTGCCTTGTCTTCACTATAATATCATAATCCCCCTTATGTATAAAATTACCTTCTATAAAAATTAATGGAACAGTCCTGATTTAAAACTAATGGAAATTTAGGGTGTTTCTGATAACAGAAATCAACTGGTTTATTTAGAAACAGTAAGTTCCATTTGTTAGATAATTCTATGATAATGACTTGACAATTCAAAACATCTACAGTATTAGGAATTTGAAAGAGTTTTGAAAATGAAAGTTAAGTATACCTTAATTTAACAATAGATATTTCATCAAATCTGTGTTAAAACCGGACTTTTGTCCTCTTAGAAATGTGTCAGAAGAAACATACCTTTCAATTGTATAGTTTGTAAATTTCTGTCTCAAATGAAGCATTACATCCATCACAAAAGTCAAACCATTCAAGCTATATTTTTGTTTCCACAAATTAATTTGAACAGATTTAGGAATCCTTAAATTCTGAAAGACAAAAAGTTTTTAAATTAGCTTGAGAACATAGATATTTTTTGACAAATTTTAAACAATGAACTCGGAATTAACATTATTCATTGGATATACTTTGATCATAAACTTATAAATTTATTGGGAAGTGACTAGAATCAACAAACTATATAGAATTTTTGATTTTTGTTATCATATCTGAAAGTAAGTTAACTTTTGCATATTTGTACTAGTATGACACTCTGAGTTACACTTTGTATACTCTAGCTCACAAGTAAACAGTCCACAGGATTGCATTTCGTCCAACCCTGATGCATTATTTTGTGTATGAGCTGACTTGTCTTTGCTTTTATTCCTAAATCATATGTGCTTGGGAGTGAAGCAGCAAATGCCAATTTCAAAGTCTTTGTTTTAATATGGCTGGGGTTTACACCCACAAAGTCCCTCACTTGGTGGGAGTCCACTAATGCAGATAACTTCATTTTGACAAGTTCTCATTATGCAAAGAGACTTTAAGACAAAAGGCTTCTTGATTCTAACAGTCAAAATTGTAGTAACAGCTCTTATTAACAGTGTCTCTAAGTAATATTTTACTATCTTACCTCTGCTGAAAGGTTTGTACTAGAAAACTCTAGAATCTTGATACAGCTAGACAAACAACCAACTATTCTTATTTTGTCATCCTAAAAAATTTAATATTTTGTTATTTCTATGAATATGAGGTGGGGGTAAATGTCAATATTATAACAACCTAACAACAAAAGCAACCAACAAAGAACGTCAAGAGGTCAAAATAAAGTCTTAATGGATGGACAAAGGTCAATACCATGCATTAATGTTTTAAATATATTCAACGATAACTTCAATAGTGACAACTCAAATCTGAAATCAAAACCAATTTTTTAAATAGACAAAAAAAATATTTAAGAAACAATGACAAGAGCAATGGTGATTTAAAACAGCCTTCAGGACTATAAAAATTGACAATGTTTCAAGTGAAAAAAAAAATCTACCGGTAAGCACTTTCGGGAGCATTCATTCCAAGAAAATTTACTCTATTTCACACATAGAAAAAAAATGAGAAAACACAATTTGCTTCAGTCAACCTAAAAGGTGCATATCTTCATTCTGTGAGTGACACTGTACAAATATTGAATAATTCAGAAGAAGAAAATAGTTAGAAGGTGCAAAAGTTTATCATGTCGGCAAGATTTTGTGCAAGTTTCTCATATTTCTGTCAAGTAGTTCAGGGGCAGTTGCAGGATACAAAAGGACAAACAAATGGAGGAATGTACAAAGAACAGACAAATGGATGGACGGATTTTTTCATCACTATCTACCACCTGCTTTAGGATAAGCAGCACTCTGGAATGGCTCAGGACCAGTTGCAGAAACTAAAGTTGGATGGATAGATGGAAGAACAGAAGAACTGATAAATGAACAAACAAATTGACAGACTCCCCAATCACTATATACTGCTCCCTTCCAAAGCTGGGGATACTGATTATCTGTTATATCTGTACCTTCTCAGATTTTTGTAGATGTGCATTGTAAACCATGATCTTAGTTCCAAGTCTCAGGCTGACATAAGTCACAGGAATGTAGGACAGATATAACCTGCAATTAATAAAGATAAAGCTATATTTTTGTTGTTTCAGAATTAGGTATTAAAAACATGTCTGAATAATTCCTGAGGGTCAATTGTATATTGAAACAAGAATGTGTCCATAGTACAAGGATGCTCCACTTGCACTATCATATTCTATGTTCAGTGGACCAAGAAATTGGGGTCAAAACTCTAATTTGGCATTAAAATTAGAAAGATCATATCATAGGGAACATGTGTACAAAGTTTCAAGTTGATTGGACTTCAACTTCATCAAAAACTACCTTGACCAAAAACTTTAACCTGAAGCGGGACAGACGAACGGACAGACGAACGGATGCACAGACTGAAAAACATAATGCCCCTAGGTGGGGCATAAAAAGTGGACCAACACTTTGAAATGTAAATGAAACAACAAATGTTCTTTTTTATTCTGATATCAGGTACATGAGATATCATTGATCAAATTATAAGAAACAACATTGCTATGCCATAGTAAAATGTCCTGGGCTGTTGCATACTGTTGATTCATTATTATTAATTGGACATTAATTAAGTGGATTTCATGGGTATAGGTCACACACCAATTTAAATGTTCAACAAAGTTCACATTTTCTATTGGCATAAAGAATGCAGACTTTGGCAAAACCACGAAATCTAATATCTACAAGAATTCAATTTTCCCTAAATCAATGAAAATTGGTATCCACGAAAATAAATGAATCTACAACAAATGCAGAATATGGTCACAAGGTATGAGTATGCTTCAAAAGTCATATGGTAGTAAAAGTTCCTTCAGCCAGACAGAAATTGTAAGATCATAATGAATGTATGATATGGTCAACTACACATGATGACAAACAATTCTACCAGGTATGACAACTTTCTGGAAAATGGTCTTCTAGTGATTCTGTTCAGCAGGTCTCATTGTGTTATAATAGTAAACAAGAATTGTCAAATCAAACTGACAATACAGAATGGTCAACTACACTTAATGACAAAAAAGCTGAAGCTTTCTGACAAACAGACTCAGAGAAGTTGTTTTTGGTGAGAGGTGAGACTATCACAATCCTTGACATTCCAACAAAATGGGTTTTTTTTATAATGGATAAACCTATGCATAATGTGATGCTAAATCATAAACGGTACAGCAGAAAATCAAGATAAGGTCTTACTTGTGTTCAACAGAGATGGTTTATAAGAGATGTTATGAAACTAATACACATACCTGACCTTCTGATCAAGTTCAAATACACCTAGGTAAGCATATTCATCACTTGTGATTACACCTTGATAAGAAATGTGATTATTTTTTACTATTTCATCTGTTGCTCTGTAGTCTTTATAATCTACAGATACTTCTGTTATGCCTGCTTTTGACATCCAGTCCTACAGAAAAGCAAATTGTTAAAACTATGCCCAGTTACATTATCAATGTCAATATATCTTATATTATGTCTGTCATTGAATTTATACCAAAGTAAAATTATGACACAAAGAAAACTTTTGACACCATCATATAAGAGACTATTTCATACAGCGCTTAAGCCAAGAAAGTTCTTTATTAACTTACAAACATAAATAATGATACCAGCCAAAATCAAAACATCATTTTCTATCCTAAAGTTTAATTAGGTTTTACAATTTATAGATAGACAAGTAGGTTTCTTACATGAACATAATGAATGAATATTTTTTTTCTATTTTTTACAACACTTTCTATAAAAAAACACATTTGATCAATAACATATCTAAAAAAATAATGTGGTATGAACAAGCAGTACAGAAAAAAATCCACTCTAGTAGAATCCACCATTTTCTACATAAGAAAATGCCTGTACAACGTCAGGAATATGACAGTTGTTTTTCATTCGTTTGATGTGTTTGAGTTTTTGATTTTGCCATTTGATAAAGGACTTTCCGTTTTGAATTTTCCTTGGAGTTTGGTATTTTTTTTACTTTACTTTTTATCTATTGACATTTCTATTAACTTTTTTATATATTTACTTACTACTGAACTATTTTACATACCTCCAATGACAATATATTGCTTCTTTCTGGTGTACAGCAATAGACAATACTATTTTTACATGGAACAAATAATCTCACAGGATGGCCAGCACCCTACAAAAAGTATTGGAAGAAAGTATTACCGGTAACTATAGTGAAAACTAATATTTAGATATGCAAAACTTTTTTTTGCAGTGTCCCATAGTGCCAAAAAATAAAAAAATAATGAGAGGACAAACTTTATATTTGCATATATTGGATGGGATTCAAGAAGAAATCTTTTTGACACAGTATCCAAATTGGTGCACTGTGCATTTTTCAAATTAAATGTTAAGGGCATACGATACAGTAGCAAGGGCAGATAATAATGTTTTCAAAACTGTTCGTGTTGTTTTCGCGACGTTGTTAATCAGAACGTTGTAAATTCACAATATTTCTAATAAGAACGATCACATTTCGCGACGTCGCTTTAGAAGTAGTCACATTTGCGGGAAATCTGCTGATGTCATAAATTCGGTTGCGCGAATTTGAAAAAAAAGTACCTGCTAAGAAAAGCGGCCATATCACGAGAATTGTTATATTTATTCATTAATAATGAAGTCAACAGTATTATCTAGAAATGTAAAAATCAAAGAGCTGATTGCTCCGAGGTGGAAGAAGATGCATAAAAGGTAACTTGAATTACCATAAAAGCAGCCCACACCAACCCAGCCTGCTTTGTTCCATTATTGCTTTCGACATATTTTTTTCTTCCAAAAATAATAATACTCATAACTCAACCAAAACTCACTATACTTAACATAAAAATCTGCAAATACTGTTGATTCAAATTAAATTTTCTATATCTAAATTCCATACATTCGTCTCAGCATGGTCAACTTGATGCAATGCAATTTCACCAAGCAATTATAACAGTAATTGATTTGGTTTCACTTGAAAGTTTTCTGTCAAAGGCAGATAGTTCACTTTAAAAAAAAAACTGACCACCAAGATTTTAGTCAAGTTTGCTAAAATTAGGGTTTTAAATAAATAAACATATATTGAAAAATTCTAAATATATCCAATGCAGATATGTGTCAGGCCAAGGATTGACAGGTCATGTCAGGTGATGACCTTGCTATGTTATTGCGATAATTTAGAGTCAAGCACACACGTGAATCTGCTGGTGTTTAACACATCAAACGATGCACCGTCAGTTGACAGAATCACGTGTGCGCTTGACTCTTTTAGCATTTCAAACCCGTTAATTTAAAGTGCTTGACCCATATATCATATTTGTTTTTCATCTAATATTTTTACACAAAAGTATGAGGGTAGGAAAGGCATTTTCCGTCAGGAGTCAAACAGCCCTTTTCTGAAATTTTTCATGAAAATAAAATATTGACAGCAACAAATTACTGGTTCCGTACTCGAGCCTCGATAATGTGTCATTTTTGTGTGTACCTTAATGACGAATAACGGTAACGAGCTGGACTATTCAGTTGTTAAATCCCGTTTTTTATCACTTCTATCACTTTGAAACGTATTAAGGCAATAAAGGCAATCATTGGGGACATTACGACAATAACAGACATGAAAACTACGTACTTTCGAAATGGAATCCGTCAAGACATTAGTTTGTACATTGATATTTCTGTCAACAGACGGTGCATTGTTTGATGTGTAAAACACCAGCAGATTCACATGTGCGCTTGACTCTTTATTATCGCAATAACATACTTAGATATTCTAACTTTCGTTTAAAAAAACACATGTTGTCTAAAACTGGAATATGACTTAATTGATTGCATTAAAGATCTGAACGCACACAGAACAACTAAATCCGTGTATTTTTTCAAGCATCATTGATTTGAAGTAGTAATCTCCACGTATATACTTGACTTTAACTCAAGATGGATAGTATGAATATGTGACAATTCTGTTTCATCATTTTGAAACTTTTAGATGCACAATTAAATTTCCTATTTGTGCACATGCGCAGATATGTAACCAACGTGGTTTAAATTAACCCGAATAATCCAGTTGTTTTATTCCGATAATTCCAATTATTAATCTACCAAAGACAATTATTACAACAATCAGTGAGAATTATATCATGACCTATTAATGCTCCAAAACAAGCCATCAACTTTTAATTAATTTTTATTCATGTGTGTTCATGAATTTCGAGAATTTATACCATACAAATATCTGAATAAGTTTATTAAACTTTAATACCCATAATATTATTATTTTTTTAATAATTGCAAGGACGTATAAAACATCCTTGATAAAAGCAGTCAATATAATACTTCCACGATAAAAGTAAGGAGAAGTAACCCAGGGTGAACGTACTCTATGGGGACAAACTCAGGGCGAACGGACCAAGGGCGAACTGACCTGATACCAAATTCATGCATGCTTACTACAAACTCTACTTTAAAGACATCCGGTTACAAGTAAACAAATAAAGTTCATGTAAGATGAGATGAAATCTAATAATTTACATAAATAAAAGGGTTGATATCAATACATTAAAACATGAGAAATTATAACACTAACGATAGTGATCATTTTTCAAGCCTAAGTAATAAATTAAATGATGCAGATGCTTAGATCATGGATAAACATCGGTGTCAAGATATGGCACGGAAGTTGTTATGAAATTGTAAAGCACAGAAAGGGATACGGCATACGTCCTGGTGATGGTTCAATGATTTTACAGCCTGCAGTAAAGGCTTTCAGAAGACTTGAAGTCTTCTTCCACCAAAAATCAAATCCACATAATTTTGTATGTGTTTTTTTTTTTTATTTCATATAGAAAATGAATAAAAGATATGTTGATAATAAAAGTTGCGGAGTAACTGTTTAACGGCATTTTTAGAATTTAACCCCGTGGAATATAAATGTGTATGAAGAAGAACTGTGAATCAAAAAGACAAAGTTATAATAAACCCAATATGATAGACCATAACAAGTATGCACCCATTAACGTGCTAAGCATATCCCCTCTTGTACATAAAAATAGAAGTATCTGCACACGGGAATTAGGTATCTGACATACCAGAAAAGTGTTCACATGTAACAACTCATTTGTCAAGCCGCTGACCAAATATGAAATCATTCTGTGAGGTAGTTTCTCAGAAAAGTAACGAAATATTTGTTGGACCACCGGACGGACAGACTAACAAGGTGGTTGCAATATTGCCCCCACTCTTGGAGAAGAGGTATAATACAGACAAGTAAGGCAATAATCATATGTACCGTCATAAAGATTACCAAGAAAAGAAGCTTATGTAACTTATCTTTTGATATAATTATGCAATTTCATGCTCTAATATCGACTGCTGTACTTTCTATGAATTGTTATACTACACCGTAATGGACTATTGAGAGAGTTATGAGATGAATTTGCACGAAACAGCTCTAAATATTCACTTTTTAAACATGTTCAGAGTAGTTTTCTAAGCTAACCCGAGTAAATGTTGGTATGGTTGCACATACATATAATGCCTATAGAGAAGGCTGTTAGTTTTCATGTTTGAATTGTTTCACATTTTCATGTCGGGACCTTTTATAGCTGACTATATACGGTGTGGGGTTTTTTTTATTGTTGAAAGCCGTACAGTGACTTTTTATTGCTTTTATCTTCGTCATTTGAACTATGGTGGATAGTTGTCTCATTGGCAATCATACCAAATGTCTTAATTTTTATATTATCCCACTTACTTTATAATTGTTTCACATTTGGTCATGTTTTGAATAGTTAAAACTATGTCCAAGCTGTGTTGTCTACATGAATTATAGGACTAGATGCAAATTTATTCTTTTATCAGACTAATCTTTTTTGTTTCCGAACATTTCTCAAAGTAATTTAGTAATACTAGAATACTTCTTAAGATGCTATTTCTTGATTATGAAGAAGATCCTGTCCAACTTTCGTAACATTTCATAGTTACAAGCTTTATAAATTTTGATGATTAATATCGTTTTGGAAAAACCCCTTGGTTATACCACTGAACTTGACTGCGTAGTCGTGTACGGCGGGAATAATTTCACAACGTTATTGCAATAAAAACTTATTTCAACGTAATTTAGCGCCATATCGGCAAACAGGACGTTTGTCATTAAAAATTCAAGGTTTATGGCTTTTATTGAAAAAACAAGCACATGGACCCCTAGTTTTTTTCTTTTGCAATCAATTAAGTACTGTTTCAATAACCCTCCTCCAAAATTTTAAGAAAAAATCAACGATAGAATTTTTTCTGCACTTCTGTGTAGACTCAAAAATATTGGCAACTTCTTTATTTCACTAATAGTAATACAAATTCAGGAAATAATTGTTTAGTTTAAACCTTAAACTTGTTACAGCATGTTGTTGCCATAGATCAAGGGAACATTTTACAAAAAAAAAAACCAGTTAAATTATGACTGTTCATTCCTGTTTCCTTAAAAGTCCTTATTTATGAAGTTTCTGGATTTTCCTTCAAATATGCAAATTTCTAACCAAAATATCTCAAAAAGTAAGTCATGAAGGTATATTTGTCTTTGCATATTTCAAAAGTACACATTCAAATTGAACTTCTATCAAAATTTCAAGACAAAATCAACGAGGGATCTCTACTGCATTGTATGCCCTTAAAGGATCAGTCTACAAGAGAAAAAGAATTTCTTCAATTTGCACTTTACTGCATAGTTATGCAGACAAGTCTTCCATTTGACATGTAAGGTGCTACTGAAATTCTGTAATGAGGTTTTAATTCTAAATTTTCTAATGCAAATTGGTTGTCTAAATCTTTGTCCTAACTGTTGAAAGTTGATTCTGCCCTTGAATAAAGTTATTATTGTCAAGAGCAGGAAGTCACCAGAATGATTAAATATATTAGGCCTTACCATTTCATGTAAAAAAAGTGAAAAGTTGACATGACCAACCTATGTTACCTCAACTGTAAATATTTATCAAATCAAATAAGTATACCTCAAGAAGTCGACCAGAAACAACCAATTGCACCTCATATCTTTACAATCTTTAGCAGCTGCAACCTTGACTTTTTACCATAAAATTCAAATGGCCTTTCCCCTTCCCAATATCTTATATTTTTATAAGTTTCATATGTTAACCAATAAAGGAAACTCGTTATCTTCTGGAAACCATTTTTCTCATTTTATTTTTAGTAAGTAACCTTGTGTGTACCTATTGATTTCAAACTTTCCCCATCCCTATATCTCCTATCCGTTTATCTTTTTTTCAAATTAAGCAAGTGATCTCAAGATTTTTAAATGAAAGCATTTATTTCGGACAAAGCAACATCTGTTTGCTCCAAATTGTGTTAAGGGACCATTAAAAAAATTCTGAAAATTGATAAATCAGAAATAAATATTAATATATTTATATTACCTCTGCCACTTTTGATTCAAACTATGAAGATGAAAAGTTATCAGAAATGAGACACCAAGTGACAGCATTTGTAAATTCTGGTACTTGTGGCTATGTAAGCTAAACACCCATGCATTATTTATGAGTTTACCTAAGTTCATTCAAGTTAATACTACCTGTTGTAATGTTGTTGGTTTCATGTTTGTAAACAAATACTCTTTCTTTGGTAATAGAAATATTTGCCAGGGCAAAAACTCCTTTTTCTGTGAAAAAAAGGAAGTATAATGATTTATAACTCTTAAAATTGAGTCATATACCTTAAATTTAAAATAATGTTTAATATGTTTTATATACTTGAATGCTTAAGTTTTACTTTAAATCATGTGTACATAAAATCTTTTAAAAGAAAATCCTTTATTTTATACAAATCTTCCACAATGTAGCAATTAGGTTGAACCAAAACATCTAGCAAACGAACAATCAGTTTATGTCTGGTATACAAAATAAATACCTTAATATCACTGTTTCAGACTTAACTTCAACATTTTTCAAGATAATAGGTAACAATATATATGTCAGTCCCACTTCTTGTCTATTTTTCTTTTTCACACTTCTTAGCATGTTGGGTAATTAGCTTCCCTTTATTCAGTATTTATCTAATAATTCATTTCAATAACATTAAAGTACATAATTACATGTATATACCTTTATGAGTATGTTCACATCAGATTCCAGTCTCACACAAAACAAAGTGTCTTTTTTAACACTGAAATTTAAATCTGCTACTATTAACTGATAAATAAATTTGTAACTAAATGTATCGTGCTCTTTGAAGATAATAATCAATGCAAATCTCCACTATAGTACAAATACATGTCAAATTTATTTTAAAATTTCTTTTCCAAACATCAATTTCACATATGTCTTCTCATTATCAAAAGTACAATTTCTTTAATGTGTAAATGCCAATATATTAAGTCAACAACACTGATATAAAAAAAAATTTAAGGTCAATTACTGTAAAAATATTCATATTTATGAGGTAATGAATTCTCTGTGATGTAATGGTTTACATTTTAACAGACAGTTTGACTGTTTTTGAAAGCCTGATGTAATCTAAAGAATTACAAAGAAGAATATATAGGGTGGATGTACACGAGAGAATTGTCAAAATGAATAGACTCTAGTAACATCAATCCTTATAATTTAGTAATGTTAAAAGTAAATTGTTAAAGAGTTATTGTGCAACATATAAAAAATTCCCCTACTTTTTTAAGTCTCATAACTATTAAAAGTTAATATTATAATAACAGGCCAGCATTCCTAATAGCTAGGTAAAATTTTAGCAAAAGACAATTCTAAAGGCATACTTAGGATTCAACATTTGAAAAATGTGTATCTTTCAGAGATACCGGTAAAACTCCAAACCTTCATTGAAACTCAAAAATTTTATACAGGCCAAATTGACAGATGACAATGAAGTACCATTATACTATAGTGTTTTATTCCATTGATGGAGGAAGGGGTTAGAGTTTTAAGTCCTGTAGCAAATATTACATGCATATCAGGAGGAAAAAATGCTGATTTGATAGAATATGAACAGTGCTTTGTACTAGACTGACACATTGAACCAGAGTGTTTAAAAACTTCTAGTTCACAACATAAAATTTTGAAGGGAGACATGTTTCCACACTAGATATATATCAATCCGACTTAGAGCGAACAAGCTTTGCTCTTACTCCTTCAGGGCTCGACAATAACGCTTGTCCGATTGTCCGGTACCACAGGGGAAAAAAGGTCGGACAAGTAAAAGCCATATCAAGCTTGTTCGACAGGACAAGTAAGAAAATAAATTAAATCCAACTTGGATGATCAAAGTAATAAACAAATAACAAGAAAAGGAGATAAAAACAAATATTAACCTGACATGTTTACTTGCAATCGATAATTCAAAACTGGTTCTTTAAAACTGGTTCCTTTGTCAGATACTTATACCAGTCTTACCGGTAACAAGACATTTCGGCACCGGAAAGAATCGGCTCCATGTTTAATGGACAGTTCGGCACCACTCGGGAACAAGACAAACCAGTACCTCGTTTTCCTACATTGTTATGTTGCTTTATGATAAATATATGATAAATTTTATTTAGCAATAATATTTAAAAAAGAAAAATGAGAAATTATTGACCATAAAATCCAAAAAATCATATTTGATCATATTTAGACAAAACAATATTTGATTGTGTCTGAATAAACATTTTAATATATTAAAAACAAAGCTGATAGTAGTAAGGCATTAATCATAATAATCAATATTTTATCAACATAAAACCAGGATACAAACCTAACGAGTGTAGACTGACAGGCCTACCAGACTGTGCCTGATGTGCAGAGTCTGATGAGACTTTGACATTGATAATAACTAGAACTTAAGTCCTGTGACTAGACATGACTAGATTCAGTTGTTCTCGACTCTCTATTTTTGAAAAGGATATAAAGAGATATAAATCAAATTCTATTCTATTGTTTTAATTCATTTTGTTCATTGAATCAACCGAAAATGCAAAAAAGGTTTAATATAAAGTGGGTTTTTTTTTGGACAAGTTACAATTCCATTCGGACAAGCAAGTTTTGGTATGTACTTGTCCTATTGGACAAGTTAAAAAAAAAAGTTATTGTAGAGGCCTGTCCTTAATGGCACGTCCTTAGTGCAGTGGCACCAAGTACCAATTTTAAGTCTTCAGTTGAACCCCCCTTTTTCCTCCAGGGATCAAACAACTTTCTCCCTCACTGTAGACAACCATGCTTCCACAAGACCAATGAGGTAGCTTACTGTTGTAGGCATATATGGAAAACTTTAAAAATACCAATTTCAGTGTAATTAGTTAGCCCCATTTATAACATCCCTCAGTATTCTTTCTATAAAACTAAACATCTGGTCATGTTAGGGCTGACACTTATATAGTAAACAAATTTGAAATACCAAATTATTAAATACATGTAGCTTGAAATTATCTTCCATCAGGATCTTTCTAAATAGTTGTCTACCATCAAACCTAAATGCTTCTCCTTTGAATTGCAAAGGTCACAGCATGCATATCTAATATTTATAAGTACTTACCGGAAAATTTCATTAACAGCTATTATTTGTCCACAGATATTTATAACTTCTGATTTCTTTGATATTTCCCTGGAAATAAATATCAAACTTATGTTAACTGCACATTATTAATAATTTGTTACCAACAAAATCTAGAAAGCTTCTATCATGTCTATCATACCCTACCACATGAAGGCAAATATCTAGGTAGAACTGTTCTAGTGCACTAAATCATGTGCTTCCCTTTCATCAATAGAAGTCTCTAAGGAGAAAGAAATATACACATAAACATTCTAGTATTGGAAAGATATTTTCAAGACAATACATATGAATTAAGTGCTTTACACATAATTAAAATTTATATGAAAGGTTGGGTACTGACCCTGGGAGACATAATCTATGGTGCACTTAAAAAGTCTTATCATGGAAATTTGGAATACTAGTAGATTTGGTTTAAGGGTGGAAATCCGAACAGTTGTAATAAATGACATCTTAACAATTAATTATTGATTCTTTGAAATAAATGACACAAGTAATTACTTATTGGAAGCTGAAAACACCAAAACAGCACTGCAAAATACTTACTTGTTTTCCAACACAAACTTAGCATCAGCCGACATTAAAGCTGTACACGTCTCATCATTTGCTTTCTGTAATGGTATAATTTGACCAGTAACTTCCACATTTTTTTCACCTAAAATAAATGAAAATAAAAGGATGTGTCTGAGAACACAAATGCCCCCGCTTAAGCCATGCAATTTTCCATGATTAAAAGGGGCATAACTCTATAACGGTAAATGACTCACTGCCCAAATTCCAACTCTGTCTGCGAGTTTTGGTTATTAGCATTGTGTATAAGTTTCAGAAAACTTCAGTTAGAGTGCGGAAACTAAAATGGGAAATAAAGAAGGATAGAAAGCTGGACGTGAGGACGGAAGGACGGTCAAGGGTAACACTAAATACCCCCATTGCCTACAGCATGTGCATAAAAATTAAACAGATAAAGAAATATTCTGTGTTCATTTTAGAGCTTCAATTATTTAAGTGACATGTTTTTCAAGGAATTAAACCAATCTCAGCTTGCCTGTCATATGTGCTAAATATTGAGAACTTTAACTAACTAGAGAAAATGCTTTCTAAAATATTCATCCTTTATCATCATAGCATTGTCCTTTGCCCTTATTGCAAATGCATTACCTATTAAAAAAAACAAAAAATGATTTCTACTAGAAACAAATATTCAGATATTTAAAAACATAATTTTTTTTTAAGTTGTATTACCTGCATAAAAACAATTAGATAAGTTATCAATTGGTAAATTTTGCAGTTTGTAGCAAACAAAGGTTAAAACTCCCCTCAATATTATTCATCATAAACTATATGGCTTCCACTAAACCCTTTCACTGCTTCTTTTTCAATACAAAAATGGTGTAATAAACAGTACATTTATTTTTGCATTGTCACAAACAATAAATTATAGCTCTGTCAAGATACACACCTCTAACACGAACTCTGCCAAAATGAGGATCAACCATTATTCTTTTAATTTGGGAGGAATACTAATTTACTATACACATAAAGGTATACATATAAACCTAAGCTTTAATTGTCTAGTATTTACTATCAAGAGTACATGCAGTGACATATGGAGGAACACATTCACATTCACTTCGTGACAATTTCTTTGTTGTATTAAAGAGACAAGATTGTTGGCAAAATTGATCATTTTAAAATGGACAGTACAAACACAATATATAAATATTGTCGGAATTTATTAATACTGGCTCCTAAACAGGAGCAAAATTCTTGCCAAAGACGTGCTATCCTGATGTTTTTACAGCTCATACAAATAAATAATGTATTTTGCAATATAACTATATTGTAAATAAACTGCTTCATCATGATGGCATGTAACTTTAATGGTAATAAATCATATAAGATTTTTAAAAGATGGCAGATTTAGTAATGTTAGATCAAATTTCAGCTGCAGATAACATAACCTCACAAATGTTAAACAAGAGGCTGTCAAAGTGACAGCAAACCGGAATTTCCTGCATGAAAATGATATTTGCAAATCTGGACCCCCATACAGGATCAAGCAAAAAAATATAAATGGATTTTTGTAGGGTTCAGAAATGGAAAGGCCAAAATCAATCTAAGTATCACTTTTCCATACATAAAGGTGTAGAACTCAACAACGATAAAAAGCTAAAATCGTAAAAATAGATTTAGACCTTCATTTAGTCACAGGAAACAACATATCTAAACTTGAAAAGATTTCATCAAAACGTTTTCAAGTTATTGCACTGACAATGCTGGAAGTATCACTTTTCGCTACTTAAAGGTCAACAACTCGACAACGATAAAAGCTAAAATCGTGAAAAAATCATGAAAATGGAACCCGACCCTCATTCAGTCACAGGAAACAACATACTTAAATTTGAAAAGATTTCTTCACAGAGTTTTCAAGTTATTGCACAAACGAGGGTCTAAGTATCACTTTTCGCTACTTAAAGGTCTTCAACTCAACGATAAAAGCTAAAATCATGAAAATCGAACTTGACATCCATTTTGTCATCAGTAACAACATATTAAAATTTGAAAAGCTTTGGTTGAACGGTTCATAAATTAAAGCATGGACACGAAGCAAGCCCGCTGTACATCCCCAAATCAATAACCGATTTTCGTTCGGAAATCCGGTTAAAAAGTAACGTTACATCACTGTTGTTGGGACTGGAAAGCCATCATTACATTTGAAGCATGAAATAGTAAAATCTGAATAAAATATTTTAACTGGAAATATTAGATACCTGAATATGACCCAATTACATTATTCCATGACATTAGAGCACACCACTCGTTAATACTGGATATAGATTCTCCATGTTGCTCAGTCACCTTAAAATAGGAATTACGATACAAGTTATTATGCACTGGGACTCATAAATTTATAACATAGTCTTTGAAAGTTACTTTAATCCAAAGTTTAGCACAGTGCTAAAATCAGTTCAGAGGCTAAATTTAAGGTTGATGTGCAAATTTACATATATAAACATAAGCTCTGAAGAGGTTATGAATCAACTATATAAAACAATACAATACATTTTTTACAAACTATAAACATAATACCAGGACAATAAACATTTGCAAACATTAAATACTACATATGCAGTTAAATAAATCAAAGTGCATGTAAGGAACTGAAAGTTAAAAGTTGCTTTAATTTTGCAATGTATCTTCCGTTTTCTGTTGGTCATTTAAACTAACCTAGAGATGTCTTTTGGTATTTTTTGTCTTTGGGTTGCTGTTTTATTGACATGTACCCATACCCAACATCTCAATAAAATGAGATGAATACATTCAGTATTGGTTACTACAACGTATACATCTCATGTTATTCAGATTTAAACACAATTAAATGATTTCTTACACTGCATAAAACTGCATTTTGCTCCTTGTCCATGATACAGAGGCTACCAACAGGAAATCTTGATGACACAAGTTTACAAATTATTAATGACCTGAAAAAATATTTATAGTTAGGCATCCCTACACTGATTAGAAGATAAGTTAAAAATAGAATTGACAGTCCCTTACAGACTCTAAAAAAAACATGTTTAGAATTCTTCATTGTTAATCACAGTCCCAACAAAGTAGGCCTAAAAAAATACAATTAAGTGTCTAAAAACTATCATAATGATGCTAAAGGCCCAATTTTCAGAAGAACACTATAAGAATATCCCTATATGAAGTTAAATTACTCAAGGTTATTTGTATAGCACTGGGTATCTCAGTTTTAAAAGCACAAAGCCTGCTCTCTAACAGAATGTTGTTTTGGTGGGAGACAAACAATCTCTAACATGCAACAAGTTTAAATCATCCAGAGTCAAAATAAATTTACAAGGATCAAATATCTCAGATTACTATAAAAAAAACTTTTATCAGTCCAGAGATCTCGAAAAGTGGTGGTCTGAAGGTTTCAAACACCAAATTTGTCCAAGGACCGACACAATTTTAGTATTTTGCAATAGAAATAAAAGTGAGGACCAGCAAATTTTCTTTAATGACCACAAGAGAAAAATGATTTTGAGAACTTTAATCAGTAACTGATACTAACCTCTTTTTAAATTCAGACAAAGAATTTCCTGTTTGTTTTTTATCAGCACACAAGGGAGGTAACTTCAACAGGTTTGACAGAGACAGAACTGGTAAACCCAAAACATTTTGTTCTTTTTGTAATTTCTCCAGTATAAATTCAGGTGTTAGATACGGACAATCATCTTCAATTTTCAATGATTTTACATAAATACAAAATTCCTTCAACCAAACCTGAAAAAAATAATGTTGAAAATTTGTTAAAGTTTAAAAGAATAACATAATCTTTGCCATTGTCAAATTATATGTACTTGTACAATACTAAGAAATCTGAAGTGTTCATCTAGTAAAAATATGCTGTTGATATCTCTGTAAAATTATGTATTTCCAACTCCAAAGAGCCTGAATCACTCACTTGGATGTATCTAATAGTGCTTCCTTGTTGTATTTACCCTCAAGGACAACTGAACCAATAAAAATAAGCTTTGATTTGAGCCAAAGGATGGTATTCTGTGAATAAAGGGCAAATTTTCAGGAGAAAAGAAAAAAGGACAAGGAAACAAATGGTGTATGATGTATCTGCTTCAGAATGGAATTATGATTTCAAGACAGAATTTTGTTGCATAAAGTCTGGGTCGGAAATTTAAACATTTTCTATATATATGTATTGTGCTGAGACAAAAGGACCAGTAAAAAACAAAAAAAGTCCATCAGACATAAGAGCAATCTCAGATCTTCTGTCAAGCAAATAAAAACATACATCATTAGTTTCCTAGTTTTGTCCATATTTACCTTTTCATTCACCAGCAACCCATGCATCCTATAAGAACGTTTATTTCCCTCAACTCTCCAGAATTTAAAATTGCTTCATTCTAAGGTTATTTTCTTTGATGCGTAAATATACAGATTGTTTAAGTAGCCACTTTCTCAAGGTCATTCATCCTTTCTATATAGCCTTAATGAATTATGCCCACTCATAGTTTCAGAAAGGAAATTGGTAATCTATCAATTTAAGAGGTACATGTATCCCTATATAAAGTTAAGTTACTAAAGTTTATTCTGCACTAGGTAATCTCAATTTCAATAGCACAAACATGACATAGACATCCTTAAGCATGCTCACTCACAGTATGCAGTTTTGCTGCAACAATTGTCCAACTACATCACTTTGGATATTTTCACCAACACCATATAGATATAAGAAGATGTGGCATGAGTGCCAATGAGACAACTCTCCATCCAAGTCAAAATTTATAAAAGTAAACCATTATAGGTCACAGTACGGTCTTCAACACGGAGCCACGTTATTAAATGTACAAGCAAATTGACATACCTTTTCAATATTTTCATAATTTTCAAAAAGGTTTCTCAAGCTTTCATCTCTGGACATCTTTATTTAAATCTACCATTTATGCTTATCCTGAAGACTGTTATTCTGAAATGTTAATATCTCAAAAGATGCAATGACAATATTTATATAGCACAAACGCAATTACATGTACATATATAATAATCAGTAAAGACTAAAAATAAAGTACATTGTATTAAAATACATTTGTACATAAAATATATGACTGTTAACTATAGTATCAATAGGTTGTATACAAGTTAAATGCATGTAATATAATTCATATTTTTGTAATTCATAATTTCTAACTTTTTATAAACAATTCAAAAATATCATTAGATATTATTTTAAAATAATATGCCTGGCATCTTGTTTCTGTTATTAACTTTGCATGAATTGTTTTACTGTTAAGTATAGGTTTTTATTGTCGGAAAAAAGTCTTGTGAGCTTGTTTTTCTGTTTTGCAAACTTTTGGTTAGCAAATTTTCTGCATACCAGACTGTTTTTCAGTTTGATCCCTTACAAGATGCTGTTTTTCAGAGTATCAATCTGGCAACTTATTCATTTTCTGGAAAAGTTGCTAACCAAAAGTTGCTACTATTGACCAAAACAAATGCACTTAATATTTTTAGCTAAATTCAAAATTTAAGATTTTTTGTAATGAAAATTTATATCAACATGATCAAATTTGGACTTAAAACAGCCTGTATCCAAAAGTGGTTCTATTCTACTGGCAGATCTTGCAGCCATCCAATCAGTCTTGGATTTTATTATAAGGGTAGAAAACAGGACAAATTGATTGAGGAAGTTCAAATTTTTTCTCACAGCCAATCAGCCATTGGAATCCTCTCTAAATTGTAAAATAGAAAATCACAGGTCAACTATTTGGTTTGCAAGTTTGGCTGTACCTGTAAAAATCTTATTTCAGACGGAATAGCACATCCTACATTTTAAGGTGATGTTGTTTACCTAGCCCGGAAATTTATATACGATCCGGGTAAACTTATCAATCCTTTAAATAAACTTGTTCTAAAAGGTTATCAATTCAACACTGTAATTAGATCTTTGAATATTGATTTTATTGGTATAAATATTGATTTTGTTATCAGTAAATTAAAATCATACTAATAGTTTTGTTATACACATATGCACTTTAATGGTACTACAATCTGTCGATAGTTTGGCATTTTGGCATTGCACAAGGTCATGTTTTTCTCTGACTGTTAATGATGTCTTTACACTAAATCCATTGGATGTTGGATGTGTACTGATTGATATTTTAGTCCTAGATACATGATTTTTTTATTAGTTATTGGCTTTGAACTAGCTATCAGTAACTGCGAGTACTCTTAGATCTGTACTTAGTGTCCTTTTTTATGTTAGGGATGAGGGATGGATAAATACCCTGCCACGTCCGGTCTGTGTTTATGTTTGATGCTTTTAGGCTTTGTATCGATCTGATGAGTTAAACCCTTTTCAACTGATTTTTATAGTTTGTTCTTATGCTGTGCTGTTACACCACTGTCCCAGGTTAGGGTGAGGGTTGAGCACTCACAAACATGTTTAACCCCACCACATTCTTTTTGTGCCTGTCCCAAGTCAGGAGCCTGTAGTTCAGTGGTTGTTGTTCATGTCTGTCATATTTGTTTTTCGTTAATTGTTTTGTTATAAATAAGGCTGTACGGTTGCCTATAATTGCTAACATCAACTTCATTTGAACCTTGATGGATAGTTGTCTCATTGGCAATCATACCTCATCTCCTTACTTTTATACTTATACTTTATATCTTTCAAAAAATAAATCAATAGAAAATCAATATGGGATAAAAATAAGTTTTAATTGATATTACATACAATTATAACCTATTACTACGTGAGTTGAATACAAATGAGAGGAATTATTTTTCACTTTTAAATTACATGAATGTATGAAGAGGACACCTATAGAATACAGGTTTGTTATGTGCCTCTGCCGTCTAATCAGTAATCTACATGTACCAAGAATCAAGAATCAAGATTTTATTATCCAATCATGGGCCCTCAAGGGGCATATACACAAAATACAACAATTTAACAATAATTATCATGACATAACAAATTATTAAAGGTACATTGGTAGTGTACAAATGTTTGTACTAAAATGAAGCAAACAATATATTATATAATACTTTCATGGAATATAACATCTTTAATATTAGCATACATTTAAATTGGAAGGTTTTCTGAAATAAATTCACTTATTTTTCAATGTAATTTTTGTATCTTCCATAGTCATTAACCATATAAATTTGTTAAGACAGGACAAGTTTGAAAAAGATGGACATTCTTTGTTAACATGGTAAAGAAAAAGTTTTCTTTGCTGATTAATAAAAGAACATTGTAAAAGAAAATGAATTTCCTCCTCAACATCATCAGAAAAACATCTGTCACATATTCTTTTTTCATAAGGCACATTTGGCTTAATATATTGCCCAGTTTCAACTTTTAACTTGTGATTACTTAGTCTGAACTTTGTATAGTTTTTTTCTTTTTTTGAAGTCTTAAATAAAATCCAGACATATATCACGTTCAAATGAACATTTAAATCTTAATTATGTACGTAGTTTACCATTTTCCATGATCAACTTGTGTTTTGTATCTGCCCACATTTTTTGGTAAAAATTTGATGAAAAGTATGTTTTGAGTTTACTGGTCAAAGTGTGGGGCTTGTATCTATTAAAATCAGATTTTGAAATATCAATATTTACAATATTTGACACATGTAGAAAACATGTGTACCAAGTGTTTATCCCTTGATAGTGTAACATTTGATTTTCTATATAAGCATTTTCTATAATGAGTTTTTAGACTTTTCTATTCAAACCCATGCAATATTTAATTATATTTTAGAAGTAGAATTATATTTTTGAATATATCCATAACCAAAGGGTAGCGTCCTAGTTCGCTCATCACAGCAAAATTTGGGCTGTTTTTTTGTACCCCTAGAATATATTTTGAAAAAATGTTGGTTCATCTTTGCCGCTGTATTATATATATAAAAAACACTTGCTAATTCAACAAAGTTACACAAGAAATCTGATTTGTAAAAGGAAGAGGAAGAAAAGAGACAGATCTTCCCAAATGCAAAAAAAAAACAGAAATGGACCTCTTCTGGCTCACTATCGAAGAACAATACACAAGCCCCAGAAGATTATTCCATTATATGGTTTTAAACTTTTAGATAAGCTCATAATTTTCATGATTTAGGTGATTGTCCCCAACCTGTTAAATGAACTATACATAGGATTTATATTATTCATATATACGTCCTTGCTATCATTAAACATCATATCTTACAAATTGGAAGTTTGGAACATAGGTAGATATGTAAAAGCAAGGATTTATATAGTAGAATTTTGTTGTTTTGGTTTTCGTTTTCCCGCGGTTTTTGGTAAGGTGTCGTAAAGTTATAAAATGACTTCAGGAAAATAATCAGAAGATTTTCATCTGCATAATGCACAAAAAGTAAAAAATATTGAGTAATTGACACTCTGTTCAAAATTTTGAAATCTTTTAAATTATATAGTTGTCGTAAAACTTTTCGGAGCTCAATTTCTTTTCCTTTCGGGTTGTCTTTATACTGTACCTTTCATTAAGCAAACGTGATGTGTACAAGTTGATGTTGACGCATTTTGCTATATTTTAGTTTTGTTAGAAGAAAATGCTTCAAAGAAAATTCCAAACGTTTCTTTATTTCATGACACTAGTAGTTATTGTTTGTCATTTTAATTTGGTACATGGGAAACCAGGAGAAGATGGTGATGATGTAAATAAGACCATTGCAGCCAGTTTGAAACCTTCTGAAACAAACTCAACAGGAGATTGCACAGGGACAAACTGTACAAAAGACAACTCAGATGGCAGTTTGTTACATATGTTCAACAACAAACCAATGTTGATGAGAGCCTTTTATGTTCTTTTAGCAGTAACATCAATAGTGATAGTCTATTTTGTTGTTAGGGCTTGGAGGTTTGTAATGCTTATTTGTGCATTTAATTTGCTATAGAATAGAATAGAATATTTTTATTTCCCATATTACAGGGCCCATAAAGGGCATAAAATCAGTTAAAATTGATTGACATAATTGATAATTACAACAATAAACATCACAGTGTACAATGTACATGTAAATGTATATTAAGTATATACACCTTATCGCTATTTGTCCGCCATTACTGGACGTCACACAGGTTCCCGTAAAATTTTGACATCATAATACAAAATATCTGACGCCACAATGGAAAAGTGATTGTTGTATGACGTCAATAGTTCAAGCGGGACAGATTCTTAGGTCAGCCGGGAATAGCGATAAGGTGTATTAGCATTGGTCAGAATCAGAGGCAACAACAATATATATGTAGGACTCAAATCTATGGTGGGTTCCAAATCTATGGCAGATTCCTAATCTATGGTAAATGTGACGTCATGCCATCCCAAATCTATGGCAGATTGTTTTACAACCTAATCTATGGCAAGTTTTGTAATTTCCTTATCTATGGCGGGTTTTTTGTTGTTTTCAAATCTATGGCAAATTTTGTGCAAATGGAAAACAATGCAGTACATATACGACCAATGACTTGTCTTAAACAAGTGGACATGTACGACGGGAGCATGTATATAAATATTTGTGAAATAAACATTTCATAATGGTCAACCAAATCGTGTTAGCAACCAATCAAATTCGTAAATGATGAAATCATATACCTTAATACAGACTTCAAGATTGAAATGATGTGCACCGTAAAAATATACATTTTTTGATCTGTGCATGTTACCTATTTAACCCATTCATTAAACCAACTAGTAAGTCCCTTATAAACAAAAAAAAGGGGATAGTTTTTCTTATAAAACAAAAATGATAAATAAAAATGAACAGTTTGAATTTTCAAATAATATTTACTTCATCATTAATATCATTTTTATTTGATGAAGATTTAAATCAAATTGGTATCCGGTAATTTTATCTTTCACTTTATAAATTTTGCCAGCTGTAGACAGTAAAATATTTACTATAACTCCTTTTCTAAAATATCCGGTACTGAAAAAAGCGGTGTCCTTGTTCATCGCGGGTTTCGGCCGGTACAGCACATTTTGTCCCTCTTCCGGATAATAGGTCATATCTTCCTTTAAACCATTCGCAAATTGTTGTTGAGGGAAATACCTTCATCTGGAATCGTGTTCAAATCTATGAGTTCCGCCAACGTTTGCGGCGGCGACGATGTAATATTGCGTTATTCTATTGTGACGTAATTTAAAGATCTGCCATAGATTTGGAGAAAACAAAAATCTGCCATAGATTTGATTTGTTTGACGTTTGTTACGTCACATTTGCCATAGATTAGGAATCTGCCATAGATTTGGAACCCGCCATAGATTTGAGTCCTACATATATATGGTGAATGCACAATAAAATGATAAAATTACATTATATGCATTCATTCTCAAATTATTTACTAGACTTAGTATCAATATTCATACCTGAACTCCTTAATTCAAAACACTCTCCAATATAACAGCCCATTTTTTCCATAAGAGATACATTTTCTTGGGTCAAGAGCCATAAAAATTTGGAAGATTTAAATTTATTTTAAGTTTTTAAAATTATAACAAAAGTATATATCAGAGTTCTTAAAAAGTCAGTCCAGATCATTTGATTGATACGAACTTGAAATGTCTGACATCTAGTGTTACATTGTTCAAAGAGCTGACACTAGTGAGTGAATTTTACAATTGAAATGTATGATTGGACTGACGAAAGTGTAGTCAGACCCTGGGGCAGAATTTAGAGGGTTCAGCAAATGACGTGAAATTCAGAAATTTGTGTTTAATCCAATGACCAGCAATTACTTTTCCTGTTTGGAGCCATCAAAAATGAAATTTCTGTTGGTCCTGCACGTAACGTAAAAGGTCAAATTGGTAAACATAAATGTTTCTACCCGCTGAAGCTTAAGGGAACCAGTTTTCATCTCAGATTTATTTTTGTATTCTTTTGGTAAGGCCAAATAAAAATATATGTGTGTTTCCAGTTATATTCTTAAAAAAATAGGGTTACGGTGTACCTACACAATGTAGTTAGGAAAAAAATCGTATTTTCACCAATGCTGGTTTCGGTATTATACAACTCCCTACTAGAAGTTCACCATTTTTTATAGGTTTGGTTTTAAATAAAATAAACATGTAACGTTACTTTTTTAGTTATTTTTGTTGCATTCTGTGAAACGTATGTTCTTCAACATTAAGATTGAGCAATTTATGTAAATTAAAACTTTCATCTGTATGCATGACCATTTTAGAAACATGTAGATCTTAAAAATTATACTTCCTAATTTGTTTATTTTAGAATAAGAAGGAAAAGGAGTAAATCGAGAAAATATGGATTGATTACAGCAAGAGGAACTGATATGGAGATGGCGCCACTGGACCAGGATGATGATGATGACGAAGATATGACAGTGTATGAAATGAATAGTCGGAAGAAATAATAATCCGGTAAGAATGTTCAGATGAATATGATAGAGTAAGCATAATTATATGGCTGAACTGTGTACAATGTAGAAATAATTTATTGACTTGTGTTAAAATAAGACATGAATTGTTTCCTTTGATCTACACTGTTCTAGGTCTGTTTTTAGGTTACTGTACATATATATTTGAAAGGCATGGCCATTTTCATAGTATCTTTTTGCTAAAGTACTTTACAATACCAAGTTGAAGTTTCAATTCATCACCTCAAACTGATCAGATGTTTGGTTTTTGTCGAGCCTGCGACTTTTGGCGCAAAAGCGAGACATAGGGATCCTACATTCCGTCGGCGGCGGCCACAAATATTCACTGATTAAATACCTAGTCTAGATCAAGCTGATCAGGTGAAACAATCTGCTTCAGGTAATTTGATCTTAGTTGACCTGAGTTCCACCTGATTTATTTTTATATTGTTTAAGGATGTACTTACGTGAAATTAAAAAAATCTAGAATTTAAAATTGATACTATAAGTCGGAAGAGCATTTGTTAAGGAACAAAAAAAGCTAAAAATATTGATAGGTTATGGAGCTCCTTTTCGAGATATTTAATTTTTTAAAATGGCGGGAAAAGGCTGACTCAGACTTTTACCTTATATTTGCATTGACATTATTTGGGTCTCAAATTGAAAGAAAAGAAATCTAGAATCTGCTTAAATTTTGGTAAATGACCTTTTATGAGCTATTGAAGTCTCATATGAAAAGAAAAATGGGCGTTATGGGGCAAAATATTTTACCCTGTATCATAGGAAAAAAACCAAGCCAAACATCTGACACAAATTCCTAAACCTGACCTAAGTACATCCTTAAAACAGGTCTTCACAAATTATAATTGACCAGTTTCAAGAGAATCATTGATATCAGTATTAGTATTAAACAAATATGACAAAATGGTCTTCGTATTATTATAATACTTCAACCTAGTGGTAGTAGTGCATTTATTACTTTTATGCCAATAATCTAACTGACTGCCATTTGATGAATAAGTTTTAAACAATGTATTGGATTTTACATGATCATGAAAATGAAACATCTAAGAAAATATTTGAAAGGAGTAGAGTAAAAAATTTCCCGTTTGAATGGTTTTACACTAGTAATTTTTGGGGCCCTTTATAGCTTACTGTTCGGTGTGAGCCAAGGCTCCGTGTTGAAGACCGTACTTTGACCTATAATGGTTTACTTTTATAAATTTTGACTTGGATGGAGAGTTGTCTCATTGGCACTCATACCACACCTTCTTATATCTACATAAAGGTTGTGTCAAAAAATTCAAATATTTATGTTATAGTTATTAAGTTAAGACATAAACATAGATGATACAAAATTATATTATAATCAAATAAATAAGCTGTTGCCGCTTACATTTAAAAAGTTATTTATTTTTCAGTTAACAGGCAAAATGCTCACATTCCATAAAGACAGAAGAAGTAAACATGTGAATAAGAATATACATATAAATAAAAAGTGAACTTATCTGAGAATATTCATGTACAAAACAAATTACTTAATATATGAATATAATTACAGTTGAGAATTTATGGTGCTTTAAACTGGGTAAAAAGCGTAGTTTATCTCTTTTTATTAATACATATTTATAATCAAAGCTTATCAGAAAAATCATGTCTATTTTGCAATACACCAGATGCATTTTTTATTAGCTAAAAATGTAAAATTGCCCTTTTCACTCGATCAGTCTTCCAAAACCTGCCATTTTGTCAAGCTTTCTGACACAAAAAAGACAAATGATGTATCAAGATAGTTTAAATTCTCTTCAATGGTGAAGGAAAATTCTTCAACTTGTAACTAGGTGTTTGCTGATTTGACCCTGGTAATAGAAAAATGTTGGGCAAGCCAGTTTTCTGACTTGGTTTCAGTTTCTACTCCTTGAAAAAATAGTGCAATGTACTGTAATGAATCTATCACTTTTGAAACAATTCCATAGTGGCCTAGAGAGGTTTTTAAAGATCAGATATTACTTTGTCTGTTTGTCTTGGTATTAATGTCTGTTATATATGTGTGCGGCAGATTTATGGAAGACTGGTACTGTTTTAAAGATTTTTCATTTGATATATGTTTTAAAAAATATATTATATTGTATACATTTTGTGATTATCGATCTCCACTCTAGCTTGCTTACTTCAATATAAAATACTCAAATTCATTTTCATGTAATTTATTCTGAGGCATGTAAAGAAATAGCACATGAACCATAATTGTATTGTTTCTTGTTTTTTTTTTATGATTTGTAAGGACCACAGAAATAGTAAATGGAACTAAGAATTTACTTTTGGTCCATACACATCTCAAAACAACCAAGGTCTTTTTTAGAATTAGGTTTTTCAGTTTGAAAAATAATGCTTGTTTATTTGTAAGTAAATTCAACACTTATTATCAATCGTGGAAATGATTTCCTCTTCTTCATATAATGTTATGTTAATTTATTATACCCTGTCTTCAATGAAAAAGAAGTAATTTGTTCAGGTTTTGATTTTCTTAATGACAAATGATTGTTATTCAATAAAATATTTAAGTTTTTTTTCACTTCACTGAAATGGTTCATTTATTACTGTGACTTGACTAATTTTCCTGCCTGTGCAGTTTGTATAATTCAGAAACACTTGATGGTAAAATATTTTATTTATATAAACATATTAGATAATGAGCAAAGTGTTAAAATTGATTTATACAGAAGATGGGAATAGAATTATTTCTGAACAGAAAAATATCTTTTTTTACAAATACATGACAAGCAATGGCAATTGTCTATCATTCTCATTGTTAATAAAAAAAAATCCATTGCCAGTGCTGTTGTAATATACTATTTATAAGATCATGAAATCCATTGTTACACATATGTAATCAGTATGGTTATAGTGTGGTAGGTGCTCTTTTAAGAATTCCATTTTTCATATGTCATAGAACTTATAGAATCATGCATAGATACCTCTTTTACATCATAATAGGTGAGGTTTGTAGAAGAAAACTATATAAATTATGAATGCAGGGTTGTGTTATAGTGCCTAATACATGTATAGTAAAACTTGTTTTCAGTGCATTGTTACTTATTAAATTACAAAGTTGGATACAGCTAGTCTGTTTGCCAATGACAGAATTGATTCTGTTATTACACACTTATAATACATGTAGTTTCCCTTTTCAATTGAAGACTTGGTGCCAATGCAAAGCATGTTTAGCTAAAAGTGATATATAGGTGTTTTAACTAATTTTCATTGAAAAATAAATATTAATTTACATGTATATCAAAAGTTTTAAGATTAACAAAAGGGATTGTGATGAAAAGATTTGAAAAACTTAGATTATGCACAAAAAAATTTGCTCTTTCTGTGCGCTCTTTGTTGGCAATTAAAATTTGTCACTTCTAAGGGAAACAACTTGTGCAAATGGATCTCTAGTAACAGGGTCAATAACAGAATTGGCAAATAGTCTATTGCATATATATATACATGTGTATATGACTACAAGTGTTGTACAGTTTGAAGACATTTGACAAATAAAGATATGTTTCTATATTAATGTTGTAGCTATAAAAAAAAATGGTGATTGTGAATCTTTTGTTTAAAGGGATAGTTCAAAGGTTTAAAATTGTTATGTTTGTATTTTAATTTTATTTTTAGTTTGAAGCAAAATCATACTTGCCAAGCATCTTGATTTAACTTAAGTCTGTATGTTCAATTTCCAACAGTCTATTTTAAATGCAGATTATAGAAAAAAAAATTGTTTCTTAAATACCAAAAATGTCAGAATGTAGAAGATGGCAGTTTTGTTTTATTCACAAATTGCAGGTAGATGAATTTTGGTATAGCCTTGCCTGTCTCTTCAACTGTTGGTCTATACATACTACAATAACTAAAGAAAGTGTTGATCAAATTTGATGAAACTTGCATGATATATTTGAATATGTGGAAGAAAGCTCTCTTTTATTTTTGAAAAATTCCTGATTTGTCATTTTTATTGTAATGGGACTGTCAGATTTAAGGCATTCTTTGAATATCCTAACACTGACTTCAGTATGCTGGAATGATTGCCTTTGAAACTTTAAATTGTTGTTGTGATTGGTAAACATTTTTATTTTGAAAGTTTCCTGGTTTGTTAAAATAAAGTATTTTTCTGACTTCTAATGCAATGCCTGCTACAATATTATTTTTATTCTCAGAAAAAAAATCAATTTGCATATGAAAGGAGTGATGCACTCCTGGAAAAGCTGTAATTAATATAAAAAGGTCAGGCTATAGAGTCTCCCACCAAATCATTAGTTTACTAGTAAATAGTGATAAACATTTTAGTCAGTGTTAGTCCAATTAAGTGAAAACTTGAGGTTTTAGTAGCAGATTTTTTATAACATTAAGTAAAACGATGATGTAAAAAAAAAGAAGAATGCAATGTTAAATTCCAGTTTGTTAATTTAAAATTATCTATGCTCAAACTAGGAAAAATAAATTTAAAGAGAGATTATCTTAGTTATCTCTCACCAAAACTTATGTCCAATAAAAAATATACCTGTTAATCGGCTACTTGAGGACAAACAAGATTTTTTATAGTATGTGTGAATTAAATTATGTACAACAAGTTACATGCTTTAGAACCTGCAGTAAAGTTACAGGTGCTTTTTTTATTCTAAGCATGAGTAGGTGCTGTATATATTACAAGCTACATGTAGTAGATACTCAGTTGGAAAATAGATGATATGCTGCATAATTATTAGTTTTAGGACATCATAGTATTATGTATTGATATACAAATCATATGTGCAATATAGGAAAATAATGTACTGTCACTAAAGAGAATATTTTTGTAAAGTAACAATGGGTTTATGTAAATACTATTTTTGAATTTTGTTTTATGTTTCGTTACTGTACATTCTTTTATTTTCTTTCTTTATTTTTCTATGGCTGCTTAATTACAAAAGATATAAATATTGTCTTTGATTTACTGTAGAAAAATTCATTTTCATGGGGTGACAATTTCAAGGTTTTGTTTAAAAAGTTGGGATTGTGGGGATAACTTTTTGAGGATTACAAGTTTCAAGATATTTTTTAAGGGGGTATCTGTCGATAAAATACCTGTTGGCCTTAGTTTTATTGAGATTAAACCAGCAAACCCTTATAGGGATTTATATGTCTTTTTAAATTTTTATCCAAGGACAATGAATGCATAATTAATAGATTTCATCTTTCAGTATTACAAACCCACTGACCTGTAGGGTGACATTGCTTGACAGTTTTCAAATTACCTTTAATCACTTAAAAGTACTACAATGGATTTCCTTTTGTGTGAAAGTAAAAGGTGAAATAATTTTTCTGTTACTGAATCATCAGTATACAAAGGAATACTTATTTTTTTGCTTTCATTTATGTCTTACTTTTGTTCATTTCAATGTAAATATGACTGATTAAAAAATGGGAATTTGGTCTTTTCTGGTTTAATTTTTTGTTGTTTTTAGTTTCTATCCAGGAAATATACAAAATTTAATCCCAACAATAATTCCTGCTTTTATAGTATATATATTCTGTTAAAATGCAAGATACCTGTACGTTAAAATCTTAGATTTAAAGATTAAATAGAATGAACCAACTAAAAAACAAATTTATTCATTCAGAGATTTTTGGAAAGATACATGTACATACAGATAGAAAGCCTCAGGCAAGCTATTGAATGATTTAAAGTTTTTATTTATAAAGCATCAGGTTTAAAAGAATAGGATAGGATTAAAATTATTTTAAATTTTGAACTGGTATATCAATATATTACACAATATAGTAGTTGAATTTTTACTTGGAGCTTGGTACATATACCCTACTTTTTGAGGAAAAGAGAAATAGAGAAGGGAATTCACTACTTTTGAAGTAACAGTATAGACTTAGAAAATTTATAACTTTTGAAAATTTTAAATATTTTATGTTTTGTTTGTTTTCAAAACCTTCTCTTTCTCAGAAGTCATGTCTGTTACTTGCTAGGATTAGAAGTTATACTTGCAATCATACAATGTTATTTTACAGCATTACAACAAAATCGTTTGTTTATGGATATTAGTAATTTAATGATACCTTTAATAGATTAGTTTATCTTATTTTGTGACATCTGGACAATTTATAATATAAAGTTAATTATAGCTTCAGTTGTTTTGTATAATAAATATTTTAGAAAATAGACTTATCATTTCTTGTTTGTCATGGATATCTATAGATTAATTAGTATTGTATGGAAAATATTACCAAACTAACGTCTCTGCAAGAAAAGCTCACAAAATGATAGGCATTATGTTAATGGATAGAACATTCAATATATTTGATCCCCTTATGCAAGACATAAGGATCACTATTTGGCAGTGGTGTAAACTATTATTTATATAAAGCCTTATATTTCAGAGGATAGACCTGGATGTTTCATACCTAGTATACAGATATCTTACTAAATTTCAGTCTGTCATATGTTCATCGTCCTTGACCTCATTTTCATGGTTTAGTGACCGCTTGGTATTTTTTGTCATGTTTTTACCTCATCCTGAAAATGCATGACATATTTCCCACTGGACACTTAACAAACATAAATCAATCATGTGAATTCTTCACTTACTATGTGTAATAGGATAGCTGTATTTGGTATATGGGCTCCTTACAAGATCTACATGACAGCCAGACAGGGTTCACCTGACCTTGACCTCATGGATCAGTGATCAAAGTTAAGGTTACTAGATTTTGTCCGTTTCTCAAATATATTCTGTAGGTCAACTATATTTGGTGTATGGAATGGCTGTAAGGTGTACACGTCAGTCTGGCAGGTTTCATCTGACCTTAACTTTATTTTTATGGTTCATTGGTCCATGTTAAGTTTTTTGTGCTTTGATCTGTTTTTCAAATACTATAGTACATGTATAAGCAATAGGTCAACACTATTTGGTGTATAGAATGATTGCAAGTTGTACAAGTCGGTCTGGCAAGGTTAATCTGACCTTGACCTCATTTTCATGGTTCATTGTTAAGTTTCCAATAGGTTACTATTTTTGTTGCACAAAATCATTTCAAGGTGTACAGGTGTGTTTTGCATGTTCATTCGACCTTGACCTCATTTTCATGGTTCATTGCTCAGTGTCAAGTTTTCAAGGTTTGTCTCTTTCTTAGATGCTATAAGCACTAGGTCAACTATAGTTGGTGTATGGAATGATTACAAGGTGTACATGTCGGTCTGCCAAGGTTTATCTTACTTGATTTCATTGTCATAGATAATGTTAAGTTTATGTGATACTTGTAGTTAAACCTTTGATATCACCTTTATCCTTAAGACTTTCAAATTATAATCAATCATGGTCAGAAAAGCAGACATACATCTTTTACAAGGTCTAATTTTAGGGACGATGGAATTTCGTTAATTTTTCAAGGAATCGACACTACTTAGAACTTCTGACATCATAAACTTTTTTATCGAGTTGTTAATAATCAGGCAAAAAGACTTTCCTCCAAGCATCTTCATAGGTCAAATTTAGGTTAACTTCAAGATTACAACAGTAATGATTTGCATTAATAAAAATCAGTCAAGCCTTACCTAAAATGTCAAGCATTTGACTTGTTATTGGTAAAATCTGTGTAAATTTTCCAACTAATTTTGAATTGCTGAAGTTGTGAAGCCAGGACTAAGATGTGCTATTTCCCATGACCTCAACAAATTGTTAAAAGTTTGTGATAGATAAGGTCAGATTAAGAGGAACCACTAATGGCAAGTGAATGATATTTGGTATGTAGTTGAAGGCTTAGTTGCACAAACATTTGAAGTCCATAGACCACGTCTAGATCCAATACAAGGAGGCAAAACAATCGAATCTCAATAGAAACGAGATGTGTCAATGCTAATACAATTATGTACAAAACATCATTTGACTTACTACAAGTGGTTCACATAAATCAAATCATAAACTAAAACAAATGGTTGACGCAACCATAAAACAGAAGTCTCGCCTCCACGACTTTGACGAGGTAACAAAAAACGACCCCAATCTAATCAAAATTAGTTCACTTGCTCTTCATTTTCGTTCGGTTGTTTATATGTCACGCATGGGACATATAAACAATCGAACGAAAATGAGAAGCAAGTGCTGAGAACCAATCTAAATTAGATTGAAACGACCCAGAAACTGTTTCAGTGCAGTTTCCTCTTATATTAATAAGTACATTTGTGATTATTTGACCAAATATAGCTTATGTGACTATACAAGGCTACTATTTCAGCCTGTAAATGTCTCTTCGTATTTAGGATTTCAGAAATATTTAGGATTTTTGTTAATAGTTGTTGCAGGACCTCTAGATTTGTTGATCCTTGTCCTTTTGTCTTTGGTAGATACATGTAGTTGTATCACTGGCGATCATACCAAATCTCCATACATGTATCTTTATTATGATAAAAATCCAAGGCACAACTTCGATAGGTTTAAGGACATTACGTAAAATCAAAACACTAAATTCTAGACATAAAAAAAAACACTGGTTGAATTTGAGAAAATTTGGTATTGATGGCAGCCCCATGATAGTCAAGTGTTGTAAATTTTTTCGCTTTTCTTTATTCTGGGCTGCATAAGAGTAGGACATTTTGCAGAAACACTTGCCTATTGGACGAATGTTGGCCTCTTAAGAGTCTTTAGAATTTTTGTGACATGGGATTACTCATTGAAGTATACCTTGCATCTCCTTTTATTAATAAGGAGAAATAGCAACAACTACTGACAAGATACCTAATATTGAACAGGCACATGTGGCAATGTTAAGCAACTTTTATTGCTGGTAGTTGTCTACCCATCCCTAGTGGAAGTACATTTATAGCAATTGATTTCTTTGAGGACACACATACCCTCTTGTGATGTTTCTTATTCTAATAAATGGGAAACAGGTTTTCACATAAAATGGATACCCATATCACTGCTCGTTTAGTTTCACCAACCTAATAGCTTCAGAGATGCCAAGTCAGGAAATAGCTTTATTGGTCTTTTTTCAAACAGGAAGTCGTAAAAACTTACACTTCCCATTTAAATCAATCAAAAGGCTTATATTAAAGATATTCATTCAATGAAGATGTATCAAAGGCAAACCAGCAAGTCAACTAGCATGGTCCTTTATCCAGGGAATACAAATTCCATATCCAAACTGACTTTTGTAAAAAAACAACGATGAAAATATACTATGTCAAAACTTGAAGTTGCACACAATGTAGTACAAAAGTATACCATCTGCCAGGTGATTAAATGAGAGGCAACAATAAATTACCAATTTTCATTTCAAAAATATTCATTAAGAACATACTATTATCAAGGTAAAAAAACAACAAACAAAGACTGAGGGATCACATGAACTCCAAAAGGAGCAAGACCAGTTGTGTCGACAGGGTAGGCATCTACCACAAGGCATGGATCACCTGCAAGGGCAAATCCAATTTTTTACATTGACAAAAATTCAAAGTATTGTCAAACAGGAAGTGACTGCTCTCAGATCTTAAAAGCATTTACACAATAAAATTTATCAATTAAAATTCCAGACCAATATCAAATCATCCATTATACAGAAGGAGAGTAATATGTAACTAAAGTTTACAAGTGGATGAACAGGTGTACAAGGCAAATGCAGCTAACATGCTGCCATTTCTGTGAGTAGTGGTATAAGTTTGGCTAACAAGTAAGAAGTATTGTGATCAGAGACTGAATTTATTTTATCAGTAGCACTATTATAGCCTGTAAAATGTCACTTTAGGTCTATTTTTTGGCCTTTCCTTTAGCTGCAGGCTTTCCTTTTACTGGCTTCTTTTTAGTCTTGGATGGATCTTTAATCTAAAAGCAACAAATAAACATCATTACAATACAAGAATTTACAAATTTCAATTAATCATGCATCATAAAATGTTATAACCAGGTAACTGTGAATGAAAGTATGATGTTTAAAGGATTGATGAAAAGTATATTGTATCTAGCACCAGAAAGGAATATGAATTAGGCAATAAGCACAAGAAATTCCTGAAATGTGAATTTTTGTCTTAATTTTATGCCTACCTTCATTGCCTACAGAATTTATACAACTGACTAAAGGAGCGCTACGGAGAACATAATTACAAGTAAAATATTTGATTTACTTCATACTTCCTCAGCAAACCCCAAAATCAGCATTCAATTATTGTGTTCAATCTGGAGGACAAATAATCAACTTGTTGAATGGTTTTAAAATGATTTTATAAAATTAATATCAAAGAAAATGTTGATCTAAATAAAACTTGTATTTAGGAGTTTGCAGGTAGTCATACATATGTTATAAATTATACAAAATTGATAAAACATGTAATAATATAGATTATAAATAACAAATAATATCTTTTCATGAAATAATTGTCAGTAAATAAATAAATATAAACAAAATAAAAATTCTATGACTTAAATTAAATTCAAATTTCATACACCGATCCTTTACCATCAAAATAAATCTAAAGGGAATTGGGTGGGAGGGTTTTTGAAGAAAAAAAATTTAAGTTATTAAAGAACCTGACTACCTTCTTTTCTACTGCTTTCTGAAAGTAATAATTTAAGATGAGTACTACTATTTACCTAAAAGTTAGTCCAATATAATTCATTGTACTTTTGTGACCAATAAGAAAAGGTTTTAAATTGTCTAATCCATACAAAAATTCCTTGAGAAATGTGTTAACAGTTTAATGAAGTGAAACCTGCAGTCACCTTATCTTATCACTAATTATTTTCAAATTCCTATTAATTAATCATTTTTATTTAAAAATTCAAAAAAACTCGGCGATTTGTCTAGTGCAGAAAGCTTGTGTAAATGTAATTCAGTTCACAGAAACATGCCTATAAACCAAAGAACTTATAAAGGACAATCAATATTCTTTTATTAAATACCAATTTGAAACAAAATCTTTCAGTCAGACTTCCCTGTTCGTAATTTTTCAACCATTGCTTTAGGTATTTATTAATAATATATAAAAGTATCAATAAGGTGTGGTTTAATTGCCAATAAGACAACTTTCAATCAAAGGCCAAATGACAATAATGTCAATTACTGGTTAATGTTCAGTCTTCCTCATGTCATTTTCTCCCAATTTATCTGAATTTATACTTACTCCTCGCTTCTCATTAACTACACCAAGTCTTTTGTCTCTCCTCTTTCTTTCTATATCTTTTGCAGCTTTATTCATAACTTTAGCATATGGATTAAGACGAATCATTACACGTTGGTTCTTCAATGGATTTTTCTTTAATACTCTTCTTCTATTTTCAGTACGTCTGCAAAAGTAAAACATAGCAATGCTAAATATGAAACAACAGCTACTAACTAATAAAACTATGAATTTACATTTAAGTTTTTAGTCAGATGTAACCATTTACTAATACCAATAAATGAGTCTCAGGGGAAAAGACGAACACTTGGCAGTACAAATCACTTCAGCCTATCATTAACATTGAAATTACAATTGAAAAAACTTTTACAGAACATTAAAATAAAATGCTTCGCTGGGGCGCAGCTTGATACGACCGCAGAGGTCGAACCCTGAACAGTTGCGGCAAGTATGGACACAAAATTCAAGCTTGATACAGCTATGACTTTGGATTGTCATTAAATATTTGACACAGCATAGGTTTCTGACACAGGATGAATGTGGTGTAAGAACTGGAAAAAATTTAATTTACCTATTATGGTGGAATCTCCATAAACTAAATTGTTTGTTAATTTCAATATATCAAAGAATATGTAGAATTCAATGTTTGATGTAATGTAATAAAGTTGAAATTTGGACCGTTTTTGTTCAATGTGGACCAATTTGGTAACATGTATAAATAATCAAAAATCTAAATACATGGGAGCCCATTTAAATACATCATAAAGGTATTAAAATAGAAAGTGACATCATAGTCATGGCTAAAAATAAACAAAAATCCTTAATCAGCAACATTTAAAGTAATATCTAAAAATAAAATTCCTTTGTAACCATAAAAGCCCATTTAAATACATCATAAAGATATTAAAATAGAAAATGACATCATAGTCATGGCTAAAAATAAACAAAATCCTTAATCAGCATCAGCAACATTTTATAGTAATATCTAAAAATAAAATTCCTTTGTAACCATAAAAGCCCATTTAAATACATCATAACAGATATTAAAATAGAAAATGACATCATAGTCATGGCTAAACATAGCAAAAAACCCTTAATCAGCATCATTTAACAGTAATATCTAAAAATGGAAATTACATCATAAAGGTATTAAAATAGAAAATGACATCATAGTCATGGCTAAAAATAAACAAAATCCTTAATCAGCATCAGCAACATTTTATAGTAATATCTAAAAATAAAATTCCTTTGTAACCATAAAAGCCCATTTAAATACATCATAACAGATATTAAAATAGAAAATGACATCATAGTCATGGCTAAACATAGCAAAAACCTTAATCACCATCATTTAACAGTAATATCTAAAAATAAAAATTTCTTTGCAACCATAAAAGTAAAATAGAAAATGACATCATAATCATAGCTAAAAATAAACAAAAATTTTTTTTATTGGCAAATTTTAAATGGAGTTTATTATACTAAAACAATAAATTTGCAACCATAAACATGATAAAACCCCATTTAAACACATCATAAAAGTATTAAATAATTCAACTACATCATAAGGCTATAAAAATAGAAAATGACTTCATAGTCAAGGCTAAAGGTAAACAAAAAACCTTCATCAGCAAAATTTTATATTGGCAAATTTCCAATGAAGTTTATTACACTAAAATTGTTGGCAAATTTCCAATGCAAAGTCAATTATTACTTTCCAATGTAACCTAAATTTCCAATATACATAATTTTAAATTCAATTCCTCATGATATATAACCGTATCATTATTATTTTCTTTCATATATAAATCTGAAACAACCATCTTTAAATGGAAAATTTTAAAGAAAAAAAAAGGAAAAAAAAAAATCCTACCCCCCACACATTTTTTCAACCCCCTTTTGATTCATCATCCCCCACCTCAATCACAACCTTCAATTTGTGGTATGGTACATTGCAATACAATTTCACAGAGATCCATACACTTGAACACAAGTTTTTGTTGCAAACTAAAAAAATCCTTATTTTCGACCAATATTTGGCCCCTTATTCATAAATGTTTGAGCAATTAACCCCAAAACTCAATTCCTACTTTCTCTTCGTGATAAAAAATAACTTAACTTAAAATGTAAATTTTAAACAAAAAAAAAAGGAAAAAAAAAAAATTACCCCTTTTTTGACCCCCGCCCCCCTTATGATTCATCACCCCCACCCCCCTTTCCCCCCCAAACCAAGCTCAATAACAGCCTTGCCTTTGTGGTATGGTACCTTGTAATACAATTTTAGAGAGATCCATACACTTGAACACAAGTTATTGTCTAGAAACTAAAAAATGCTTATTTTAAACCCCTTTTTAGGCCCCTTATTACTAAACGTTTTGGGCAATTACCACAACACTCAATTCCAGCTTTCCCTTTGTGAAATGGAACCTTGTAGTAAAATTTCAGAAAGATCCATACACTTACACACAAGTTATTGTCATGAAACTAGAAAAATGCTTGTTTTTTGCCCCCTTTTGGCCCCTTATTCCTAAAATTTTGAGGCAATTAACCCCAAAATCAATCCCAGCAATGACCCTTTGTGATATGGAATCTTGTGGTACAATGTCAAAGAGATCCATATGCTAACACACAAGTTATGTCTGGAAGTTACAAAAATGCTTATTTTCGGCCCCTTTTTGGCCCCTAATTCCTTAACTGTTGGTACCATAACCCCCAAAATCAATCCCCACCTTCCTATTGTGGTATTGAACCTTATGGTAAAATTTCATAGAGATCCATTTACTTAAACTAAAGTTAGAGTGCAAAAACCATTGTGTATTCGGACGACGACGACGACGACGCCAACGTCATACCAATATACGACCTCAAAATTTTTTTGCGGTCGTATAAAAATCACTACTCCCATTTTCTATAACTATCAAAATATCTTTCCATTTATTTGGACCATTTGACAAAATAATCATCCCTCATTGACATGAATTTAGATTCATGCAATTTAAAAGGTGTGTAATAACTATACACAAGTTTTACATTAATTTTTCAAAACTCTTCAATGTGATTATTACTTACCTTGGCGCCCTAATTGCTGCCTGTATTTCGTCACTCTTCAATAATCTTGATAAATCTGTTGTTGTCATTTTATGCATTGGTAAACTGCAACATAACAACAAATAATACATAAAACAACTCAAAACAATTATTCAAATATGTCGTAACAAGTCATGTCAGTGAAGCCAATATTTGATCACAAGGTGTCATAAACACGGACCAATGGCATCTCATCATTCTCAATGGTACATATTTTTACTCCTGTATATTGATCCTTCCTAAAAAATTTATGCATCATGAAATTTGCAGAACAAAAGAGCTTGCTACCTTTATCAGAACAAAATCAACACGGAAGAGAAGTAGAAGTAAATCATTTATATCATGATTTACTGAAATCAAACTTGCACAACAAAAGGATTGATATAGTAGATAGATGCCTGCTCATTATTGGAAACCATATGTTGTCCAATAGAAAACTATTTTTGTTTACTTGTGTTGTTTGGTGCTGTTTCAACGACATCTATTGTCCATATAAAACTAACAGGAAACTTTTGGATGAATATATTCCTTTTATTGTTGTTCAACACAACAACTTGACCCTTATCAAAATTAAAGACAACATCCTAAATAACCATGTTTATGTTTATCACATCATTACTACACTTTGGGTAGCATCTTCCAATACAGTATTCAAAAACTTATATTAAATGTCCTACCAAGTCAAATACAAAATGAACAAAATTATTTTTACTGGACATCTTTTGTGTGTATCTATCCAGAAAACATGTCTCAGACTTGGAACGTTTGCTTGCAAAATCAAAGACTTACTTGTAACCTGATTTTTCTTGTGAAACTTTTCTCCATGTACCATACAATTTATCTAATCTTGAAAATGCGGATTCAGTCCAAATACAGAATCTACCAACATGACCACCAGGGGCTATTTTTAAAAGGTTTAATGCTTGAACATTTATCAGTGTTATTCCTGAAATAGAAAATAAAAACACATAATTATATGATACATGTGAACAGAAACCGAGGTTTTATTGGTTATACATGGTTCAAGACAGCAAAAGGCAGCATCATAAAAGACTCTCTCTCACTCTTAAGTGACGTGAATATTACTGTATATTATAGGCAGGGTTTAAGCTGGGATTTTGAGGGCTTTAGTCACTTTTTCGCGAGATGAAAATCAACATTATTTTTGGTAACAGCAAGGGACCAAGGATGTATGTATATTACTAGCTTTACATCTTTGTCAGACTTTGAAGGACTAAGGCATCAATTTACTAGGCAGTAATTGCATGATTTGACTGATTGGTCACTTAAATATGAAGATTAGGATATAAGATCTGAAAATCTAGTTCAAAATTTTACTTCAATTAGTTTCAGGGGACATTCCTGATCAACAAAAGTTGGGTTCCTTTTATTAAAACCAGGAATCACAGTTTAAATGAACTTGTTGATCTTTGAAAGACTATTACACTGCATAATCATTATCCTTATAAAACGTTTAAATCGATATTTTGAATTATTTTCTATAAAGTTGAAACCAAGGATTTGTACAAATTCACATGGAACGATTCCAATAACTGTAAATTGTAAATTAATCGAGAATTGATCACGTTTACTTCCGAATTTCAAATGAAATGTAAACGGGAAGTGAGAAGTAGATTTTAAATTCAGAATGAATCCGGATTCATCTACGGATTGGTTCGTGTTTAAAAAAAGGCAGGAAATTATCATTTTTTTATTTCAATTTGCTAAGTAAGAAATATATTTGTCTCTCATTTAATTTGGCACTAAATTTATTTCGTATTTTACGTTTTAGTGTCTATAAATTCATAGGAATACTTTCACGCATGCGCAGTATATCGTAAAGGAAGCACCTGTTTGACTCGTTTTTAAGCGAATTAGCTGTAATCACAATTTTATAACACTTGTTGTAAATGTTAATTAGCTGAGGGTCATAAACTTGTCAGAAACATGTAGACAGGTAGAATTATAGTATTTTCATGCGAAAATATTTTTACACTTTCCAAATTTAAGTGACGAAATTGATTTGAAATACTTTCGTCATTTTGAAAACAGTTTCGTAAATTACGAAAGTGACGAGCGCTAGCAAAATCATTGATTATAGGCATGGCAATTCAGTGAAAAATATTTTTTGGAGGTAATTTTTCACAATGAATGCTGGTGTTTTTGGTGAAAAAATATGAAATGATGGTTGAATAGTTAAGAAATTGTAATCCCTTGTTTTGTTAAGTTCTACTATCATGACTATGGAAAGGACACACCAAAGTAGTTAATAGACTGGTGGAATCTAATTCAGTGTTATGCAGAGACGAGAGCTATGAATGGCATGATACAAAAATATTTGACTTAGTATTACAAGTGAAAATCAACAATGTTACTATTGCACTTTCTGAAATGACATTATATATTGAGACAAAGGATTTTATGGAACAACATTCCATAAACTGTTAACACAGAGATATGTCTCGCCTTTTTGTAATTTTGATCAGCAAATCTTGAAATTAAAATAGCAATACTTTAACATGTAAGTTATGCAAATATTCAAAGTCAATGAACCATGACTGAAGGTACATGGCTGAACAATCTCCATGGAAATTAACTGTGCCAATGCTAATACAACTGCATACCAAATACCATTGACTTATCATAAGTCGTTCCCTTTAATCAAACCTAAACATAAACATTAACTTGTAAACTATGTAAAAGTTTCAAAGTCAATGAATAATGATGAGGGGGTGGGGCTATATAATCTCAATGGAAACGAGACTTGCAAATGCCAATAAATTTGCATACCAAATATCATTGACTTAACAATAACATTAGCAGTTCATCTTAAACTGATCTAATCACAAACTAATATATGTAAACAAATATTCTCCATGGAAATGAGATGTACTTATGCTTATATAACTGAATACCAATTAACATTGGCTTACTAATGGTTCCCCTTGAACTGACCTAATCACAAACTAATACACGTCATCTAAGCAAAAGTTTCAAAGTCAATAGACCATGACTGAGGGGGAGGGCCAAATAATCTCTATGGAAATGAGATATGCCAATGCTTATACAACTGCATACCAAATATCATTTACTTACCACTAGTAGTTCCCCATAAACTGACATAATCACAAACTTATACATGAAAACTAAGCAAAAGTTTCAAAGTCAATAGACCATGACTGAGGGGGAGGGCCAAATAATCTCTATGGAAATGAGATATGCCAATGCTTATACAACTGCATACCAAATATCATTTACTTACCACTAGTGGTTCTCCATAAACTGACCTAATCACAAACATGTAAACTAAGCAATGTTTCAAAGTCAATAGACCATAACTGAGGGGGCAGGCCAAATAATCTCCATGGTAATGAGATGTGCCAATGCTAATACAACTGCATACCAAATATCATTGACCTACCACTAGTGGTTCACCATAAACTAGACCTAATCACAAACTAATACATTGTTGACGATGACGCCGACGCTGGAAACAGCATACCTATGTCTCGCTTTTTGACTCCGTCAAAGCGAGACGAAAAACTGAAAAACAATCATGCGTCGCTTGTGGAGAGATGTCTAATTGGCACATCTTCTTATTTTTATATTCACACTTTTTGGCACATTTTTGAGATTGAAATAATTCATTCACTCCTGTGGTCTGTTCAATGTTCACACCATGCAATGGCATATTCTTTAACCATAATTGGGCTGCTATAAATTATTTGTTGAAACAATTAAAATGACTAATTATATATAACACAGTATCTTAAATTATAGCTAGCAAAGACAAAGTGGTCAGTCCAGCCTATGTAAAGTCAATGTTCAATCAGAAACACGGACCAAAGGCTTATCATCATCCCAAAAAAATCCATTGCTAAGAATTTTGTTATGAATGTAAAGAAATCATGCATTCTAAGAATATAAAAAAAGTTAAAGATCATCAACTCAATTAGAAATCTTATTGGTTATCAGGACACAAGTATGCTGACCAGTCTGACCCAGCATGTTAATTTAGACCACTTATACATGTACAACAGGAAATTCTACATAATAGATACATGTATCTACCTTTTTAAGTTATATTTTCAAACAGTTTAATGTCACAATAAAAGATTTTATGTGGTACAAAATGTACAAAACAGGCATTGTAGTAAAGTGGTCAGTCAAGCCTATGTAAAGTCAATGTTTAATCAGAAACACGGACCAAAGGCTAATCATCATCCCCAAAAAATCCATTGCTAAGCATTTTGCTATCAGATAAATCTTGTATTCTAATAATATACAATAAGTTTAAATTCTTAAATTCATCCAATCAGATCATAATTTTTGGTTATCAGGCACTAGTGATGTGTAGCCTGTTTCAGTATTTCAGAACTTTTACTGGTTACCAAGACACCAGTATGCTGTTGGGCCAGTCTAGACTAAGCAAGTTAATTTACAAACATTGTATTATGTATAGGTATAATAAAGACACATTGTATTGTATATAGGTATAATAAAGACACATTGTATTGTGTATAGGTATAATAAAGACACATTGTATTGTGTATAGGTATAATAAGACAATCTACATAAAAAAGGCATCTATGATGGCACAAATTTTCAAGTAATAGTTTTGAAGGGTTTAAGGTCAAAATACAAGTTTCGGAGTTATAAAGAAAACAAGCACCGAAGCAAAGTGCCAGTGGTCAGTCCAGCCTATGTAAAGTCAATGTTCAATCAGAAACACGGACCAAAGGCTAATCATCATGCCCAAGTAAATCCTTTACTAACCATTTTGTTATCAGAGAAGTCTTAAATTCCAATAATATGCATTAAGTTTAAGGTCATCCATTCATTCAGAATTTTTATTGGTTATCAAAATACTAGTATTCTGTCAGGCCAGTCTCAGCATGTAGATCTTCTATTGGCTATAAGGATACAAGTATGCTGTCAGGGTGTCTGCATGTTAAAATACGATTATTCAACTTGAATTGGACCTTATACATATTAAGTATCTATCATGCGATAGATTTATAAGAAATAGCTTCCAAGAGTTTAATGTCACAATACAAGATTCAAATTGTTGTTGACAAAACAGACATTGTAGCTAAGTGGTCAGTCCAGCCTATGTAAAGTCATTGTTCAATCAGAAACACGGACCAAAGGCTAATCATCATCCCCAAAAAATCCAATGCTAAGCATCAGAATATACACGTTTAAGATCATCCACTCATTTATATTTATTTTTGGTTATGAGGACATTAGTATGCTGTCAAGCCAGTCTCCACATGATTACAACCATTAAAATTAATAGGCATCTACCCGGAGAAATATTTTCCAAGTGTTTATGGTCACAATACAAGATTCAATGTGGTATAGAACAAAACAGGCATTGTAGCAAAGTGGTCAGTCCAGCCTATGTAAAGTCAATGTTCAATCAGAAACACGGACCAAAGGCTAATCATCATCCCCAAAAAATCCAATGCTAAGCATCAGAATATACACGTTTAAGATCATCCACTCATTTATATTTATTTTTGGTTATGAGGACATTAGTATGCTGTCAAGCCAGTCTCCACATGATTACAACCATTAAAATTAATGGGCATCTACCCGGAGAAATATTTTCCAAGAGTTCATGGTCACAATACAAGATTCAATGTGGTATAGAACAAAACAGGCATTGTAGCAAAGTTGTCAGTCCAGCCTATGTAAAGTCAATGTTCAATCAGAAACACGGACCAAAGGCTAATCATCATCCCCAAAAAATCCAATGCGAAGCATCAGAATATATACGTTTAAGATCATCCACTCATTTATAATATTTTTTGGTTACCAGGACACCAGTATACTGTCAGGCCAGTCTCAGCATGATTACAACCATTTGACATAATAGGTATCTAACCGGAGATAGGTTTTGAAGAAATATTTTCCAAGATTCAATGCGGTATAAACAGAACAGGATTTTGAAGTGGTCAGTCAAGCCTATGTAAAGTCATTGTTCAATCAGAAACACGGACCAAAGGCTAATCATCATGCCCACTAAAAATCCTCAAAGCATTTTGATAATCCTTCACTGCACAAAATTCATTATTGATGTTTGCACTGAATGCTGGAAAGATTTATTTTTAGGAATTAACCTAAATGACCAACAATCTTACCAAGTATGAATGTTTTAGGGACAACTGTATTAGAGTCGTGTTTTTTGGATTGAATTTAATACCGATTGCTGGGAGACAATATAAAAGTTATCCCTGGTAAAATTCATTCAATCTTATCAGCAGGGTAAACATACAAACATATATGAATTGCGTGTCAAAATATTTTTAGGACATGAATATAAACAAAGAATTAAATACAAAATACCTAGTACTTAAAAACCTATTAAATTAAAACATCCAGATTGTATTCCTCATTATCAATCAACTGATAAATTTATGATGATGTATAAAACATATTGCATTTATCAAACTCTGATGTTAAGTCATCTGTGATAGTTCCTTACTCAAATTCCCAACAAATCATTGTGGCTCAGATTTTGAAGTATGTGGTTTAATTTCTTTGCAGTTTATAATAAAAAATATATTTTCACTTCACTGCATTTACATTCAAGTGATTTTAGGATTTTCTTAACCAAAACCTCTGAAAATTGGTGATTCTTGAGAAATAATTTCCATGAAATATATCACTTAAAAGATTTAACAGTACTAATTTGGTGGTCAGTGAAGCCTGTATAACGTCACTAGTTTATCAGAAACACGGACCAAGGCATATCATCATTCCACTAAATTGCAAGGAGAATCTACATATTTATCAGCAAAGAGCTTTAAATTTTAGTGTCTAATAGGTCCAGAAACAGAGACTAAACATCATGCCATCATAGTATTACTCATTTTTTAACCCGAATATATTGGGAGATGAGCAAACTTTGCCATGATACATCTTCATACATGCCAATAAAAACTTAAGGGTAGGCTTGTTGAAGCATTAAAAAAAGGACAGGAAGGGGAACCTCAAACAAGAAGAGTTTTATCTTGCTATAAATTACTTGATGTTTTAAAAGCTTATTCCAGTCAATATCATGAATTACTTTGGATTGTTCTACAAGTTCTTATTTTTATGTCTCCTTTTTTTCTTAAATTACCTGGTATATTTCTAAAAGCTCTGGATATTCCATTGTCTTTATTATAAATTATTAATGGTCCTCTTTTCATTATTCTTCTTCTGTTCCTCATTTTACCTTTACCAGCTCGGAATCTTTTGGAATTTAAGACCTATTAATAGATAATACCTGAATTATTAACAGAAAGTATTATATAAGTTATGAAATGAGGATAGAGGGAATACAAAACCACTTGTAGGGAGAAAGTAAGAGTGCAAAGTTTAGACATCATACCATGTTGCAACATCAAAATATTCTACATATTATTTGATATTTTTTTAGAAAACTTTTTAACAAATTACATCTGTAATTCCCAATGAAAGCTACAATATTATTTTAATTTACTTACTGCCATAGTGGAGCTTTTGAGAGGGCATACCTAAATAAATAGTGTCTCAAAATCTTTATTACCATTGTCATGACAGGCATAGTTGAACAAAAACTAAAATATCAGAGGAGTTAGGGTGTAAAAGAGACGTAATTTAGTTAAATGAACCAATTTAATTTCGGGAACATATTTTCTTCTTTATGTAAAATTAAGCACTATTTATCTTGCTAAAAAAAAAATATGTACAAATAAAATTATAACTGAAAATACCTTCTGTATATCATTCCAGGCTTTAACTTTTTTAAGTAGTGCAACAGCCTCTTTAGTTTTCTTGTATTCTTCCACTTTGTCACTGATCACCAATGGGACCTCTGGAATCTCTTCAATTTTGTGTCCTACAGAATAAATTAAGATTAATTTCTCCCTCCTTTAAAAAGGTTGTTGATCACTCTTTTGTTACCAAGTTTCTATCAGTTAGGTTTTGTATGTTTTTAAAATTGAGAATTGCAGTGAAAACATTTTAAAAGTTCTTGCAGATGCTATTAGTGATCCAGGAGTTACCCACTGTCCTTTCTTAGTTGAGAAAACCAAATAAAACTAGCATTATGGGTATAAACTACCATGATTTATAGTCTGATGAATATTGAACACCTCCAAAGTTGAGGACCTCCACCTAGATAACTTTTTAACTTTTTTGCTGCTTATCAAAGTTCTGCCCGTCAAATGTATTGGTTTTTTCTGTTGATCCTTTTAGTATGGAAAATATTATTTTCACAAATTTCATGGGTACATGTTATGTATAAAGAACTTTAATAGCATCTGCATTTAAACATAAAATAAAGAATAAACTCAAGGGTATAATAACCTTTTGACATAACAAGAGCAGGTACTCCAGTAGCAGCAATGGCTGAGCAAATAGCATATCTTTTCTGGTTAATGTTTATTTTACGATGCCATCTTCTCCATGTTTTTGTTGGTGCAAACATACGACCTCCACGGCACATGTTTCCAAAAGCTCCCTGACCAGATCTGTGAGTACCACCTCCTCTGACCCTGGGAATACGAGCTACAGCTCTACCAGTTCCCCAAGATTCAGCTGAAGTCTGGTGACCTAAATTATACATGATAAATTTACATAAAATGTAACGCTTTCTTCACTATTAAAGTCCTATGTATTAATCTCTGTACCAAAGCTGTGCATCAGGTTTATAAGAATAAAGATATATTAGTATATATATATATATATATATATATCCAAGACAAATACACATGAAACATTTGGCAATTCATGTTAACAATCAATTCCAAATTCTCAATTTTATCCTGACATTTCTAAACAGACCAAGGCTTCCAAAACGGTCATATATGCCGGACATTTGTATAATGTCCGGTAAAAGTCCGGCTGGGCAAAGCATGAAACGGTCATCTACTTTTTAGCTTCAAGGCTTTAAGAGACGGTCATTTTAACATAATTCGCGATCTTTTTGACCCAACATTTTGCCTTTAACAGCCACACATTTCCGGTCATAAAAGTGACATGATCATTAAGTACTATCAAAACAACCCCTACTTTAATACCTTCTCATTTTAATCAAGGCTAATAAGTTGTCAAACAGCTGAAATTTACCTGTTCAGGTGACAGGTAAACTATTTTGAACCGGACATTGATCGGTCTATTCAAAGTTATTTTCTTACATTTCAGCGGTTTGCATCTAATTACTTTAGTCAAAAAGATTTAAATTATCAGAAATACGTTTACAAATATGATTTGATGAAAAAATTAAAAGGTGAAAATGAAAAATCGTCATAACCACGTTGTTTGAACCTAGAGACATGTCTCTGTTTGAACTAGTACACGTGTGCGCATGTGTGAAATTTAATTATGAATCCTTATTTCTTCAAAAAATGCTTAAATTGTCATTGATACCTTTATCTCACGTTTATTTCGAATATTTTCTTGAAGAAATAACGTAGAAAGAGCTACTTCCACTCATTCACGCTTTGCAAACGTACACGGAATTTACGTATCCGTCTCTGGTCCATGTTTTACCATTGTCAAGATAACATCCGGTATAAAAACGAAAGTAAAGTTTTTGACAACGTTATTTTGCACAAATAAAGAGTCTAAGGCAGATATAAGTACGCTGATGTTGCACACTTCGAATGATGCACTGCCAATTTAACAGTTTACGTCAGAACTTCGAATTTGAATCAAAGAAAGTTTAATATCGGTTTTTTTAATGTCAATCATTGGGATGGCCAACTCGGCAACTGATTACCATAATTGCCTTTTGTTTATTTAGTCTTAAGGGATTAAAATCGGGATAATATATAAAATGTCCGGCTGCCTAAAAATAATTTTGGAAGCCCTGAAACAGACTTACAAAATTGCTTCGATAATTCTTTTCAACTTGAACATTTTCAAGAACTGACTTATTTGAATGGTCTTTTAGGTTTTTTTTTTTTAAATTTATATAAATTCTGGCAAGACACTAATTAATATCCCTTACCAGCTTTCTCACTAACAGCATAAGGCTGTCTGGAGTTGAATCTCATTTGTGCGTGTACAAAGGTAACAATGTCTGGTCTGATTGGTGCTCTGAAGACAGCTGGAAGGGTGACATTTGTTCCAGATGCATCCCCCTTATCACTATACACTGATATCAATGGTCTCGCTGCGGCAGCCTGGAATAACAAGTATGTATGTTCATTCATATTTTATTCAACATGGATAAAAACAATGTCACACCAGTAATTAATAATCCCTTATACAAAATTCACCATCTCAATATTTTGATTGAGTGGAGTGAAGTTGGAAATAGCTAAAATTCCAATGTTATTCTTTTCATAAAATGATGAAAGCAATTAAGATATTTTTAAAAGGCAGAATATAATGGATGTTTGAAATAAATGCAAGAAACACTTAAAACACTGCACAATTACACCACTTCAGAATAAACACATTGACAAGCATATTTATTCCATTTTCTTGTCAAAGATAAAAATTAACTTCTATAAAATAATTATTGCATGTTGTACAAATGGAAGCAAGTTAACTCGTACCATTGCAAACTCGTACCACTAAAAGTCAACTCGTACAAACGTAAACTTGTACCACTGCGAAGTCGTACCATTGCAAACTCGTACAATTAAAAATATATTCAATATACGAATGTTTTATGAATTTTTTTTAAATCTTTATAAATAAACTGCTTCGCTGAGTGCAGCTGGATACGCCCGCAAAGGTCTAACCCTGAACAGTTGGGGCAAAAATGGACACAATATTCAAGCTTGATACAGGTCTGAATTTGGATTGTAATTAAATATTTGACATACATCTATTATAGGTTTCTGAATAAATGTAGTCAAAGAACTTGAAGTTGGTTATATGAATTGAATTTATATAATCAATTAAAGATTTCTTGCTGTTGTGCAATACACTGTGCTGTTGCGCAATACTTAGTAAATCTGTTGTCAGACTATAAACAAATAAAATTTATAAAATTCTAAAGGGAGCTTACATCAATAGATATAAACAGTTCACCAAAGTTTCATACGAATTGCTGAAAGTATTTTTGAGTTTTTGTCTGAAAACTGGAAAATCCCCCCTTTTTTAATGAATAAACCCCATAATTCGGAAATGTAAAATCTAAAATTTATAAAATTCTAAAGGGAACTTACATCAATAGACATCAACAATTCATCAAAGTTTCATGAGAACTGCTGAAAGCATTTTTGAGTTATTGTCCGAAAACTGGAAAATCACCCTTTTTTTAAGAATAAAACCCCAGAACTCGGAAACGTAAAATCTAAAATTTATAAAAATCCAAAGGGAGCTCATGTCAATAGATATAAACAATTAACCAAAATTTCTTGCAAGTTGGTGAAAGCATTCTTGAGTTATTGTCCGAAAACTGGTAAATCCCCCTTTTTTTAATGAATAAAACCCCAGAACTCGGAAAAGTAAAATCTAAAATTTATAAAACGAAAGGGAGCTCACATCAATAGATATAAACAATTCACCAAAGTTTTAAGCAAATTGGTTAAAGCGTTTTTGAGTTAATGTCCGACATGTTGACGACGGACGGACGGACAGACGGACGTACAACGGTATACCATAATACGTCCCGTAAACGGGCGTATAAAAACAGTTGAATTTCTTGAATTTTAAACCAGATTTTAATGAAAACTTAGACAAAAATACAAATGTAATTTCTTAATTACCATGTTAGTTAATATATTAAATTCCTTTGATTGTGTGATTATTAACTAATCAACTTGTTTAATCATATTATTAAATTTTGTGTGCTCAAAAAGAAAAAGAAAAAAAAAGTATATGGTGCCACTCTCAAGTTAGACCCCGACAAGAAGCAATAGTGTGTGATGTATGCTCTAAATGGCAACACAGAAAGTGCGGAAATATAGGTAAGTTTTTATCATCAATCCTCATTTATTACTTTGTCACATAAAACCGCATAGATGAGTAAATTAAAATTTCTTATAAGATTTATTACATACTGACTGAAACGAAGATCCAAACAATTTAACATGCAGAATTGTAAAAGTGGTACTTCATTATAATGAATAGCTATAAACAATAAGCTTTTTTAAATATTTTTGTAATAGTTAGTGTATGAAAGGGGAGGTGCCAATCTGCAGCTACATAATTATGACAATGGGGAAGATTTGTTTTGACATTCCGGATCAATGAGATTAAGGCAGTCGAATTGTTCAGCACTACTACTGGAAGTGTTTCACGACCTTGACTGGCTGTTCAGCCCTCGCACGGTATTCAGCAACAACAATTCCTTGACCGACTTGCAATTAGCATTCAGCGAAATATTGTATATAAATAAATTTTATACTTTCTAAATGTTGGTCATAAACAATTTTAAACCTTTCAAAACAATATAAATAAATTCTCTCATTAAATAAAATTTCTTTTAGAAACAATTATGAATACCAAAATCTATTCAATGTTACTAATTTGTAATGATTAAAAATTAAATCAAATAGCTGTCAGTAAAAGTTAAATAAAGGAACTGTTCAAGGGAGACAACAAAGCCAATCTGCCACAGTTTTCTCTATCCAATTAGCCAAGGAAAAATAAGCTACAAATTGGTCATTGTGATTTCAAATTATATACTTTTTACAGACTTAAGAGGTATAGAGTGAAATTTAAATATGTATTCATCATTAAACACCATTTGAATGCATTTAACTAAGTTGGTACGAGTTTACAATGGTACAAATTTACCGTGGTACGAGTTAGCAGTGGAACGAGTTTGCATTGGTACGAGTTTACAATGATATGAATTTACCGTGGTACGAGTTAGCAGTGGAATGAGTTTGCATTGGTACAAGTTTGTTTTTAGTGGTACGAGTTGACATTGGTACGAGTTTGCAACGGTACGAGCAGGGTCCGACACTTACGGTTGTCCGATTGCCCGGGGCAAGCTAATGCCGTATTCGGACAAGTAAAAACATCATCTTGGTTGTCCGATCGGGCAAGTGAAAAAAAAGTGTTATATGATTAAAATTTCACAAAATCAATAGTGTCTGTTGTTTTGTCCATAGATTACTCAGTGATAACACCGCACGGTCAAGTAAAGTGGTCTTAACCCCCCTTCAATGCGTATATTTCGTCAATTGTTCGCACTGAATTCCCCATTTACCAAAAATATTGGCCAATCAGGCGGCCGCGGCGTTGCTTCGTCATTATCGTTATCCATCGGGACACCACTCGGGCGTTTCCGACGCACGTGTTATTCCCACCGACCAATGGAAAGCGGAGGTCTATTTTCGTTGTTCTAACTTTATAATTTGACATCGGATGTGTATTTCCCTAAGATGGAAAAACGTAAAAGCTTGAAAGAGAAAATGAAATTAAACTTTAACAAATTTGTCAGTTGTTGTCAGTTTATCAAGAAGGGTTTTTTGAAATGGCATTTCTTAGATAAATTATTATGAAATAAGTATCTCTATGTAAATGATCCAATAGTATATTTTCATACTCCATAATCAATTTACACCCCATATACATGATAACTATATTTTATCTGCATGTACTACATTACAACCACAAAAATAGCATGTAAAAGTTTGGGCATGTAGATTTCACTTTCGGACAAGTAAAAGTAATAGGGCACTTGCCCAACTGGACAAGTTGGTATAAAAGTTAATGTCGAACCCTGACGAGATAACTATAATTCGTACAAATACTTTTTCATTGTAAACTTTTAACACCAATAATTGAGGATTTCAACTAATTAAATGTTCATCCCCATCTGTCTTCCATACAGTATTTACCTTTGAACATTAAAATGGCCAACAACAAAACCAATTGCAGATGGTAACATTACATATTGGATTGAATGAACTGTAAATCTAAACACACATTTAACAAACACGCTACACATTGAACAGGTTGGGGGAAAATCCTCATTAACGGGTATTATCCCTATAACAAGGTGTTATCTGAGTTTGTTGTATTGTTTGATGACAACACGTAGTCATGAAAGAGTAAAATAATAATTGTTAATTACAAATTTTGAAAACATCTAATAACAGGTTGGGGACATAATATAGTCCTTACTGGAAATAAATTTTCAGTACAACAAATCCGAATTCTTAAATTAAGCAAAAATATTTTCAAACTGTATTTGTAAGGGAGCGACCATTTGATTTTTATGGAGGGGGGGGGGGCTAGGATGAAATTTGAAAAAAAATAGGCAGGACAGGAGTTTTGAGTAAAAAAAAAGGCAGGATGAGAGTATTTGCAAAAAAAAAAGGCAGGATGACAATTTATGTAAAAAAAAAGTCAGGATTAACTAAAAAAAAAAGGCAGGACCGAATAGAGTGAAAAATAAAAAGGCAGGAGAAAATTTTTCATCCTAGCCCCCCCCCCATAAAAATCAAATGGTAGATCCGTAAGACTAAGTATCTAAAAGTAGCAACTTTTAGTTTTAATAGCAACGGGAATAGTTCCACATGCTCCCCCATGGAACACTCTGCAATATAATATGTGTTCATGTTGTGTGATTAAGTGATATATGGAACTCCTGTTAATATGCATTTAAATAGTAAATGTGGTCGAAGGATTCTGAGCGGTATGACCCGATACGGTATATCCCCCCTTTTTTATGTCTTCATGCCGGTGTCCCTTTTAGAAGAAATAAATGCATTACAGATCAACAGATAGCGTATGCATGAAGATTGTTTTGACATTTTTGACCAACAAGTTAATGTATTCATATAAACAAAAAGTTTTTATACCATGCTTCCTAAGATTTGTGAGAGCAGAAAAACGTGGTATCTCCTGCTCGGGATAACGTGTAAAAGGATGCGTATGAATATCTTCGGGACTATTTTCCTGTGCAACTAATAACCAAACTAATATTTAATACAGCATAGGACAACTATCATCCTGAAAAGTAAATATTTCTTGATTCAAAACTGGCTCTGCATATCCCCTCGGTTTCCAATGATAATATCATAGGATGTTGATACATTTCTCAAACATCGTGTATACAGTAACTCATCAATTTGTCAAAATAAGCTCATAAACATCGCTGATGTATTATTGACTTGCAAGTCAATAGCCTCAATAGTTCAATCTCATGTGAATCCGTATTCATGTGACCTTCAATTTAACCCCTTAGCTGGAGATAGGTTTCGCATGTACTAGGCGTGTTCAACTATTAACAAAAAAAGAATGTCAACATTGAAATGAAACCAGAGACTATATGTCTCTGGTGAACTTGTGACAAGGTTGAACCATTTGGTTGACTGATTCGATCCAAAAAAAATCATTCTTATACAGGTAAAAACATAAAATCAACAGACCTAGAGAAATCTAATTGCACGTGCTCGCCATCTGTTTATATTTTTGTATCTTTATATCGGGTTATATGACCGTCCGGCCTCGGCAGACTTTGGAGGTCATCTCGGTGGTTAATTAGATGGAGTCTAGACTAAAATATACACGAAATGGTGATACATATTATCGAATCCATGCAATGTTAATTGTTTATTTAAAAATTTTGTAATTTTGATATACGTTTGAGTATATTATAAATCAATTATGAAAATTCGAGTCAAATTGATGAACATGAATTTGACAGCTAATGTCTCTTTTATCAAAGATCGGGCCGCGGATAGTACCTGAATCTAAGAAGGAGGAGAATATTTTTCTTAAGGGCATACGATAGAGTTACAGGGGAGATAATGACGTTGCTAACGTAAAATGTTATTTTTCGCGACGTCAAATGATGACATATCGGGAAAAATTAATTTTTTTGACTGATTTAAGCCATTAGCTTGAAAACGAGTACATGGACACCTCTTTTTTTAAATGGCATTTGGCTTGACAATGTATGAAGATTATTTATATCAATTTTTATGAATAAATCACAGATGATTTTTTTTTAAGTTAGAGAAGTGTACTGCAAAAAATGCAATTTTTTACTAAAATCATGAAAATTTGATAAAATGTAATATTTCCCAAAAAATATTACACAAATTTAGGGCATACTTGTGTAAAGAAGATATTCCAAATGTTTTAACAAAAATCCGCTTGTGTTTATCTTTTGAAACAAAAAAGTTGGGTATGTCTATCCAAAGGATAGAAATGTCCAAGAAACCGTAATTTGGAGTAAATGTTTAAAATTTCGACCACGTTTTCCTTAAAAGAAGATCATGAAGGTATATTTTTTATTATATATTTAAATTGACAGGGTAAAAAATTGCTTGTATGAAAATTTTCGCAAAATATCACCGTGGAATCAAAACTGTATCGTTATTAATACAGCTTATTATATAAAGCTTTTATAATACACAGTAGCTGATTAAGATTAAGAAAGGAAAAAAATAATAAAACATAATTATATAAAAGATATTAAGTTGTCTAGCCCAAAGACGTTAGTTATAAATCCTCTAGCCTAAAAGATTCAGCATGTTTAAAGTCTTTCTCGTGGTGGCAGCAAGTAAGATAGAAGTGTGGTATCCTAAAAACTTTACCACATTTATGTGCTATAGTCGTTTAACACATATATATGTGTAATAGTCGTCTCAGACTTTACTTATATCATTTATAATGAACGGAGGTATCACCATACATTAGGTTAAATAAATTTTATTTATAGTCGGCATATATTTGTAGACAAAATTTATTGTAAAAAAATAATTAAGGATAAAATCTGAGACTACTAGTATTGTAGATCAAATCATATATAAGATACCTGACAAGCTGTGTCAAAGTTTTGTTAATTATATTTATGATGCTAAGAAATATTACAAAATTTTCATTAAACCACTGTTCTAAACGGGAAACCACAAGTTACCCATCGAAACTGGTAGATGGAATAAAATTGAACGTAACTATAGATATTGTAACTTATGTCAATACAACGAGATTGGTGATGAATTTCACGACATTTTGCAGTGTAGCTCTTTGGCAAATTTTCGAGCACAATATTTGGATACTTTTTTCTTGCACAGAATTAATATACTAAAGTTTGGAAAACTATTTCAGTTAAAATACAAAAATAAGTTTAAAAAGCTGTGCAAATTTATCAGGGTTATAACTTTTCAAGTAAGTCTTCCTGGTTAATCATCACTCTTCGCCACTACTGTTTATTTTATTTTTCTTTAATTTTTTTTTTGCATCTCATCTTGTCATGTGTGTTTATGTTATGTTATAACTTTTGATGTACTTCTTTGTACCATTGTAACTATATGGTGTTTGAGAAATAAAGAATCTTGAATCTTGAATCTTGAACAATTTCCTATAACCTATACCAGAGACACAATATATCTCTGCATATACAATGCATTCGTTTTATTAAAATTCATTTGTTGTTGATAATCAGACGTACGATGTAACAACATTTTAAACAGTATGATTATACAATTTATCGATAATTCTGTAAAAAGATGGAGAAGGTGGGAAATCAAAACCATAAGTTGAATACAAACTGTCTACAGCTTAATTGACCGAAAAGGAAAACGACGAAAAGTCATACAACAGTCAACAAAACACTTTGCAGAAAACTGAAGGTTGAGCAATACGAAACCCACAAAAATCCCTGCATGAACTCATGTGTTCAGAAAGGGTCATCAATTCCTGCTCTACAAGTGACACTTGTCGTGTTAAATTTTCGATAAAGGAACAATCGTGATAAAACTTGTAATTAAAATCTGGTGTGAAATACCATGAATATTTAATAAAATATTTGCAGGTGGAATCATAGTCATATAATATTGTCACAGTCTCTGTTGTTATTATATATGTGACAAAGTTACAGATATAAAAATAAGAAGATGTGGTATGATTGTTTATGTGACAACTCTCCACAAGAGACCAAATGACATAGAAATTAACAACTATAGGTCACCGTACGGCCACCAACAATGAGCAAAACCCATACCGCATAGTCAGCTATAAAAGGCCCCGAAATGACAATGTAAAACAATTCAAACGAGAAAACTAACGTTACGGCCTGATTTATATACAAATAATGAAAACAAAAATGATATACAGCAACAAACGACAACCACTGAATTACAGGCTCCTGACTTAGGATAGGCACATACAGAATGCGACGGGGTTACACTAGTTTGAAGGCGCCGGTTTGTGTTGCTATAGCATGTAACTACTGCTTCGCAGGAAAGGATTCATTCATTTGTACTTCCACAATAAATCCCTATATTTGCACTGTAAACGTGTTATACATTTAGTATAAATTTGGAAACTATATTCGTATCTGATCAATTTCAAATGTGATTGAGATTATTTGGTCTTAGCTATTCAGATATTAATCATAATAGTCATCTGATCTGTTGATACCGCCGCCGGATTAATTGTATCGTAATAGTCGTCTGATCTGTTGATACCGCCGATTAATTGTATCATATAATAGTCGTCTGACCTGTTGATACTGTCCTATTCCCCTATGCGACATTTTGAATGACGGTTTGGATTCGCACGATGGGTGACGCAGGCAACCCTTACTTATGGGGGTTTTTAACGACCATGACTGGCTACAAAGCCCTCGCACAGTCGGTATAACCGGCAGGCAACCCATATTGTGTTGAAGTATGGTCTAACCCTGTGTGGAATTTGTGCGATATCTTTGTTATGCAAGTTGAAAGTTCCGTTGCAAATTTTTCGTATTCGTATGAGCATAATTAGGGCAATGTCTTTTTGTGTCGGTTGCCAGACATAGCTATTCAGAGATGATGTATTACTGCTAAAATAACGTTGAAACGCGGGAACACTGTGCTCATACTTCGCTTCCAACTCCATTACCTTTAGGTTTATATTTACTTACTTATATATACTTATATACAATTTTGAAATCTAAAATGTAAAAGTGCAACAACACTATCTACACACTTTAGATGTAGCATCGTACATATCCCCCTTTATATAAAGGACAAAACAAGCAATGATCATTTTTTTTTTTATTCAGGAAAACATTTATTGTTATAAAATAATATTATTTTATTCACCCGGGCGCTTTTTATTTTTCTTCCCGGGCGCTTTTTCTTTTCCCCGGGCGCTTTTTCTTTTCCCGGGCGCTCCCGGGCGCTTTTTCTTTTCCCGGGCGCTCCCGGGCGCTTTTTAGTAGGACCGACGAATTTGATTGGTTGCCAACACGATTTGGTTGACCAATATGAAATGTTTATTTCACAAATATTTATATACATGCTCCCGTCGTACATGTCCACTTGTTTAAGACAAGTCATTGGTCGTATATGTACTGCATTGTTTTCCATTTGCACAAAATTTGCCATAGATTTGAAAACAACCAAAACCCCGCCATAGATTAGGAAATTACAAAACTTGCCATAGATTAGGATTGTAAAACAATCTGCCATAGATTTGGGGTGGCATGACGTCACATTTACCATAGATTAGGAATCTGCCATAGATTTGGAACCCACCATAGATTTAAGTCCTACATATATATATAATTTAATTGTTTAATCTATAGATAGCTATATAGACAGATAAACAAGTTACATTTCCCATAGAGAACCCATAATGGGCAAAATCGGTACGATGATCTCACTGAGCACATTAAACATTAGCCTGGCATCCCGGCCCGATCTAGCTGCGCCCCCTAGGACCCCAGGCTAATTAAACATTTACAATATAGATAATACATGAGTAATAGATCAGTCATATAAAATAAGAAATAAGCAACGGCATAGAAAGTTTACCTTGAAGCACGCGTCATTCAGTAAAAGCAAAGAGTTGTTGGCTCGGAGTAAGAATAATGTGTCTGGGTAGGTTAACGTGTCTTCCTGTTGACTTTTACCCCAGGAATATATTACCTCAAGTTAGCTGTATTTGTTAAAACCT